GGGTTTTCTGTTGTTTTTTATGTTGGGTTTTCTGTTGTTTTATCTGTTGGTTTTTCTTTTGTTTTTTATGTGGGGTTTTCTGTTGTTTTTTATGTAGGGTTTTCTGTTGTTTTATCTGTTGGCTTTTCTGTTGTTTTTTATGTAGAGTTTTCTGTAGTTTTTTATGTAGGGTTTTCTGTTGTTTTTTTTGTAGGGTTTTCTGTTGTATTTTATGTAGGGTTTTCTGTGGTTTTTTATGTAGGGTTTTCTGTGGTTTTATCTGAAGGTTTTTCTGTTGTTTTTTATGTTGGCTTTTCTGTCGTTTTTTATGTAGAGTTTTCTGTTGTTTTATCTGTTTGCTTTTCTGTTGTTTTTTATGTAGAGATTTCTGTGGTTTTTTATGTAGGGTTTTCTGTGGTTTTATCTGTTGGTCTTTCTGTTGTTTTTTATGTAGGGTTTTCTGTGGGTTTTTCTTTAGGTTTTTATTATTATTAACCTACTCTGCCATCTGATGATGCCCCTACTCCATCAGTTTTAACTAAATCCCCTTCAACAGGCTCTTCATCATCTTCAGGAGGAATTTCTAAAGGAACTTTATTTTTTGTTGGCTCTTTATCTTTTTTTTTTTATAAATTTTCATCATTTTGATCATCATCATTTATCTAATTTTGATTTTTACCTTTATTTTCTTATTTTGAATCTTCACTGTCTTTAATATTGCTACCACTAGCTTCTACTTCTATTTGTGTTTCGTCATTAACAGTACATTCCTCAGGTTCATCATAATCATTTTGATGATCTGAATCTGGTCCAAAATCTCTCTCTATAATAATATCTCTTTCTTTTTTTTTATTTACTTCAAAATCTTAATTTTAATTTTCTTCACCATCATCTTCTGTAATTTAATTACTATCTGGACTAGGCTCTATCTCAATTCCATCCTCTTCTGAAAATTCATCTTGTGAAGTATTATCGTCTATTCCCTCTTACTATTCTTCACTCATATTCTTTGGTGAATCATCTTCTTCTCCTTGTGGACAAACTTCATCATCATTATAAAAAATAGGTTAAGGGCCTTGTGGTTCATACTTTTATGAAATAATTTTAGGAAGTTCCTGTTAAGTGATTGATGAACCTTAGTTTGAGCGATATTCTTATTCATAATTCTGTGGTTTATTGTTTTCATGTTAATTATCGAAATGCTAATTATTATTTCTGTATTAAGTTGCTTAACATTCTCTTTTTTTCATTTATAAATCTTATATTTTCTGCCTTAATCTCTCAGGTTATTAATATGAAGAGCATTCATTTAAATTTCTATTTATTTAATACTTCATATTCTCTAAATAATCGATAATTTTATTTGCCATTGCAATTCGCTCCCTAGAATCTACAGTATTTTAAAATTATCGCATATATTCTACGCATTAATCTAGATTTCCTCTTGCCCATTAATGATTTAATTAAGCAAGTGACATATCTAATAATGAATTTGAGAGGCTTCCTGTTATTTATAAGAACATTTCTAAATAATTCGAGATCCTTACTTTATTATTATGCATCATCAATATACTTAGCTTTGTCAACTAATCGAACAATTTAGTCAATAATTGTTAAATCCTTTTATAATTAATCCTTATGTTCAATAATATCTGCCCATTTTGATAACTCTATGATTGTGTAATCATAAAATTCAAATCCCATTTAGCAAGTAAACTTATTTGTATTAATATCATCAACTTCCTGAAAACTCAAGCCTTGTGATAAATACTGATGGAATACTTCTCTCTCGAGTTTTAAACTGTTAAGAATTCATTTCTACTTCAATTGCATTAACTATTGCAATTACCAGAAGTGTTAAGAAGACTTTATTCATCTGATATCTATCCGTTTTTAAATAAAATATTAAAAAAAAATATGAATTAGAAAATAGAATTAGATAGCTCCAAAATCTGATAAGCCTTTCAGTTTAAAAAAATTAAACAGTTCCATAAAGGACAAATGAATTCCTATTTATTTTTCTTTGAATAAAATACACATTTTANTTTTATTTACTTCAAAATCTTAATTTTAATTTTCTTCACCATCATCTTCTGTAATTTAATTACTATCTGGACTAGGCTCTATCTCAATTCCATCCTCTTCTGAAAATTCATCTTGTGAAGTATTATCGTCTATTCCCTCTTACTATTCTTCACTCATATTCTTTGGTGAATCATCTTCTTCTCCTTGTGGACAAACTTCATCATCATTATAAAAAATAGGTTAAGGGCCTTGTGGTTCATACTTTTATGAAATAATTTTAGGAAGTTCCTGTTAAGTGATTGATGAACCTTAGTTTGAGCGATATTCTTATTCATAATTCTGTGGTTTATTGTTTTCATGTTAATTATCGAAATGCTAATTATTATTTCTGTATTAAGTTGCTTAACATTCTCTTTTTTTCATTTATAAATCTTATATTTTCTGCCTTAATCTCTCAGGTTATTAATATGAAGAGCATTCATTTAAATTTCTATTTATTTAATACTTCATATTCTCTAAATAATCGATAATTTTATTTGCCATTGCAATTCGCTCCCTAGAATCTACAGTATTTTAAAATTATCGCATATATTCTACGCATTAATCTAGATTTCCTCTTGCCCATTAATGATTTAATTAAGCAAGTGACATATCTAATAATGAATTTGAGAGGCTTCCTGTTATTTATAAGAACATTTCTAAATAATTCGAGATCCTTACTTTATTATTATGCATCATCAATATACTTAGCTTTGTCAACTAATCGAACAATTTAGTCAATAATTGTTAAATCCTTTTATAATTAATCCTTATGTTCAATAATATCTGCCCATTTTGATAACTCTATGATTGTGTAATCATAAAATTCAAATCCCATTTAGCAAGTAAACTTATTTGTATTAATATCATCAACTTCCTGAAAACTCAAGCCTTGTGATAAATACTGATGGAATACTTCTCTCTCGAGTTTTAAACTGTTAAGAATTCATTTCTACTTCAATTGCATTAACTATTGCAATTACCAGAAGTGTTAAGAAGACTTTATTCATCTGATATCTATCCGTTTTTAAATAAAATATTAAAAAAAAATATGAATTAGAAAATAGAATTAGATAGCTCCAAAATCTGATAAGCCTTTCAGTTTAAAAAAATTAAACAGTTCCATAAAGGACAAATGAATTCCTATTTATTTTTCTTTGAATAAAATACACATTTTATAGCCATTATAAAATGATTAAGAAGAGATCAAATAATTTGCTGTGTAATTAGAAATAAAGATTTCTTTATATTGTTGTCTGTTTAATTTCTTGCTTTTATAATAAATCAAATCATTATTACTTAATTTACACAATTTTAATTAAAATTTTAATGTTCTTTAGTAAATAAAAAAGCCAATCTATGATTATCTAAATCTATTAAATAAATCTTGTTTTGTTACAAAATCTTACATGTATAACGAATGTTTAACCCCAACATATATATTTAAAGTAAAATATATATCCTTAAACTTCAATTTCAATCTTTCAAATGAAAATAAATTAAGTAGGCTTATTTTGTATTTCATTTTCTTTTAAATAATTTATTTTGCCATTTTAACATTTTTATTTTTATTTAAATAACTAAAAATTATATTAATTCAAAATTATTTCCTGTCATTTATGTTCCTTAAAGAAAAAGTTAAGTTAATAAAGTATAATTTAGTATAGATTTAAATGTTGATATATATTTTTTAATAGTTTATAAGTGATATATATTTGTTTAATTTCGAACTTAGATGACAGTTCAATTATAAATACATTTAGATAACCTAAAAAATGTAAGATATACAAAAATATGTTGAAACTTCTAAAATTTTAAAAAAAAGATCAAAAATTTAACTTATTTACAGAAACATGCCTAATTTTGAATAACATTATTTATCAAAAGGATATCCTTTGTTTATAATAAGTCTTACATATTTGAAAAGTGCATTTTTATATATTTATCAATTTTTTTATTTATTTATTAAAAAAAAAGCATTGCCATTGATGCAATTTAATACTTTCCGACATAAAATAATTATGAATTTATTAAAGTTGTGAATTATTTTTAAAAAGATGAGTATTCGATAAAATGCAGCCCTAAGTATTTTGATAAATTTCAATAATTTATGTCTTTTTTTGCTATTCTAAAAAATTGTTTTTTTACTCTTCGAAGGATGAGTTATTGGAACTTTATTTAAGGAAAAATGGAGTATAAATTAATTGCGATTTATTTATTTAATAGTATTATTATAAATTATGATAATAGTATAGCGTTTTTAATTGTTTATTAATTAATGAAGACTAGTCGTTTTTATTATTTTACTATGTAATTTTTGTTTTGACAATAACAATAATTATCTTATGAAGACAATATTTCTCATTGCCTTAATTGCAGTAGCCTTCACAGCAAGAGTATAGGAGAGAAATCTAGCTAAAATTTCAACAGACCTCAAAAAGAGCACATACGGAAGCGCCTTACTTCACTTAGTCGAACTCCACTCAATGGCTGGAGGTCCAGTTTAAGAGTTGATTGATGCTATTGAAGAGCTTATTAATGATCTTGAAGATGAATTAGAAGAATTAGAATTCAACTTCTAAGTTAGAACCAATGAGCATAATGCATTAGTTGTTAGCCTTGAATAAGACATCTAAGATGCTGTTATTGGTAATAATATATATAATTTCTTTAGATGTTAATAATACATAAGACACATTAGATAATTTATTGTTCCCAAGAAGATAATAACTCTAAGTGAGAATTGAATAAATTTAAGAAAACCAAGAAGCAAACAGATAGAACTATGACGAAGCAGTATTAGTAAGAGAATAAGAACATGAAGATTTTGAATTCTAAGTTGCTGAATTGAATGATGCAACAGCTGCTGTTGATGATGCTCTTGCTCTTCTTGAAACCCTCACAAATCCATCACTTCTTTAAGTTAAAAGATTCTAAAATTCATTGAAAAATATTGAAGCTAAGATTAAGTCAAGATCCAAGATGGCTCCAATGATCAAAGCTCTTATTTCTTTAGCATCAAACTAAAACTTTTCTGACTAAGGAATTATTGGTCAAATTGTTGATGCCCTCAATGAATTCAGAAATGCAGTTGTTGACTCAATCAATGCTTAAACAGCTGCTGAAGCTTAAGCTTAAGCTGATCATGAGGAATATCTTGAATAATTAGATAGTGAATATGCTGAATTCTAAAGATAAATTAACAGAGTCAATGTTGATTTGACAGCTACTAATGGTAATTATATAATAATATGAAAAATAGAAAAGATTGATCAAATGACTGAATTCAGAGACCAAAGAGATGCTGACAGAAAATAATACACTGCAGAATTAGAATTGGAAAACAACACCTATGCAGAAGAAACCGATACCTACACCAACTTAAAGAATGAATTCACCAGAGAACTTGGAATCAGCGAATAAGCTTTATCTGTTGTCTAAAGCGCTGATTTCTCAAACATCTAAGTTTGATAAGAATGAATTATTCAGGTTTCTTCTTATTCAACCATAATTTTTTTTTCTATTTCCTTCTTATTTGGGATATTAAATTGTTTTGGGCCAATCTATCTATATAAAATAATAAAAGTTCTTTATAAGCTTTATAAAACTAATAAATCTATTAAATTGTTAAAATTATCATCAATTGAATAATTCGAAATTTTTTTTAAACTCATCATTTTTATATGAATTATGATCGTTATATATTGCTTTTAAGAAAAAAAATTCGAATTGATTGTGTATAATTTATAGTATTCTTTTCTTTTGGTAAGATTAGTTTAGGTATGGATTTCCTTAATTAAATTTTATTCTTTTAATATTAATATGTCAGAAATAAAGAGTGCTTTGTAATCAAATATCGTTCATATCTTAGAAAACAAGCCTGCAAAGAATATAGAAGGTTTTAGATAGTAACAATTAGAAGTATTTAGTTTAATTGAAAATAGAGTAGAAGAAAACTTATAGAAGAATTCAAATAACTCTATATATATGATGAAAAAGGAAATTTAAGAGGAGATTGCAAAATAAAGAAGTTTGTTGATGGAAGTAGATATGAAGGATAGCTTTCAAATGATAAAAGAAGCGGTAAAAAAAATAATTTGATCTAGATTAGGTTATGGAATATATTACTATAATAATGGTGACATCTATTTAGGTGAATGGTTTGATGATAAATTTAATGGTTCAGGACACTATTTATTTGCAAACGGTATAAGCGCTAATAAACTTAGGTGAAAGATATTCAGGAGTATTATCAGAAGGTTTGAAACATGGGCACGGTAAATATTATTATCTAAATGGAAATACTTATGATGGAGATTGGTAAAATGACAAAAAGCATGGAAAAGGAAGATATGTTTATTACAGCACAGATGAATATTATGATGGAGATTGGAGAGAAGGTGAAAGACATGGAAAAGGAGAGGCTGGTTATGCATATGGAGATGTGTATGTTGGAGACTTTAAGAAGAATGAAAGAAATGGTTTTGGAATAATGAAATTTAATGATGGAGCAAGAGTAGAAGGGAATTGGGTAAATGGATAACTGTGTGGGTAAGCTAAAATGCAATATCCAAATGGAGACACTTACGAAGGAGAATGGGATAGGAATTAAAAGAATGGAGATGGTGTTTATACAATGTGCAATGGATAATCAATATATAAGGGGTAATTTAGGAATGATTTGTGGAATGGTTTAGGAATTTTGCAGTATGAAAATGGAGATCACTATAAAGGATATTTTAGAGATGGAAAGAAGGATGGTGAAGGAGAATTTAAATATGCTTCATCTAGAGATACTTACACAGGGTAGTTTAGAAAAGATTAAAGAACAGGTTAGGGCGTGATGCTCTATGCAAATGGAGATAGATATGAAGGAGAATGGTTGGCAGACAAAAAACATGGTAGAGGTAAGTATATACATGCTCTCACTGATGATATATATGATGGTGAATGGGTTTAAGATTAAAAACATGGTAAAGGATAATATATTTTTGGGTAATTATTTGATTTAAACAATTAGAAATGGTGATTAGTATGTCGGAGATTGGTTATAGGATAAAATGCACGGAAAGGGTAAATTTATAACAAAAGAAGGCACAGTATATGCTGGGGAATTCAAAAATCATAGATATATTGGATCAGTTAATTGATGACACTTATTTTTAATATAAAGTTGTTAATTTTTCTACCATTTATAGAATCAATCTTAATAAATTATTTATTTTTTAATCTATCCTTATTTTATATTATAATTTATTCGTTAATAAAAATAATTGAATATGTCTGAATTAGAATAACTTAATTAGTAAAAGTTATAGATTCAATAAAACTAAGAGATGCTATCTAATTGGATATCTTTAAAGAAAAACTTAAGCTCTAAATTTAAAAGTGCTTAAGAAATATTCAAAGCATTGAAAAAAGATGGAAAAGGATCATTAAGCGTTGATGATTTTGAAGAGTACTCAAAAGGATTAGATTTGTAAATCTTTTTCCTTATTTAAGGTCCTTACTTTTTAAAGATATTGACTTAAATGAAGCTAATTTTGGAAAAATATGGAAAAATTGGGAATTCAAGTAAAAATAAAACGAGCATAAATTATAAATATTAAACGAAAAACTGTAATTGTTAGCCATTCTGGAGGATAATGAAAAAAATAGAGAAACAAAGACTAATGTGACATCAAATAATATTGTTTCAAAATTAACAAGCGATTGTGAAACACTGAGTTAATTATAAGAAAAATTAGATACTCTTGTTGAAGAAGGTTAAAGACAAAAGAGTAAATAAGATGATGATGCGGTTTAAAATGAAGAAGATTATTTTTCTTTTTAGTTATCTAAGAAAAACGAATAAAAGTCAGAAGAACTTTATGTTAACAGATTACAAAAAAAATCAAATGAGGATTCTGAAGGAAATAAATAAGCTGTTAATAAAATAATTAGAAGCTATATAGAAGGTCAAACTCATCATTTTAAAAGCATAACTGAATTAAACGGTAATGAACTTCTTTAAAACAGCCTTTCAAATAAGGGTTATTTAGCAAATAGTTCTAAGTCATATAAATTATCATACATAAATAAACCCATTAATTACATTTCTCCTCCAAAGGAAATCCATACTGTTCGTGTTCAATCTAAATAAAATTAATAATAATAAAAAAAATCACCTTATGAAGAAAAATAATAACAAGAAAGAAAAAGCCATAAAATAAGCAGAATGAAAGGCGATCTTAAGTCCTATATATCTTAGTTATTTTTCCACGAAAAAGAATTTAGATAAAATAATATCTTAAATCGTAGGCCTACATCAGAAGAATTCAGAGGCTTATCTGGATTTATGAATTCTAAACAATGTTCCAAAAATCAACTACCTTAATTTATAGAACTTTAAGATTCTAATACATAAAAGAGATTTTAAAACATAAGGTTAGAGTATTCTTTATCTTAGACATAAGCTAGATGATTTTTAAATATAAAGGCTATCTTAAAATACTTATATTACAAAAACTTAGCCAAATTTTAGCCCTGACAAAACTGATAGAAGTTTAAATTAAAATGTTCTAATAAATTTGAGCAGCAAATTAAATTCTAAATATTCGCCTGGAAATACTCATAGGCTAAATTTAGAATACTTAAATTAAGAAAGAGTACATTAAAAACAAAAAATATAAGATAATTTAATTGAATCGGAAGTATTGGAATGATATATTTTTAAATAATAATTTTTTAAAGCAAAATATAATTCATAATAAAAAAGTAAGTTCAATAAACTTTAGATTTTTTTTAGTATCGCACAATTAATAATTAATAGAGTTTCATCAAATCTGAATATTATGGAAAAAAATATCACAAATTCTCTCAAGATAATTTTAAAATACTGTTATTCTAAATTTTACTCAGAAAAATAAAGTTTTACAAAAAAAACATATCTATTATTATTAAAAATTGAGTAAATTAAGATGAATTCAAAATGAAAGTTTATGGAAAGAGATGATGGAATTATTCTTAAGAATATTAATTTATGAAAAGGTGTAAAATTGGCTGCTTATCTAACTATAAAAAAAATTCAATCAACATTTCTTTTTTTTCACCCTGGTTATAAATTAGCAACTAATTTATAATTTTGGATCAAATTCTTATTTTTCAAAGTCTAATTATGTTATTGGATTGAAAAAAAGAAATACCTTTCTTGATATTATGATATTTAACTTGGCTGCTTATCAAATTAAGAAATTTATACTATGGCTTATTAATATCATTTAGCTTGATCATTGAAGAGAGAAAGATTTTCAACTTTTAAAGAATTAAAATAGGAAAAAATATAATTAATTTATATAGAACTTAAGTTTAATTCTTTTAAAATTTGACGGAGTAAAATTATATAAATTTTTAGAATAAATTTTAGAATCGTAATAAAGATTGTTTTTAAGATTCTGATGAAAAACTAAAATACATTTTAAACTCAAGTCATGTTAAAAATTAATTTAAATTTATTTCAAAATTTGAAGTTAAAGAATAATAACATTTAGTTTAAATCTATATTTATTGATTCCATATGCATATAGTTTTGATACTAGAATTAATAGTTAAACTAATATGCTAATATCATATGTTTTGAATATGAAATGAGAAGCCATTTTAAAATTAATTTAGAAAAGAATAGAAAAATTCTTTCAATGATAAATGAAGAGAAAATTAGAAGTGCTTCATGTCTAATCAACTATTTGAAAGGGGGGAAATGTGTGTAGTGGTTAAGATTATAAGAAAATGAGAAAGGTTGAAAAAAAAGAAATAAAAATTAAAAAAAATATTAAAATAAGAGTTTCTAGAAACATCTCTTTTTTTATAATGAAAATTTATCAAAATTTTAAAACTATTTTTAAATATTTTAATAGATGTTTTCAGGTGGATTTCGTGGTTTTCCTGGAGGTTTTGGATTTGGTGGTATGGGAGAAGAGGAAACATCAGGTAGTTAAGGAGAAGTTGATAATAAAACTTTATATGAATTATTGGGAGTGGCTCCTCAAAGTACTACAGATGAAGTTAAAAAGGCATTTCGTAAGAAAGCTGTAAAGGAGCATCCAGATAAAGGTGGTGATCCTGAGAAAGTATTGAATAATTAAGAAATAATAGTTTAAAAAATTGACAGAAGCATATGAAATTCTTTCAAACCCAGAGAAAAAAGATTTATATGATCGTTTTGGAATGGAAGGTGTTAAAAATGGTGGAGGCGGAGGAGATATGGGAGATATCTTTAGCCACTTTTTTGGTGGAGGTGGAGGTCGTAGAGAATAAGGACCAAAGAAAATGAAAGCTAAGATGAGAGAATAATAAGTGACACTTGAAGAAGTATTTGAAGGAAAGATGATTCATTTAACTCATAAAAGAAAGAGAGTATGTGAAGGATGTGAAGGTAAAGGTGGTGCAAATGCAAAAACATGTACTACATGTAAAGGAAGAGGAATGGTGCAAAAATTATAGATGATAGGACCAGGAATGTATTCATAATCTACAGGACCATGTACTGATTGTGGTGGAGATGGGACTATATTCCCAGAAAAAGATAGATGCAAAAAATGCAAAGGAAATAAAGTAATAGACTAGGAAAAAGTTATTGAAATTCCATTAGAAAGAGGTGTACCTGATGAACATGATTATTAATTTTATGGAGAAAGTGATGAATTACCAGGAGTTATGGCAGGAGATCTATATATTAGAATTAAAATTAAGAAGCATGATGTTTATGAAAGAAAAGGTGCAGATCTTTACATTAATAAAAAAATTACTTTGGTTGAAGCATTAACAGGAACTTAATTTACATTAAAATTCTTAGATGGAACAAATCTACATATTGCAACTAAAGCAGGAGAAATAATTTCACCAGGTATTTGATATGTTTTTATAATTATTTAGCATAAATTAAAACTGTAAAAAAGAAAGGTATGCCATGTTATAAAGATGCTATGAGTGAAGGAGATCTTCATATTAGATTTGAAGTTGAATTCCCTCTTCCTGGACAACTTAAAAATGATCAAATTGAATAATTAAAAAAAGTAATTATACATATTTATTTAAAGGTTTTACCTGGTCCTAAATAATAACCAAAACTTGATGCTAAAAAAACATTATATTTAGAAGAATATGATGAAGCTCATGTAAATTCAAATCCAGAAGGTGGTAAAAAAGATGAAGAAGATGATGATGATGAAAGAGGTGGACATGGAGGATAAAGAGTCTAATGTGCTTAATAATGAAATAAAATGTTATATGAAAATTTATTAATTATTATGAAATCTAAAACTATTATCACTAGAAGATTAGACATTAATAATGATCCTCCTAAATAATAATAGGTAATTGTCACTCTAAAACACATCAGGCACCATTTTTTGATCCATGTCCAAGATTTCAAAAAAAATATGGAGTTAAAGATGATATGGACAGAATTGTTGCTTATATGTATTTAAGAGAAAATCATCCAAATATCAAATAATGTAGAGATTTCAGTTAAAAAAGAATATGCAAATTTGATTCAACATAAAACAAAGTTGGACCACCATAAGCTAAATTCATTAAAATATAACCTAATCATTCAACTACTTCAAATGGATGGGCTAATGTGGGAGGAGAATTAAAATATAAATTTAGAAATGGTTGGAAGACAAGTATTGAAGATATTTGCATTGATAAAAACTATGAAGATTAATTAGATACTCATTTTAAGACTAAAGAAGCTTAACTTAAACATGATTACAAAGCTAAAATTGAATATATGAATAAATATTTCAAAGAAATAGATCAAATGTATTAAGTAAAGGACAAAAAAGAATCTGTTAAAAAACTTAGAATTTTATATAAAAAAAGTAGAGAAGATTTAAAACCATATATAAAATTCTAAGGTTAAAGATTCTTTGAAATATTACCAATGATGAAAAAAAGAACTAATACAGTTATTGAAGACTTTAAGTGTTTCAAACCTTTATGCAATTTAGAATTAAAAGAAAAGTAAAAATATCTTGATGATTTGTTTAAACATTTAAACAAAAAAACAGAAAAAGAAAAAGATCCTAAAACTAAAGAATAAGATTCGATAGATTAGTAATAATAAAATGAAATTTAAATTGATTACAATGATTCCATCAGCAATATTCATTAAATTAAAAGAACTTATAGTCAAATGGAAGATGTTACTGCAGAAGCGGCTGCTTTTAATTAAAATCATTATTTATTTGAAGTTAAAGATGTTAATTCTTTTGGCTAATAAATAAGATTGAATAAAATGAACAAAATTATGAATGACATGTTTAAAAGCTAAAGAAATTTTTAATAAGACTTATAAAATTATGCATACAAACATTTAAATACAAGCACTTCCTGTGACATTAGTGTAGCCAATATCTCCTAAATGTAATAAGTAAATTTATAATAACATTAAGAGTATTTAAAATTATAAACGAAAAGAATTGAAAAGAATGCATAAAAGCTGTTAACAAGTCTCTTATAGAACACATCCTAAATCTCCAGCAATGAAAAATTCAGCATTTCAAACAACAGCAACATCTAATCATTTCAAGTTTTGATAAAATATTTGTTATGTAAATTTATTTAAGAATTTGTGATATATAGTATTTAAATAATGATAAAAGAACCAATAACACAAAAAATAAGAATGATAAGTTATATTCATTTTCTTTTTAAGTTATTTCCAGATTGCCCTCTTAGTAACTACTATATAGTTTCAAACTTAATATGACATTCTATTGAATATTCAATAAAATTTACATTATTCAGTATCTGTTCTAGGTCTATTTTATGGAGTCTTATTTGTCATAAATGAAGCTCTAGGTTTTAAGGATAGTTAAGATCGATCTGGAGATTTTTCAGGTGATCTACCTACTCTTCTGGGAGATTAATTTGAACTTGAATTCATTCTTTCGGTTCTACAATTATCAAAGAAAAAAGCTTTTAAAATTCCACTATTATTTTAATTAGTAGATGATGTTTAAGAATTTTATGGTTGTTTAATAAGATTATTAAAAGTAGTTTTTGCTGATTTATATGGTTATAATTAAATTGGTAAAGTTTCTTATGCTTTTAATACTTTTTCATCCATTCTTTCACAACTATTATTAGATGTGCCATTGAAAAACTATATTTTTTATTTAGGAGACATATCTGATGGCATTTATTATCGTTTTTTATTAATTATCATCTATTCGATCAAATTTGTTTAAGGTTTTACATTATCACTAATATTTCTATTAGTTTTAAGTGGAGATTATTAATTCAAAAAGGAATTAACTAATTTACCAGTAGGAGATGAATCATTTAATTTTAATTCAGCTAAATTTTTTAATATTGATTGATTCTCTCTTTAGGTTTGAATTTACATTTATTTTAGTTTTTATAATTTTTACTCTTTATAATTAACTTCTGATACCATCGACATCATAGATTCTTCTTAAATAGTATCTAAATTAGAATTATAATGTTTATGATAACTAGTTATCAAATGATTAATATAAGGAGAGGAACAAGTAATATTTTTACAAGCAATTTCAACTGCTTTTAGATGATATAACTCACTTAATTTAAATTCTTCAGTATTAATATCTTTAATTCCTTATTATTTAGCTTTATCTAATTCGATAAATCTTAATTCTGTTGCAATAGTAAAGTAAGAGATAGATAAATATATAATTTTCTCTAATAACAACCTCTTAGATATTTCATAGAGCATTTCTCCTTGAGATGAGAAATCTTCATAAATTTATGGAGTCATATGCATAATGAAACCTATATTAAATGTTTGAATCCATTCTTAAACATTTTAAACTCCAAGAATTGAACGATATTCATCTTCCTTTTAATCCAATCTTAATTCTTTACGAATATGTTTTTCATTATTTTCAGGATTATTTCTCCAAAAATATAACTGTTTTTTAGCTTCTCTTAAAATTAACTATTCATTATTAGTAATATTATCTAAATCTTATTATTTGGCCATATCTTAAAGTATATCTTTACTAGTATCAATAACTAATCTACTAAATTCTACTTCATCTTTCATCTAGAATTTATTATTTTTTTATTTTGATTTCATTGTAAGACTTGAATTAGCAGTTGTTGCTGATCCTAACGATCCATTTTTATTTAACCAATCTTTACAAAATTAATAAGCTATCTTAAACACTTCTCTCATTGTACTAGCTGCTTTCCTTGCCGATTATAATGCTAATTTATGTCTAAATTTATATTTATTTATACTTTCCTAATTAACTTAAGATTGCTGTGTGTTATAAAAGAGTTCTAGCTAGAAAAGCCTTCTTTTTAACTAAAGATGCATCACATTCTTAATTGCTTGTCAGATTTGTACCATCCTATTCTTCCTCTTTCATACTTTCTTCCATATTATATATCACTCCAGATAAATATTTGGAACATTTGTCTAAAACCCATTAACTTAAAATTATTTATTTGTTTTACCATTAGTATCCACAAGCCTAATTATAAAGAACAACTATTATTAAGTTTTTATCTATTGTCTTTCCACAACTTGCTGCATACTACTCTAAATATCATAATATACTTCCAACATCTATTCTGATTATTATAGTAACTTCATTGCTTCTTTGAACTTTTAAAGTTTTATTTTAAGCACTGCTTATTCATTCAGATAATTGATCTATTACATGAATTACTCTATTTTTAAGTTATTTTACATAATATACCTTGATTTTTAAATAACTATTTTAACCCATTCTCCTAAACACTTTCTATTTCTTCATCTTCCTACTCTTCATCATATGATTCATCCTCTTGATTGCTTTTTGACATTTTTCAAATATATCAATAACTTAATTAAATAAATTCAATATCAAAATAACTGAATTATATATTTTATATATCATAATTATTTTAAGTTTTTTATTGAAAAATAAAATTCTGATAGTTCTTAATGAAAGTTTTATTATATCTCCTTTAATTATATTTATTAAGATTATTAAAATATTGGCAAATCATCTATAAAATTTGTTTGAATTTATTCAACTTTTTATTTATTATTATTTATTGAATATTTTAATTCCTCTAATTTTGTTTTACCTAAAGTAATATTATTAATTGATTAAGAATCTTTATTAATTTAATCTTTTAATTCTTTGTGCTAATTTATAATTTTTATAGCTGAATCGTAATCTCTAATGCAGGTTTCTAGTTAATAAATGAACTTTTCTTTCAATTGAATACAACATGTTTCATAAAGCTTTGAAATCTTTTTTAATTTCATAAATTCATCAGTTTGTTAACAATCAATCACTAAATAAATTTTATTTTATTACTAAATATATCTTAACTAATTATCAATGATTTAGATTACATAAATAGTTTTTAAACCATTTTTTACATATCAGAACATATTATATCAGTTTATTACCTATTAAATTATAACTCCTTCAAAACTCAAGATTAATATAAAAAATTACCTTCTTCAAAATATTAATCTTATTAATCAGGAAGTCTTGGTATGAATTAAGTATTACCTAAACTAACACATTTTTAAAACAATGTTACAAATTAGGCTCCAGTATTTATAATTCTATTGAAAATAGTTTTAGATTAACTAATTTTGTTTATATATTCTTAAAAATCATTGAAATCCTAATTATATAAATAAAATATAATACTCTTAATTCTTTACTAAAAAATTTCTATAAAACATCCACATTTTTTAATAATTTATGATTAAGCAACTTTTACATATAATATACAAACTCATACTTTCTATAATAATTATAATAATGAATTTACCTTTTATCTTTATCATAACTTTTAGTTTTTTCAGGTAAACTTGGTATAATTCTACCAATGTGTTTAATTTCTAACTCATTTTGTAACCATTCAAAATGTGAAAATCTAGAATTTTATGATAGAATAACCTTCTTGTAAATTCATGTGATTCTTCAGTTCCATTAATTAAATCGATCTTTACAAATTCAAATGTGTATTTGACTGTATCCCAGGCACTAATACATTCAAAATAAATTTTATAAAATTTACAGATGAGGTTCAATGTCTGTGTTTTTTAAGTAAACCTTGTAGTAAATGGTTTTTGAATCTACTTTAGGTGCTCTTTTGATAACATCATGAATAATTTAAGATGTGACTATTTGATCACAAAATTCTGTCATTAAATAATATAAATTTATCAAGTGAAAAATTTTTTCTTCAAATGAGACTATGTAAACACTTATTTGAAGTTGATCTTTTAATTTTTGGAAGTATTATTGTTGAAAAAATTATTGGCAAATGTGAAATTACAGTCCTCTTCCTTGTTTGGTATTGAATCCTCAATTTTTGGCAATTTAATACGTTTATTATAATTTTAAGAAATGGATTATTTTGCTTCAATATTTTTAGGTTTAATGGATTCTTATTAACTTTATGGTTGAACAAGAGATCTAGAGTTCTTTTTTAAGTCATTAAAATCTATTCTTGGTTTAATTTTGCGAGTTCGACTTAATGATTCAATAATCTATTATTTTTAGTTTAATGATCGTTTTAAATTCTCATTTTCTCTCAATATTAATTATATTTAATCAATAGGAGATCCATTTATCATTTCAGTGGAGATTCTGTATGATTTAAATGAATAAAGTTGCTAATTTAGGTATTAACTACTAAAATTAGATTATTATACTTAGAATCACATTCAAATGATGATGGTGTAGTAAGAGCCTTAAATTGCACTCTTGGAGTCTCGGTAGGTAACTAAACTGCATTATTCTTCTAATAATATACCCATCTATTGTTTTAGACATAGAGGCTTAGGTTTAAAAAGCTAGCAATTCTATTAGTTAAATGCTGCATAAGATTTAGAATGTTGTAAATCCATACTTTATTTTGATATATTATGATTATATAATTAATTAACTCATATGAATTCCCCCTTTCGTATTTCATCTGCTAGAAGATCATCAGGATGTAAGAGTGAATGCAAATAGCATTTCTTTCCAAATAATAAATGTATGTCTTCTTTTATTCTTTTAAGTAATATTGAAAAAACCAAAAGATAAAGAGAAACTAGAAGAAACTGTTATTCATCTTAAATTGCAAATTAATGTATTAAATGATGACAATGCTAAACTCAAATTTGAAATCTAACATCTTTAAGTAATATTTTACTAATATTCAATTAGAAATAATTGAATAAATAGGAAAAGGCATTGTAAATGAACAAGAAACTTCATATTGATTAAAAGATGCAAACTTAATAGAGTGAGTACACTAAAACAATCAATGAGGAAATCATTAATTTTTCATCTTAGACTTGTTCACTTATTGCTTATTCTAAATTTATCAAAGAATTAGAAAATACTATTTAATAAAAAAATCAACAAATTGAAGATTTGAAAAGAGACACTAGAAAAACTAGATTTACTGAATTGCAAGTATTTTTATCCATTTTATAATAGGTTTAATATTAAGTAATTTAAAAAGAATATGAAGAATTACTGAAAAAATACTAAGCTTAAAAACATATCAGGTAATATCAATATCTATATCAATCTTAGTTAATTTGCAAGTAACGATGAATTAAACAAAGATAATATTTATCTATCATAATAACTTTACGATAATTAATAACAAATATAATAATAGAATGCAAAAATTAAGAAACTTGAAACTGAATTATATTAGAGCAATTTTAAAAGACAATAGTTTGAAAGACTTATTTAAGAAAAAGATAAAGAATTGAGTTTAACTCATTTTGAATATAGTAATCCCAAGAAAACTATAGCTGATCTTAATAAATAATGGTAATAAAAATTAGATCTCTAATAACTATCATATCAAAGATAAGAATAATTATTGATTTATAAGCAAGAGTAAATAGCTGAATTAGAAAAGAAAATAACGGATTTAGAACAATAATTATAATAAAAGGACTTTTATCATAAAAAAGATATTGATAATTTGCATTTAGTTATAGCAACCTTAAAAGATTAGATTTTTTAGCTGGAGAATGAAGATAAAAGGAAATCTCTACCTGTGATTGATTAACCAAATGAATCATCTGATAGAAATAAAAAACATGCTTCAGTTATAATAAATAAGAAACGGATTTAGAAAGTTAACTATCATGAAATCTCATAAATGTTATTAGAATTATCAATTAAATTAAAGTTAAATGAAATTCCTTTTAATAGATTAGATTAATATATTTATTCAAAATCTGTAAAGGGATGTTTAGCTTTATCAGATTTAATAGAGACTTTTAAATAGTAGCCTTTTGAATTGAATGATGAATAAGCAACGTTGATAGCTAGATTTATAATAGAACCAGAATAAGAGGAGTGGATTTATTATGATTTAAATTGTACAAATGATATTGTGATCTCAATAAGTATCTTTAAAAATCTCATAAAAGCATATGAATTAATTTCATATGATGAACATAAAATGTTATATAATCAATTATGTTAAGTATATAATAATTTATCTATTTAGATGATGAAACAAAATTAAAGTAAAATAGTATCTTATTTGCAATTATAGGGAGAACATTGCAGTATTTATGAGTTTAAGAAAGCTCTTGATTACAATGATATCAATTTATCTCCAAAATTAGAAGATTTGTTAATGATGAAGATCTACGAGTAATGCAAATAATTAAGTAAATTTAAATACTCTATAATTTTTGATATATTAAAGTGATTATAAATATATCTTAATCAATTTGTAAATAAATATCACTTGATCTCTGGATATGAATATTTATATAAGAAATTTTAAATAAATAAAAATCCTTTTTAAAAAAATTTATTATGGCTGAATAAGAATCTGTGACCACAGTTAAATTTGCAAATCAACCAAAATTATTTGGAAAATGGGATTATGATGAAGTACAAGTGACAGATTAATGCTTCAAAGATTATATAGCAGTTCAAACATCAAAATCAAGGGTGTTTGTTCCTCATACTGCTGGAAGGTAAAGAATATGGATGATAATGTTAATAGATATCAAAGAAAGAAATTTAGAAAGGCTTAATGTCCAATAGTTGAGAGATTAGCTGGTGCACTTATGTTTCATGGCAGAAATACAGGTAAGAAAGTAAAGGCTGTAGCAATAATAAGACATGCCTTTGAAATAGTACATTTATTGACAGGCAAGAATCCACTTGCAGTATTATCATTAGCTGTCTAAAGAGGAGGAGCTAGAGAAGATTTTACTAAAGTTGGTACAGGTGGTGTTGCTAAATAATAAGCTGTTGATGTTGCTCCTATTAGAAGAGTTAATGAAGTAAATAAATTCAATTTAATTAAAAAGGCTGTTCACAATTTAGCTAAAGGTGTTAGAGAATCTGTATTTAAAAAGATGAAAACAATTGCAGAAGCCTTAGCTGATGAATTAATTGCTGCAGCTAATGAAGATGGATAAAAGTCTTACACTATTAAAAAGAGAGATGAATTAGAAAAAGTTGCCAAAACTAATCGTTGATTAACATCATTAATTATATTTTAGTACAATACAAAATAACAATATTTAATTAATATCTATTTCTATATTAAACGAAATATTTCTTAATATCATATATATTTTATATAGTTTTATTTATAATTATAAAATTCAACTATTTGTTATCTTATTTAAAGATTGAGCAATCATTACTGAAGTTTAACTTCTTTCTCTTTTATATTCATTATCTTAAACAAATGGATCTTAAGACACCTTTAACATATCTTAATATGTATATTAAGATTGATGTATTCTATTTAAAAATATTTAATATTCTTCTGATTATTATAAATCTTCAGGAATGATTATAGATAATAATGTCTTAAATTCATCAGCTCTCAAACTTGATCCAGTATGTGCTGTGAAAAACATCTTCAATTTTTATTCAAAAGATCCTCTTAATAAAACACTTAAACAAGTCAAGAATTCTCTAAAATCCAATAATTCTGATTTATTTTCATCAAATAAATTAAAAACTAATTCATATTTATATCTATCTAATATTTAATACCTGGTGTAATGTAAATGAAATTATTCCTAATTTAATCTATATAATTAGAATAATATACCATAAGATCAAGAAATGCTTCTTTGTTAATTCCATACTTTTATAATTTGACCTATTATATTTATAAATTTTAGATATAAGCACCATCATCATCAGAAGAATCAGTTAATTGAGCTGATTATTTAAAACTTTATCGTTCTTTTCGACTTATGGATACACTTCTAGATTCCATACAATATTTTTTAAATTCATTCTAAATTTATAATATCTCCTCGGTATCAAAATTAGTTATTTTCTTTAATCTAAATAGTACTAATTTCTCATCATTAACCCATGATCTACTTGTTTATGAATAATATTGTTCTATTTAAACTTGTCTTTCAAATGATGTAAAATAGGCACTCTCTTTACTGAATAATTAAGATAAATCACTATATTTAATAACTATAGATTGAATAAATAACAATATTTACTCTTTCCTATTTCTTCAATTAACCCTTATTTTGTAAGATCAAGATTCTTAGCAGTTTGAACTAAAGAATAAATAATTGCCTAATCTATTGGAATAAAAGAGTTCTTTTTAAACATCTCTCCCCAAGTGATAAACAATGAACTTGTATTTAAAACTTACAACATGAGAGTCAATAACATTTAAGGTCCTGATATATCAATAAAATTTAACACTTAATCATAATTTACTAAATTTATGCTTTTTAATTATGATTTCAAAAAATAGAGTTCAGCTTAATAACCTATCAATGTTGCTCCAGATGAATTTGAGTAAAATCTTGGAGGTATTATAGATTTAAAAATATGATTCATAATATGAAATGCTCCTTCTTCATCTGATACACATAACAGAATTGTTGCTATTTAATTCATACCTTAACAATAACCAATTACTGGATAATGAGTTACAAATAATTATAAGACTTTTATTATTGACTCTCTTATATAAGATTAATCATAGCCTTCTTAACATTAACTAATAAACTCTCTTAAACTATAATTAAACAAACATGCATCTGATCTTCCTGTTATTACATCTTTATCTATAATTTCTTTGTCATTTTCTGTTATAGCTATTTACATTTTTATTTTTCTTTCTGATTTCCCAATCCATTTTGATTGAAATGATGATCTAGTATTCCATTTTAGACTAAATTCTGTTATTATATTTTGATAATAACTATAATCTCGAAAACAATTATCACAGACACGTTGTGGAGAATTGAAATCTTTTACAAAATCATTTGGTTTAGCATATAACTAAATTAATATATATTTTATACTTTAACTCGACTTTCACTACAATAAGTACAAACATCTTGGTGGCACATCTTACATCTATAGCTTTTTCTCAATTTTCTAGATTTATATTTTAATTTCTTACAATGCTAATAAATCTTTTGCGCAAACGCAACATTTTGATTTTTGAAAAAAATTCATATTAGATTATAATATTTTATTTTTATGTGATTTATAATTATATAAAAATTAAATTAATAAAAAATAGAATATATGATAATTATTCTATATTATTGATTATTTTGAAATGATTTTTAACTATAGATATAAATGGATTAATTATCAATTACTGAATGATTGATTTGTTTTAGTTACTAATTTTATTTTAATTTTTTATGGTTTCTAATTATTTTTAGAAAGGACTTCATCATCTAAATTTTCTAACAAATTTTATTCTTCTTTAAAGTTTTCAGGTGCAATAAAAAATTATTTTTTAATAATTTTGATTTTAGATTATAAGGATGGTTATTTAATAGGTGGTTAATCTTATTACTTGACATGATTATTTGTTTGAGTATATTCAGATGGAATAAAAATCTTTTACATAATTGGTTAAGGTGGAACTTCGTGATTGATTTAATTAAGATCAGGAATCTAATTAATTTTATTGATTTCATTGATTGGCTGTTTTTAGACTTGATTTTCAGGTTTTTATTATAAATTGATTTATGTATTAGGAATATTATTATTTAAATGATGTAATTAGATTATATGATTATCTAGTTTATCTTAATTCTGAAATGTCAATTTACATTAGATGCATATAAAAATAGATAAGTCATTTAAATGACTATAAAGAACATGATTTGAACTTTATTATAGATTTGAGAATTAATGATTACACTATTTGCACTTTAATTCAGTATTGATATAAAGCTTTTGAAAACCTTGAAAAAGTTATTTATAAGGATTATCTTTGAACTCCTTATTACACAATAACTATAAGGCTTATAATTGATTAAGAGAACTCTCTTTCATTTTTTCACCAATATGATAATAAAACCTGGAAATTAATTTCTTTGCTATTGGTTTTAGATCTTATTATTAATTGACAGGTTCAAGTTCATTTAAACTTAAAATTATCTCAACACTGTCATCATCATCAATAATTATGTCTGGTTTTTATTCTGTATGTGGAAGATTCTATTAAAAATCTTTTTGAGAAGGAATTGATTATTGATCAATGATAGTTGCTAGTAAATTAATTTTCTCTTATAATTTAATCATATTTTTACGACACCTTTTCATTTTAGTCAATAATTAGAGGTTATTTGGACTTTGCATAAATAATTTAAATATTTGTGCCATTTATTAATGTCATTTTTATTTATATATATATATATAAAAATATTAAATACATAAATTATATAATTTTAATTATCTAAAATTATCGTTGTGAATTAACGTAAGTTAATGTTAAATCCTAAACCTAGATTACGAATGATTAAAAATATTAAACAACAAAACCAAAATGGCATTAACCAAGGTCGTTCTACTTTGTATTCAAAATAAGAAATAATTAACAATTACTCATGATTAAATATATAAACACTTCTGCTAATATGGTTAAATAGAGAAAGTATGTACATATAATATGTTTAGATTTTAATATTCGAAAAAACTTAAATTTGGAAGGTGTTCTTGGAAACCAAAAACAAAGAAACTGCCTAAAACATAATAAAGTAATGCAATAACAACATTTTGAACTCAGATTCTTCATTAAGAATGTAATTGTATCCAAGCAATTTAGAGAATGTGACGTTTTCTGATTCTAATACTGCTGGCAAAGGTATTTAATAAATAAATTATATAATAGATTATTTAAAAGTGAAAGAAAAGAGAGATTCTTATAATTCAACTGACGATGAATAGACTTCTGTAGGAAGTTTAGGAGATTAAAATCCCTATTCAAATTCTCCTAAAAATTATTAATAAAATGTTTAATAATCAATCTATTAATACTAATCACATTTATAACAAAGACTATATGAATAATAAGTCCTTTAAATGAGATTGTAAACTCAAAGTTTAGATCTTCAAGTTCCTGATTATTTAAATACTCTAGCCTCAGCCTAGTGGGTTGATTAATTTGTATAATTGGGAAAACTACTACAAACTTAATATCTACTTCAATATTAACTTATTGAAAATTATATCAATTATATCAAGTAAGAATCTGTCAATGTTTTGATTGAAATTCAAAACCAATAAAGATAATAATAGTTGTAGGAATAGTTGTAAAATTAAATTAACACTATAAATAATGTTTATCATATTGATTAGTAAGAGAAATCTAGAGTCATTGTTGCTAAGTCTTTTGATGATTCTGTTACTACTATTGATATGTTGTACAACATTTTTAGTATATATGGAAACATTGATAAAATGGTATATTAAAAAGATAAATCTACATTATTGGTTGAATATCATCTTTAAAAATGTGCTGATCAATGTATGGAGAAACTTAATAATGTTGTATTTTAAGGCCAAACTCTTTAAGTAATTTATTTATCATATCCTAGATTACTTATTCGATTCTACAAGAGATTACATTCCTTGATGAATTAGAAGAATTAGGATTGGTTGAAAAGACAATCTATGAAGAAAGATTCATTGGATCTGAAGCTACTAATAGATATAAACCAAAAAATTCATTTATTGCTGCTTCACCAAATGATACTATCTTCCTCATGAATTTATCAGATGAATTACTAAATATAGATAGTCTATAACCTCTTTTAGAAACTGAAATTGCTGATTATAAGTATTTTCTTATTTCTATATTTAGATTCTATGAGGATCCAAAATAAAAACATAGTTGTGCTATAAAATTCAAAACAGTTGAAGATGCTATGTTATTTTTGGCTAAAAACCATGGAAAAGTAATGGCTGATAGAAAAATCTTAATGACTTTTTCAAAAAAGCCTATGTGATTCACTTATTTTTATTTATTTTTAATTAAGTTTATTCATAAATTCTAATTGATTTTTTATTCATGAATTAATAATAATAAACTAAAGAAAACTCTCATTAAAAATAAATACAAATAAGAAGTTATCAATAAAAAAAAATGAAAAAGAAACTAAAGTTAAACTTACCAATAAAGAAATATAAGTTAAACAAGAATTTTTAGAAATATAATTCCGAAAAATGGGGTAAAGTTGTATCCATTCCTCTGTATGTTACTAGAAGCTGATTTAAGAATTTAAGCAATAAATAATTAAGAAGAATGCAATTTCATTATACTTCTCCATAAATAATTGTTTATTATCAGTTTTTATAAAGATTAATAAAAAAATATAACAAAATTATTATATTGGTATTTATATTAATTTATGAAAGGAACTCATTAAATTAATTAAGCTATTTTATTTGAATATCCATCTTCATGGTTGGTCGTTGTATCAAACCTTTTAGAATTTAAATATGTTGAAACATTATAAGTAATAAAATAATTCAGAATCATTAGGAAACAAAGATGATTTTAGAGAATTGTTGATAAAAAAAAATTAGATTTAGTTATTATATAAATTTTTTATAAAATACAAGTAAATTAAAAGTATATTCTTAAGATGAAATAAATTCTCCTCAACCTTTTATATAAAAAGTTCTGTTGAAATTTTTAGATAAAATACGAGCAGAAATTGCACTTGAAAAACTTAATGGCAAAGGTTGTTATGGTTGTATTTTAAAATTTGATTTGTAAGTATAAAGATCTCGTTCAGAAATGTATTTAATATCAATTTGTATGTTAAAAAACTATATAAAATTATCATTTCTTCATACGTCCTTTTCCTTCTTTCCGACATTCTGTAGAACAAAACCAAGGTTCATTCTCAGGAGGGAAATCTTTTAATTTAACACATTCTAGATGAAACCATTCTTTTGAACATAATTGATTATCACACATAACCATTTATCCAAAAGATGGCTTTTAACATATACAATATAATGGTTCACTTTAACTTGCATTCTAAAATATTTCTTTGCTTTATTCAATTTCTTGATTAATTTTCTTTCTTTTCTCTTTTTAATATTTACTCAAGATTAAAAACCTTCTTTTATGATCAGGTGCCATACTTGATTTTAGATTCTCTTCAAACTTCTTTAAATCATTATCTAATTACTATTATTATTTGTATTAATTACTTAAACAGCATTATCAACTACTTCATAGACTTTATCACTTATGTTTATTTTTTCTTAAGATAAATTTACACTTTCTTCGTATAACTAATCTATTTCCTATTTTGTTTTCTCAGATTACTGTTATTTGTATTGTTTTTTTAATAAGGTTAATTTTAGTTGAATTTTCGTAACTTTCTCATCCAATTCTTTAATTAATCTTAAAGATCTAGTAACTTCTTATGGTACATGACTTTATCTATCAAAATAATCTTCCAATTATGCCATCAAATAAGTATATATATATATAAAATTAATTAATTGCATAATCAAAATAGCTTTTCAATAGCTATTTTAGGTTCATTGTATTTTTAAAATTCTCTTAATCTAAATGTGGATTATAAAACCAATCTACAATCAGGTGCTGGTAAGACCTATTCAGTTAAAAAGTCAAATAAAGTCTTTAATTCTTTATCATCTTTATTATCATAGAATGGAATAATTGGAATTCCATTTTCAAGATGAACACCAAATGAATATGCAGCATTATCTACTAATACAATATCTTTAAGATCTCTATTAAATATTTTCAAATCTTTTATATGTACCCCATCTGGTGATAAAATACATTTATCTCTAAATAATTAGGCTGAAAGAAATTAATTTTTAGGATCTAAATATTAAATCACCTAACTAGCATAACATTGATGAGAAGCAGTGAATACAACAACTTCACAAATTTAACTTAATTCTTATAGAATCCATTTAGCATATGGTCTAATATTTATACCTGCTTAGACAGTATCACCTGAAGGAAATGTTATAGGTAAATAAACATCAGCCTTTAATGATTAATTTTCATTACAATGAATCAAAGTTTCATCAAGATCAAAAACTACTGTTTTTTAATCTAATATTATCTGTGTAGTATATTACATTTGCAATTCTATTTTGGTGGTAAATTTAATAATTTAGATTGTATAATTTATTGATCTGATTCTTATAGATTTATACAAAAGCTAACACAGTTGAATGTCTAAACTGCATGATCTTTAAATAATTATTACTCAGATGTTTAAGTATAAGAATGCTTAAAAGCTTCAATCAACGAAGTAATATAATATATTTATTCTAAATTAGTTTAGTATCAATACTTTTTGGTTTTGCTGATCCCACTCTTGTTGAAGGAGACAAAGATTTTGTCTATTTGAAAGGAGAAATCAATGTTTTGTTAGGTCTACTTACTTGAGTTATGAAATCATCTAAACAAACTTTTATATTCTCTTTCTTATTAGAATCATTATTCTTTTTTAATTATTATGCAATCTATTATGCAAATTGATTTGAAGGAAATCTTTAATCTATTGACATCAGATTATATTTCTTTTATTTTTATTTCAGAGTTGTGGTTGTTTGAATTAATGGTGTAAGTAAAGCACTTGCTGACTTTTCCAATTAAGAAAAATTACGATGTAAACTAGTTTTCGTTTTAGGCAATACCTATGAATTATTTTAAAACTTTCCTTGCTCTTTAAGATTGCTTTTCTGGTACAAAAAATATTTCATCTTTTTTAGTTTACTATAATATAATACTTCTGATGCAATTCTACATGATTATGGTGTATTATTTCTAGGAGTAATTGTTTATTGTTATGTTTAAGTAGATAAGTGCTGTTATTATTAATTTTGATCAAGTTCAACATTCTTATTTTATTGTCTCCCTAAGTTATAAAGTTTCGTTAATGCTTGATATTGTTCTCTAAATTATTTTATAGTTTAAAATACTTCGTTATATTAGCTTTAATTGGTTTTACTTCTTATCTTGATGTAACAGATTTAATATTTTAGTTTTACATTTAATTTATGACTAATCAGCAAAAACATTTTACAATCAAATCAATTAAAGTACTTAAATCATTTATATACATTTACATAATACTTAAATAAATGATTTAATTAAGTAAATAAGACAAATTAATTACTTGAGTTATTCAAAAATAATATAAATTTTTGATATTAAATAGAAATAGGAAATAAAAAATGAAAATGTATTTAATAGAATTACTCTACTTAAATTAACAATATTAAAGAAAATTGATTACTTCGATATATTTATAAGTTTTATTATTAATAAGACTCTTATCTAAAAAAATTGATTGTTAATTTTACCCTATAAAAATATAACATAATTTTTAATTAGAAAACTTAAAAAAATCTGAATAAAAGAATTTGCAATAATTACAAGAAATCAAATAAAATCATTAATGTTATCATCATCTATAATTTACTTTTTTTGAAGGAATGCTTTAGTATTAATTCTATTAAACTCTTGTTTTATTAGATCATCCAAAATCCATTTTAATGCTTCTTCAAATGATTTTGCTACTCCATTTTTAATTTATTTATGTTCTGCTTTTTTACAAGCATTTCCAAGAATTAAAATCAGGTTTTCTATAATCTCCTTTTTCTGTTCCAGATATTGTAATTAAATATTTAAGTTCCATATCTTATTATTTAATAATACCTTTATCACTTAAATCTGTCTTTCTTACTTTGCTTAATAATTATAAATTTATTAATGATGAGATAGTCAAAATATCTCCTTTAGGTGACATATCTTAATTTTATTTATGAATTACCCATAAGTATCTTTTATTTATTAATAATTTCTTAATTAATTTTGTTATTCTTCTCTAGTTCTCATCACTAATAAAACATTTCTCTATTAATTCTTCATTGTCTTATTATCAATCTCTAAATAGTGATATCGGAAATAAACTTAAAATATGAATATCAACTCTTTCAGGTACATAGAATAAATCTTCCTATCTTGGTTATATATTTTATATTGACATATAATATTTATATTTATAATTTTTTATCCTTCAACATTAAAATAATTTAATTGCTTTAGCTTTACATCAATTTATTTATCTTATACTTTAATTTTATTTAATGTTTAAGACCATCTCTTATGTTATTAATCCTTTACCACACATTGAATATATACTTCAAACTTCTCTATTTTAAAAAAAAGAAAACCGAGGTACCATTTTTTGAACTTTTAATCCACATTCAACCTTACCTAAATATAAATCATCATGATTGAAATATGATAAATGTATGAACATTGGATCATTTGCAGGTCCAGATGAATTCGGGTCCCATTTATTTTGTACTCTTAATCACTTCTGATGAACTCAATTAAGTCATCCTATTATCATTTAAATTATATTCTTTTATATCATTTTATTACTATAACCCCTTTATTAACAAAATCATATACTTATCACCATACTTCATATGATTATTATTTATATTATTATTAAAGAATCGAAATTTTCCAAGAGGTAATAAAGAAGATGGCAAAGTAGTCATAAAATTATCATTTCGATTATAGATTTTGTTTTATTCATACCTTCTCTGTTCTTTTATGAAATTTATATAAATCCTATCTGATACTTATCAAATTTATAGGACTTATTTCAAAATTAAAATTTAAATCTTCTTCATCCTCTTTTTCCTTTAAGTAACGATGCTATTTTTATCCTGGATTTTAGGCAGAGAGATTAAGTGAATTAACCCTTTTATCTAAATTTCATAGTTTAAGTTATAAATCGATAAAATCAATTTATGAAAAATAGATTTATCATTTTTATACTTTGTTCTTCGACTCTACTTCCAATACTTTATTAAAATGATTAAAATAAAAACTTTATTTGTTTGAGTAGTATTTCTGTTCAAAATAAAAATAAAATATTCTTTGTATTTTAAATTAAATCTAAGAAAAATTAAATCCAATTTTTTTCAAAATTTTGTTCATTTAATATAAAATAAAGCCTATTTTTGAATTTCATTTCATTTAAATATTTTCAAAAAGTACATTTTTAGTTTTTTGCTTGCATTATTATATTTTTGAATTAAGTTTTTTGATATTTTCTATTTTAATTTTCTGGTATTCTTTTTTATTACTAATCGATACCACCCGTAGAGCTAATTAATTTAATTAAATTCTGTCAATTTTTTTGATTTAATAAACATATTAATTTTAAGATCTACAATAACTAGCATAATTAAAATATATAAAGTAATTTTCATATGTAAAATCAACAATTAAGTATTTCTTCAATTTATCATTGGAGAGCAGAAATCCCCAAATATTCTTAAAATTTAAATTAATTAATTTTTAATAAATTCAAATTGATTATCAAGATAAATTTTAGTCTGAAGAAGAGAATTTTTTATTAATCTAGTGAGTTATCAAATGACTAAACTATAATATCACCTGCTTTGTAACATAAATGAACTACATTACTTTAAATGAACTTATTCAAATGTAGAAAAATATTTTCAATACTGATTTTTTTATTAATATTGAATTTATCTTTATAGTAGTTAAGTTCCAAATATAATATGTTTTCATTAAGAATACTCAATTTCCAAAAATCCATGACAATCCTTTTTTAACTTTTATTTATCCAATCCATTTTTTTATTTCTTCAGATTAGGGATCACCATATTCGATTGCCATTTAGTAACATACGGCAGCTTCTTCTAGTTTCTTTGTTTCTTCTAAGACAACACCTAAATTAGTAATAAATTCATACCCTTATTTTTATAAATTTAAGGGCATTTTGGATTGATAAGAAGTGCCAAATCAAATTATTTCAAAGCTTCTTTACTTTGTTTTAGTTCTTTTAATAACAAGCCTTTATTTAAATAGGCTTATATGCATTTATTATCAATTTATATAGCTTAATCATAACATTAAAATGCTTCCTTATATTACTTCAATGATAGTAAGCAATTTCCTCATAATAAAATAATGAAATACCTTTTAAATTATAAGCGAAAACAAATTTGCTATCAAAAAATAATGCTCTATCAAATTAGGTAATTGCTTCTTTGTATTTTTTTTATAACTTTAGACAATTTCCTTTTAAATAAAATGCCTATTTATAATTAGGATCTTTTTTCAGTGCTTCTTCTATAAAATCTAATGCTTAATCATATTTTTTCATATCACATAAAACCAAACCTATAATATATAAATTATGAAAACATTTGCTATCATATGCTTTGAGAAGATTTGGATCTTAACTTATTGCTAAATCTAAATAAAAAAGAGCTTCATCTAATTTTTATTATGATCTTAATATGTTACCTAAATAATTAAAATAATGTATTTTTTGTACCAATATTATAATTGTTTAAGCTAAAGTTGGGATCAAATTAAGCAGCTGCTTTAAATGAAATCAGAGCTTAATTTAAATCTTCATTTTCTAATAGAGTAATGCCTTTTATTGTTTAAAATGATACCTTAACAATAATGAAGATAGGCTTTATTATAAGCAATTTATAAGCCTTCTTAGAAGGATTAAAGAGCAGCATCTTGAATTTTGAACTTTACTAAAAGAGATCCTAAAGATAATAAATAAATTTTAAACCCTTTCTCGCATATGCAAAAGTCTGCCTTTTATCATAACTAATTGCTTAATCATATAGCAATAAAGCCTTTTCTTAATTATCCATCATGTCTAAGGCATAGCCTTAAGCAATAGTGAGAACTGAATTCTAGGCTATATTTCTTTCTATATTGCACCATTTAATTAAATCAATTGATAAATTCTCATTTAAGGCTTAACATTCTTCTAATAATTTCAAACCTTCTTAGCATCTATTTTTTTCAATTAAGACCCAACCTAAATTAATTTTAAATATACTTTAGAAAAAAAGAGTTTTATAATCATTCTTATTTTTTTCAATGGATTTTGAAAACATTTAATCTGCCTTATCCCACTCATGTTCTTACATATACTGTAATCCTATCAATAAAAATTGATTTACATACCAAATTCAAATAATTATTTAGCTTAATTAAGTTTAGTAACCTACAAATCATTATTTTATGATTCTGAAATCATCTAAAATTTATTAAAATACTAAGTTGATTGATTTTTAATCTATTAGAATGAAGATTATAATAATTTAATAATATTAAAACCTGAGTCTTAAATAATGATCTCATTTTCTATTTATTTATAAAATTAATAAATACTTGTAGAACTTCCTTTTCCACCCTAATTACTTAAACTCATGGAATACCAAATTCTTAATAAAGATATATTAGATTGTTCTCTTAAATCTTCATAATTCTATTCTTCAAGCATTTATTTAAAATAAGCTAATTTATTTTTTGTACTATCTAATTCCTTTATTTATTATTCATATATTGCTCTGACTTCTTAAAACGATTTTTCTAATGATTTTTATTAGTTAGAAAATATAGTTATTGAATTCTAAACCAAGTCTAGAATTTCTTAGAACCCTTTACAATCTTCTTTATGATTGCTATGTTTATTTTCTTCTTGAATGCACTTCAAACAGAATTATTTTTAAGGACAATTGCATTCAATATTTAAGCAATATCCTTAAATAGGCTCATTTAAATGGTCAAAATATGTACAAGAATAGACTCTGTTCATCATTTTTAAGAATATATATTAATTAAATCGTACTTTTTTTAATATTATCATCTTTAGAGTTTTTTTTATGAATATAAATAATTATATATATCTATACCATTACATTTCTATGCGATTATGATGATCATAAAAATATGATTCTTTATATATTTAGAAGAATTAAATTTTTAAAACTTTTAAACTTAATATATAAATATTGATGAAAAAAATTTTATTTAAAGAAAAATAAAAAAATCATTAATATTGCTTTTGAGTCAAAATATGATTTAGAATAATTAATAACAATTTGCATCCATGTGAAGAGCTTGATTATGATAAAAAGGACTTCTATAGAGGTATTGAATTTTTCTATGATTTTTCATTTTACAATTGAATTTACAATTTTTATATTATTATTTAGAATTATAATTATTAAAATCTATTCGTTTTTGTTAAATCATCAAAAAATAGCAGAAGCATAGTTTGAATAAAGAGATATTGGTTTATAGAGGTGTGAATATAAGTAAGGAATTTGGTTTGATGCCAAAATATGTGGATTAAGAAAAAATAGATAAATTCTGAGTATTGAGAAGAGATGAAGAATATGATGAAGTTTTATGTAAATAATGCTAAAAAATGATTAGAATGACGATTGATGATGCTTAATTGTAGAAATGACGCATTAATTGTGATTATTAGAAAATAATAAAGAATAAGATAAAGAATAATTGAGGTTGAATAAAGGATAGTGAAAGGAAATTAATGATTATATACATATGTATAGATTAGGCATTAAATAATAAATATATCTTTATTAATGAAACCGCAATAATTACCACAGTAAGCGGCTTAGAGTGATCATGAGTTTGATAAACATCATCATGAAAGTTAAGGAGATGAACATGGAGATGAACATCATTTAAAAGAATACACAACAAAAGAATTGAGGAGTATTAAAATATAAGGTGTTATATGTTTAATTGGAGGAATAGCATTACACTTTGTACTTGGAACATTTTATCTTTGGGGTGGAATAAGTATAAATTTTGTAATAAATATATAGGTCCATATGTAGGTGCTTATATGAAATATAGAGATCCAAATGTTACATAATCTACATTATAGATTATATTTCCTATCTTAGGATTAGGATTATTTTCTGTTCTATCGTTTGGAGTTAAATTAGCTCAACGAATTGGATTTAAAACAATGATAGGTTTAGCTGGAACTATCATATCATTAGCATTTTTAATACTATCATTTATTAACAACATTTATGCATTCATTTTGATATATTGTTTTATGATTGGGATTCCATCAGGATTAGTGTATATGTTACCTATAAGTAATATATTCTATAATTATAAGTTTGTGGATGGAAATTCTTTCCTTTCAATAGAGGAATGGTATCAGGTTTAATTATTGCTGGATATGGATTTGGAGCATTTATTTTTAATTTTGTGTGTAAGGCTATTTGTAATCCAAATAATGAGGAACCTAGTGTAACATATGAAGAAGATGGAAAGGTTAAAAAATACTTTTCATAAAATGTACATAAAAATGTTCCATTAATGTTTTAAATGTTGGCATTGTAATTTAGTTTACATAAATTTGATTAGATCATATTTTTTATTAACGATAATAGCTACACTATTGATTAAATATCCAAGAGATCTTCATCTTGAATATCAATCAGTTTTAGGAGATGGAGTAAAGAAACCAAGTGGAATAAATCATGAGAAATCAGTAGATTATCATCCAACTGTCCATCATGCAGAATGTGAAACAGTAGGTTAAGGGATGAAATCAAAACCTTTTTGGTTTTTAATTATAATGGTATTGTGTTCAGTAATACTTGGATTATTGATGGCAAATTGTTACAAAGTGTTTGGTCAGACAGTAATAAAACTGATATAAATATATAGCTTGGAATAAATGATTCTAATTTAACAGTTCTTGGATCAGTATAAGCAGTTTGTAATGGAGGATCAAGATTTATATGGGCAGTATTATTAGATAAATATGGGTTTAAAAAAATATATTTAATAATATCAGTGATAAATTTAATATGTAGCGCTACAATAGGTTATATTGATAATAGTTATGTTGGATATTTTATCTTATTATGTGTGATAATGTTTTGTGAAGGTGGATTATTATCTTGTTTTCCAGCAGTAAGTGCAAAAGTGTTTGGACATAAAGTAAATAGTATAAATAAAAATAGGTTGGACCAGTAATATATGGAGGATTATTTTTTGTTATAGGATTATCAAATATGTTAGGATATTTATTGTACAAATTTGGTGAACCAAAAATTGGTTATAATGGTGTATTTTGGATAGTATTTGGATTTTGTAGTGTAGCATTCATTTTAGGTGTATTTTTTAAGGAAGAATATGAATGGAAGAAGAAAGATTAAAAATGATAATATACAAATTTGTATATATATATATTTATTTGATAAATTAGAAATTTAAATAATATTAAAAAGATGACTAATACAAAAGGATCAATGGTAGTAGTACCACTGTCTAAATATAAATTGGTGTTTTTAGGTGATTAATCAGTAGGAAAGACTTCCATAATAATTCGATTTATGTTTGACATTGTAAATTAAATCAAGCCAACAGTAGGAATAGATTTTATTTCAAAGACTCTCTATTATAAAGATAGAACAATACGTTTATAATTATGGGATACTGCAGGATAAGAGAGATTTAGATCATTAATTCCTAGTTACATAAAAGATAGTGCTGTTGCTGTTGTTTTTTATGATGTAGAAGGTGTGATCATATATTTACGCAGTAAAATAATCATTTTAAGTTTAAATAAATTGATAGAAGATGTTCGTTTAGAAAGAGGAAATGATGTAATCATATTTATAGTGGCTAATAAAATTGATTTAGAAAATAGGTAATTCATATATCAATTTATTTAATAGCTATAACTACTGAAGAAGGAGTTATTTGGCAAAAGAATTTGATGCTCATTTTATTGAAGTTAGTGCTAAAACAGGTAATAATGTTGAGTTGTTATTCAAATAAATAGCAACAACATTACCTAATACTAGTAAACTGTATTAAAAATATATTTAGCTAATCCAGTTAAATTAGATATTCAAAAAATATAAGATTAAGATAAAACAGATACCAAGGCTTGTTGTTAAATCCTATATTATTTATGCTCATTTATTATTTTTATTATTTCTCAATATAATATTTTATCTCTTTTTTAAATTCTAATTATTTATTTTATATTTCTTATAAAATTAATATATTTATGATCTTCCTAATCATTATGACTGATAATTCAATATCTAATTACTTTTAAAAATTTATACAAAAAAATTATTAGAATTTAATATTTATTCTAAACAAGAAATAAATTAAATATTGAATTATCATATTTTATTAAATTAATTTAAAATAATGAAAAGACATAGTATAGGCAAACGATTTCGTAAAATGAAAGGATTACGCAAAGTAGATCCTAATGCAGTTATTCCAGAAGCTCCTAAATAACTATAAGATTATATAGATATCTTAACTGCCCAAGGTTTATAAATTAACAAAGTCAAATATGCAATCTTTCAAACTAAAAATGGTTTAAAATATCCAGGCCTTATTGGTATTCAAGTATATCATAATTTAGCATCTGAAAAGATTCTCTCTAATGAAACCCTTGTTTCAGTACCTAAAGATTTATTACTCACTACAAGACATGCATTTGAATCTCCATTAAAATAAATGTTTTTAGATCATCCACAATACTTTAGTAATCAATTTTACTCCTCATGGGAAGATCATTTATTATTGGCATTTATTCTATATGAATATTAAAGAGGACCTTAATCTTAATGGCATCTCCTTATCTCTAATCTACCCAGAGATATTGATTATTTAGTATTTTGGAGTCATGAGGAATAAGATTTATTAGATGATTAATAATTAGTCAAATTAGCTAGAAAATAGTATCAAGAATTTTTAGTTGAATTTGAAACTCTCAAATGTATTACTGATAAATATCCCAATCTTTTTGCACCAGAAACTGTTACTCTAGAAAATGCCAGATGGGTTTACACACATCTTGTTACAAGATGTTTTGGCAAATATCTAGCATATGTAACAATGGTACCATTTTGTGAATTGTTCAATCATGAATGTACAGATGTGTTTTATGATTTTGAATACAATGATGATAACCCTCATAAAAGTGAAGAAAGTGAATAGACTTAAGTAAAAGAATTAAAAGAAGATGAAGAATTATCAGTTACATCTTCTGAAGGATCTTATCATTCAGATGATGAAATAAGTGATTCAGAATATATTACAGACACGTTTGATCAATTTACAGAATTTGATTTTGATCAATTTAGCTAAGTATCTACTAACAATTTCTATGAAGAGTTTGGGAAGACTTTTGATATAAAATAATAAGAAAATGAGGAAGAAGATGAATTCAACAAAAGAATAAAGGAATTATAAGAGAAATAAATTAAAATGAGGAAAGATTTTAATATTAAACTGAATCTTTAAAGAGAAATATTTTTATTATCTCGAGATTGTAAATCATTCATATTTTAAAATATCGATTATGGAGATAATTATTCTATTTTTTTTATTGGATAGATGTTCAACAAACTTGAAAAATCTATTTAAGAATATATTAATGGAGATAAAGCTTATTTTATGGCCAGAGAAGATATCAAAAGAATATAATTATCTTGTAATACATACAAAAATAACTTGTATGCTTTTCAGAAAGATGTAATGAAAAAACCAATCTATCAAACTAGTTATTTTCAACAAAAAAGATCAAAGACTCAAAATTCCACATTAGACAATGTTTAACAAATACTCTCTTAACCTTTAGATTATGATTGTGAATATTATAAAACAGTTTGGGATAAAGATAAATTTGATAGATTTGTTATGAAAACTGCTAGTAAAGATCAATTTGAAAAAGGAGCCTAAGTGTATTTTTGTTATGGTCGATTGTCTAACAGAATGATGCTTATGAGATATGGAATGACTTTAGAATACAATAAATATGATCATGCTCATTTAAGAATAGAATATTTGAAATATATACAAAATAATGAAGCCATATGGTTAGTCCACAAATATTAATTAAGCAAATACAAAAGATTTAAATTAAAACATACTACTTTTCCAATTGATTTTATTGTTTTCTGTAAATCTATCTATTGGTAACCATAATCTAAATACATTTTGTAGGACTTTTAATGTAAATTCTTTAGACTCTTTTTTTAAGATCTAAGATCTTCAATTAGAAAGAAAAGCTTTATAATTAGCTTTAGAAATCTTAGTTGAAGAAATTTCTAAATTTTCAGATAAATTGGAAGAAAATGAAAAATTATTGTATGACAAAAAATTAGGATATCATGAATATTTCGCTGTTATATATAGGTTGGAAAGATAAAGAATTTATCATCATAATATTAAGTAATTTTTGATATATTAAAATAGTTTAATCAAAATTTGTATTGTTGTAATAGATAGAATGTTAGATGGAATACCTTTTGAATAAGCCACAGTAAAAACATAATTTGATTTTGATTATTGTGAAACAAATCGAATAATTTTAGCTAAATATTTTGAACAAATGAGATATGCTCTCTATTTACCAAAATGAAATGTTTATTTTTAGTGTTAATATAAATTTAACTTATGAATTATCCAAAAAGATTTTCGATTGGCAAGATGTATTAAAGAGTATTTGTCATAATATAATGTTAAAGGAAAAAGGAATTTATTAGAAAGATTAAGATAGCACATCTTTTTAAAAAGGCCAAATAACAGAATATGAAGAAGATTATATAAATTAAGGATTGGAATTATAGAATGTTGAACTAGCAACATTCTATTTAAAAAATGGATTACCATATAGAGGTTTGAAAGGTAATATCAGATTGTTTTGATTAGGGAACAGCTACTGAAAATATTCCAGTGAATTGTCCTTTGGTTCAAGTTCCCCGCCAATTGATAATAAGTAGCAAAACTGCATTTGAATCTAGTCATAGAGCCTTTTATTTTAAACATAGATAGTTTTTTTTAGATCATGAAGAAGGAGAAGAACATGTAATAATAGCATTTCTTATAATAAATAAAAGAGATGGATTAAGATCCAAGTATTTTAGATTTATTGAATAATTACCGAAAGATGTTAATATGCTGATATTTTGGCCAGAAAATAAATTGAAATTACTATAAGATGAAAATTTAATTCTAAAAGTTCACAAATAAAAATAAGAATACGAGTAGACTTATTAAGTATTTAAATTAATTATGAATGCTACAGAGGAAGAATTTTAATGGGCATATACTAATTTATATACAAGAGATTTTGGACATAATTTAAAATATAAAAGTCTAATACCTTTTTGTGAATTCTTCAATCATGAATGCGTTGATGTACATATTTCTTTCTTGTCTGATTAAAATTAAAAAAAGAAAATCAATTAGATTTAATATAGTAATAATAAGAAGAATAAAAAAGGAAAAAAGAGAAAATAAATTATAAAAAAAAAACAAGGATTTTATGAAGAAGAAGAACTTTAGAGTGTTTAATCATCTTCAGACTCAGATAATTCTTTAGATTTAGATTCAAATGAATCTGATCTAGATTTATTTATTGTAGATCAAATAGTAGATTGGGCTAGTAAAAATAATTTAGAAGAAGAAACATATGAAATATTAAGACATTATTTACTTTATAATGTTTTATAATATTCTGAGAAATAAAGTAAATATGATAAGAAAGTAACTAAAAGAATAATTAATTGGAAAGAAGAAGAAGATTTTGATTATTTTTGCATTAGTTCACAATAGACTGAAAATTTTCAAAAGGGAGCTTAGGTTTATTTTAATTATGGAAGACTTTCAAATAGAGAACTATTATTAAGATATGGTATTGCGTTAGAAAAAAATAAATATGATCATGTCTATCTAAGAATAAATACAAGAGAATTGCTAAAAAGTTAAGTGAAAAGAATATTTGAAAAAGAATATTTATCAATAAAACTAAAATACACTGAGTTCCCTTTTGATTTACTAAAATTTTGCAAAGCTATTAAAGAGTATTATTTAAAATAGGTTTTAGAAGTGAGAACTAAGATTATTATGATCCATAGATTGTGTTAAAGATAATTAATGTTTAGAGTGAATTGAAAGGTTAATGTTACTTATAGATATAGGATTGACAAAAGCCATAGAATTATTACAGTAATTCAAGACAGAATTCAAAGAAGATTTAACTTAAAGTGATATTTTATTAAAGAATAAAAATTTGGGTTATGATGAGTATTTTGCCTTGGTTTATAGATTAGAAAAGTAAAGAATCTTACAACATAATATTATTTTACTATAATTGGCTAGGGAAATTCTATTAGATCCTGAAAGATTAGAATATACTTCTGGTTTGTATGAATCAACGTAATATCAGTATACATATAGAATAATTCTAAAAAAGTACTTAGAACAAATACTGAAATCATGAAAATTTTACTTTGCATATATTTATATATAATAATAATGTTTATTCTAATTATTTATGATAATATAATAATATGATAAATATTATCGATAATAATAATTAAGTTTGATTTAGAGTACCTGCAAACTTTACATGACAACTTATTTGCACATGAAAGGTTTTTGATGCTCATGAAAATTCTAGCAATTACTTTATAATTAATTTAATCTAATGTATATCTAAAATTTTATGGGATTTTATTAATTAATTAATTTAATGAAATATACACCTAGAATTTAGATGGAAGGAAATTAATTTCACTTAATATATGAATAAACAAATGATGAGTTATTGGACATTTTAGAGAAAGGAGTCTCTAAAAATATACTAGTACTTCGCGAAAATGGTTATTGTGTTACAGATAAAATAACTAAAATTAAATACATAGTAAATTATTCGAGAAAATTTTTAAAATTAAGGTATGGTTATATTTAAAATATGCTAAGTTTTTAAAAATATGATGTTTTAGAATATGATATGGGAAACTTAATTGAAAGCTTAAGTTTAAAGCTATACCAATAATAAAATTAAATGAAAATGATGTTTTCAAAGGTTAACTAATTAAATGAAAGTTATATTCGAGAAATAGAATATGCTCCAACAGATATTGTAATTGAAATAGTTTTTGGTAAAATGATAATTGGTAAATTTTATATTTCATACATAATTGGAAATTCCTTGATGTCTGTTGATGAACGATATGCAAGGTTTTAACTTATAAACTTAGAAATGTTAGAGGATAATACATTAAGCTTAGAAATTTTTAAGGCTAATCCATTAAACTTACATTTTCTCACTTAATTTACAGCAATAGATAAATTTATTGATTTAATCTATAGAACCTTTATTCCACTTTAGTTATTGAACAATAAATTAATCTCTTCTAATTTTTTTTGTCAACTTTACTAATATTATTTAATGATTTATCCTAATCAATAATTTGCTACTATTTTTTTTGGAATAAGAAGTGAGAGATCTAATAACTATTTAGGTATTCATCCTTTATTGATTTAAATGAAAACTTATTTTGTTAATGATAAACTTCAAGTTGAAATTGAATAAGCAGATGCTTTTGCTCTATTAAACGGATATCATTAATTGGTTGATTTTGCATTTTTTAAAAAAGAAATTCATGAAGTCATAACAAAATGGTCTTTTCTCACTTGCTAAGAACTTGATGAATTCTTTTAAAAATTTTTATTTATTGGATTTGCATATATTTTATTGTATCCAAAAAGAGAATAACTATTTTAATTATTAAGAAAAACAAATTGGGAACATATTTTAAATCCACTAATTTTAAAAATTGCTAATTTACACTTAACATTAAGTCAAAAATAAAGATAAGATTCTATAATCATTGACTATAAAAGATTCTTTATTTTACATATTGATAAATTTTTCCATCTTTTTGAATATACAATGAGTAAAGAATAAAGAGAAGGAAGGGAGAATCCTATTATGCATATTCTTAAATAATATTGGGAAAGATTAGATAAGAATTGTTCAAATATTGTAAAAAATGGTTTCAAAGAAAATGAAATAAATTCTCAATTCTAAAAACTTAATATGGTATAATTTTAAGGTGATAGAATATTATTCATATTTCAATCTATTGAATATAATGTACTTAATACATAAATAATAATAAAATTTGATTAGGGACATGAAATTCAGAGATGGAGATTCAATGAATTTCCTAAATAAGAATAAGAATTAATTATCAGATAATTTTGATTTTGTTATGTTTTATGAACGATGTATTATTATTTAATAAAAAAGGAATTATTAATAATTATTTTAATTCATATTTACGTGTATTAGATGGAATAGCAAATACTTCTTTAAACAAAGATAGCTTTCTTCTTAGGCAATTTCAATAAAGTCTTAGAAATATGGTAGTAGAATGATTATGAAGATGATTACTATTACTTTTTGGTATCGAGAGCATTAATTGCAGCTCGAGAATTGAAACCAAAAACAATAAGATTAACAAAGAAACCATCTTCAAAATTATTAGAGATAACAGATATTGTCAGCAGATTTATGGGTCCATTAATAGAACAATAAAGAGCAGATACTACAATTGATGAAGATAGAAAACAAATAGAAGATGTATTAAAAAAACTTAAAGACATAATTCCTCAATAAAACTAAAAAATAATTTAAATCATATGTGCATATATGTCTGTAAATTCTTGTGAAGCATAATATGCACTTCAATTGGAATTACCTAAAGACGCATTTTAGTAAGAATTGTTATACCTCTAATTCATGATTTATTTAAGAGGTAGAAGATTTGATTTAGCAGAATCTACTTTATTAGATCTAAGAAGATTTGATGATGAGGATATTCTCACATATTTAGCATAAATATATCTAAATGTATATTTTTGATCATTAATCTATAGCTTTATAATGGATAACCAGAATAAGCATTTAAATCTATCCAAGAAACTAAAGATCGATTTGGTGATTCCTCTAAATTGATGAATTTGATGATTACCTGTTTAATCCAGTATCATATTCTAAACTTAACATTTTAGTCAAAATAAATTTGAAGAGGCTTTTGAATCTGGTTAGAAAGTCAAAACCTTAATCATTGATAATGAGTAATTTTCAGATCGCTAAGAAATTGAAGTTTGTTTATCAAATCTAATTGTATTAAGTGAATTGTTGAATAAATAATAATAAAAAGAAGAATACATTTAAGTTTTGGAATAAATTAACAAATCCTGTCATTTTCTTAAGCGATATCAAGAAAAAGTAAAGAAAATTGACCAATTATCATGAAATTTAATTATCTATATGTTTAAAAAAGCAATACAATGAATTTAGGTGTTGAAACAACAATAATATATTTATATATAGGATTTCAATATTCCCCAACCAAATCTCTGTAATTCAACTTTTAATTTATTCTTCTTCTTAAACTTCGATTGTTCAATTAAGATTGCTCTTTAACCTTAGAATAAGATTATATAAATACTTCCTGTTGTTATAAGGACTATTGACTTAATTATTGAGACGATGTTATATGCTATTGTAAAGTTTGAAGTGGAGATTACAATTATAATTTCTTAACCTTTTTAAGCGAATTCCTTAGGAGATCCAAATCTAACTTGATTTCCTCCTCTAACAAATTTAATCGGTAAGCTAAGCTATAATTGATATATATTCACTATATTATATTTTATTATCTTTTGTAGCCACAAATGTGATGTTTTTTTCTTTATTTTTAGAATCTTCTTGTTCAGGAATGGGACGTTATTTCTAAATAGGAAGTTCCTCAGATTTTTTCATTACTGGTTTAGTCTTCTTGATGTTTTTAGAACAATTTAAACAATGATATGGAGTAGTTTCTGGTTCATTCTCAATATTTTAATTTCTATTTTTTTTTTCACAAACAATGTGATTCTATTTTAAATATTAATAATGTGATATACCCATTTTTAACATTAATCACATTGAACCCAACCAGCTTCATCATCATAAGATCCATATACCTAAAATAAATGAATAAGGATATTAATACTTGTTCGCAAAAATCACAATAATTTCCTTTATTATATAATTTAGAACATTTGTCACAAAAGAATAATATATCATGTCTCTTTGATTTAATTTTCTTATCTCCAACATTCTTACATTAAGAGTTATGACACTTCTTAACAGGTTATACTGGTTCATCATCATCTACTGTTATTGGATTATCTGCATTGTTTTTTATCTTCTAAGTTTAATTCACTTATTATTAATTGTTTAACGGGTTTGGCTATGGTTGTGATTATCCAGCATTTGGTAAATACGAAAGCATTTCAATTCCATTCATCAAAGATGAAAAATCTAACAAAATAGCCAAACAAACAAATATAAAAGCATTGAAATATATGTGTGACAGATATAGTTATTCTTACTTAATAAATTCGAGAGTTGAAAGCAATCCTTCAATTATGAGTTTTAATTAATGTAATTCATTAAGTTTGGGGTTAGCAGCTAACTCATAAGACACTGTTGTAATTCAGTTCCAAACATCTGAATAAACTGCTAATTTCTAATATTATCATTGGTATATCAAAATATATTATATGGTGATCAGTAAATAAAATTATATGTTTAAGAGTAATCTCATACCTTTAAAACAGAAATTATTGATCTAATTCTGATGTGTTGCTTCCCAAACCAAATGGTTGATTATTATTCTTTCCTTAACTCATATTTTTATTGTTTAAATTAAACAGAACCTAAATTATATAAAATACAACCTTGTAATAAATATGTATGTAAAACACACTCAATGATTTTTAATTAAAATTGTTCTATAAATCTATTTATATAATTTTATTTCTCATTTATTATTTTCTATATTACTAACTTAAAAGTTATGAATCATTCATTTATTCATCAATTCATCAATCCGAAACCGTAATTTTGATTTTTCTATTTAATTAAATTAGAGATGCGATTGAAAATAATAGTCTAAAATCCATTTTTTAATTAATCAGATGATACTGATTATTAATTTTACTCCATTCACAATATATCAAAAATAAATGTATTATTGTAAAATTTCATTCGAATCCTATTTTTACTCACTAATTCATATAAAAATTTAACTACTATAAAGATATGTGAATAATACTTATTTTTCATATATATAAGAGGAATAGTATGATTTGAGCGAAATTTAAAAATTAATTCATTTATTATGTAGCAAGGATCACGACTGAAAGAAGCTACCGAAGGAACAATATCCCAGTTTGGAAATAAGATAGGAGGTCCTTTTAAGATAGGAAAGCCTGTATTCTAAGAGAAGAGATTAAAATTATTTACAGAAATTTATCAACGTCAACAGGCAGAATTAAAGCAGTTGGAATAGACACCAATAAAGATTATACTCAAAGATGGAAAACAAATTGAAGGTTAGAAGTATTTTTAAATTTTAGGTAAAAAATGGGTTACAACACCACTCTAAATTGCAGTAGGAATAAGCAAGAAATTAGCTGAAAATATAGTTGCTGCAAAAGTAATCTATGAAACTTTATTTGAAAAAAGTATTCATAATTAAATAGAATAGGTTTCGTGGATGTTGACCATGAGGAGACCTCTAGTCAAGCATCTTCAACATTAAGTTTAAAACCTGATTACTTAATTTGGGATTTGACAAGACCTTTAGAAGGAGATTGTAGTTTAGAATTGTTACCATTTGATGATAAAAATGGACAAGAAGTATTTTGGCATTCCTCTGCTCATATTCTAGGATCTGCTTTAGAGGAAGTTTATGGATGTCATCTTTGTATTGGTCCAGCAATAGAAGGGGGATTCTTTTATGATTGTTACTTAGGTGATATTAAGGTTACATAGAATGATTATGTAAAAATAGAAAAGGCTGCTTAAGATTTAGTTTCTGCAAAATAAGAGTTTTAGAGAGCTATTTTAACAAAAGAGGAATGGTAAAGACATTATATATATTTAGTCTTGAGATCTTCGGAAATAATCCATTTAAAAGACAATTGATTACTAACAAGATACCAGATGGTTCTTTGACTACAGCATATAGATGTGGAAATTTAATAGACTTATGTACTGGTCCTCATTTACCAAATACAAGTTATGTGAAGGCATTTTAAATAACAAAAAATTCAGCAGCATATTGGTTAGGGAAAAACATTAATGATGATTTATAAAGAGTTTATGGTATTTCATTTCCAAATAAGAAATTATTGGATGAATATGTGAAAATATAAAAAGAATTAGCATTGAGAGATCATAGAAATGTAGGAAAGAAATAAAATTTATATTTGTTTCATTAATTATCTCCTGGATCAGCATTTTTTTATCCTAATGGTGCTCATATTTATAATACATTAATGAATTTTTTGAGACGACAATATTATATAAGAGGATATTAGGAAGTAATATCTCCAAATATTTTTAATGCTTAATTATGGAAGATAAGTGGTCATTATGATAAATATAAGGAGAATTTATTTTTTATAAATATGGGAGAGGAAGGAGAATATGGATTAAAACCAATGAATTGTCCTGGACATTGTTTAATGTTTGATATGGTTTAGCATAGTTATAGAGATTTGCCAATAAGATTTGCAGATTTTGGAGTTCTACATAGAAATGAAGTACATGGAGCATTAAGTGGTTTAACAAGAGTACGTAGATTTTAATAGGATGATGCACATATTTTTTGTAGAATGGATTAAATTTAGGATGAAATTAAGAATTGTCTAGATTTTTTAAGTTACATTTATTCATTGTTTGGATTTGAATTCAAATTATATTTAAGTACTCGTCCTGAAAAGTTTTTGGGAACAAAGGATGTATGGGATAATGCTGAATATTAATTAGAATAAGGATTAAAGAAATTTGGAAAGCATTTTGAAGTCAATCCAGGTGATGGAGCATTTTATGGACCAAAAATAGATGTTAAATTATATGATGCATATAAAAGAGAACATTAATGTGGTACAATATAACTAGATTTTAATTTACCTGAGAGATTTAATTTATAATATAGAGCTAGTGAAGATGTTCATGAAGTATAATAAGATAAGGAGACTGTTCATAATTAATAAATATAGGTAGCTTAAGAAATAATAGATATTCATAGAAAAGAATCTCATTAATCAGATCCTGGAGATGGTGATATTTTAAGTACTCCTCCTCGTCATGGTCAATAATAAAATGAATAACCAGGAGATTTATAGCTTTAATCTAGTCATTCTTTTTAATCAGATAAGGTATTAGAGTAATAACAGCAATAATTTTAATAATTGTAATTATAATAACATTCTCATTCTGCATCAAGTTTATTACATAAAAAGTAAAAATTACCTGAAGAATTATTAGAGTCTGGATCAAGCTAAGGATTATCAAATCATGAATTACATAAAGTATTACATGGTATTTATATATATTTATTATTCATATAGAAAAGAAATATGAATTAGGATATCATCATTTAAAAGCAGGTTTTGCAAGACCAGTAATTGTTCATAGAGCTATATTGGGTTCATTAGAAAGAATGATTGCAGTATTAACAGAATAAAGTGGTGGTAAATGGCCTTTTTGGTTATCACCTAAATAATTGATTTTATGTCCTGTTTCTGCCTATTATAAGGATGTTGCAGAAAAGATTTCAGCTAGATTAAGATTAGAAGGTTATACTGTAAGTACTGATGAATCAGATCAAACTTTGGCTAAAAAAGTTAGAAATGCTTAAATTCAATACTTCAATTTTGTTGGAGTTATTGGAGAAGAAGAAGTACGTGTTGGTGTTATTGATATTAGAGACTGTGATAAAAATACTAGAATTGTATAACTATTATCTTATTTTAGGGTAAATTAACTATTCCATAATTATGCAAATTCTTTGAATCTCTAAAACCTCCTAAATCCAATATTGAAATTGAAATTCACTAGCATGATGACACTCATCTTAAATTAAATGATGAATTATTAGAAAAAGTATTTCTTCATGGAGATGGTTTCATTGTTGGACCGAGAGATTATGAAGAGTTTGCTAAAATTAAAGATATTGATCCAGCTCTATAAAATTTAATTAGATGGCATAAACATATGACTTTCCTAACTAAATAGGATTAATCAAAATTATAATAAGAATGATATATTTCATATATTAATTATATTAAAAATTATACATTACATTCAATGTGGGAATAATTCAAGTATTTTTTTGGATATTCCTTAGATCTCTTTACTATTAGCATTATGAGTTTCCAAATAGTTTAATGCATATTCTCTTGAGTCTACATCTATTTCAATCAATTTTAATAACGAATCTGTTACATCTCTTACTAAATCAGTATAATAAAAGAATTCCATTAAAATTTCTACTATTTTAACAGTGTCCTATTTTAAACTATTATTTATTCATACTTCTAAGGCTATATAGAGGGCTTCATTGTAATCTCTTAAGAATTTACATAGAGTTCTGCCATATTATTTATAATCATCATAATTCTCTAATCCTCTTGGGATTAATTTAGCTAAGGCAATCACTACTCTAGGACCGAGTAAATCATCTAAAGTTTCATAGCTATTTGATAATAATTTTGTAATAATGATAAATCCTTCTGGATAATCTGCAATATTAATTAAGGCTTGTTTAACATCCTTACAAAAATCCTTATTTAGAAGTGAAATTAATTTCTAAAAATTATATGAATCAAATAATACTTAAATTATTTCATCATTTTCAATATGTACACATTATTTCTTACCCTCAAGATTAATAGTGCAATTCATAATCAAAATGGTAGCAAAATATGCTTCTTCTTACAAAGGACTATCTAAATACCTATTTGCAACCTTAATAGCATCTTCTCTAATTGCTTCCTCTTTTCCATCATGATTAGCACATATTTTAGATAACACTTCTAAAGATAAATAAGTTATTCTTTGAGTATATTTTTAATCATAATAGTTTTCTTGAGAAAGAATGTCAATGAACCTCTTAATGGTTCCACAATTTAGAAAGAAGTAAATACCATTATCAAATTCTACTATTTTGGCAAATGCTTCTAATAAATAAACAGTAAATTTAGGATAATCCTTAGATTACATAAAAGATTAGATCATCTTTTTAGTGAGATTGGATTTACATAAGATATCTACTCCATCTCTTCCAGTAATAATTCTACATAATGCCCATCCACATTGTTCTCTAGCATCATCAAATAATAATTTAGCAAGACCATCAAAACTAAGATCACATAATTGTTCTCTTCCTCTCATAATGCTAACTAAACATCCTAATAATATCACTGCTTATTTTCTAATCTAAATATCTTTATGATGTAGATAAGCACTTGCAATACCCACCAATCCTAATTATAAAAATAATAATTACCTTACGATATCATTTAATCTTTCATCTCTTGATGATCAACCATTTCATTCAATGTGATTAAAGCATCTCTATATTTAAATGCTTCAATATTTTCCATCAGCAATATTTCAATTAATTTAGGAATGGAACGGTCAAACACTGCATGATAAACCTATTCATTATTATATCTAATACTTCAGATGGATCATATCTATCCTTAAAATCAGGTTCCACATAAGGATGTCTATCCTTTAGATTTTCAGAAACTATGTGAAGTTTATAGCTTTGCATCTTATTTTATTATTAATTAATTATATCAATTTTAATTATTAAAAAGATCATTTCTCAATTAAAATATTTAACTAGCTAATGACCTAATAAGTTATCGAGAATTTAATTATCTCTCATTTGCATTCTCGTTAGTATTCCCACTTATATGCAGACTTCTTTGTAATGTCTCTACATTTGATTTTTAATATTATAAAATATCTAACTTTAATTAATTTATTACTCTTTTATGAAGTATTACTTCCTTATGGGGCCAATCGAAAACTATTTACTCCTATTAGTTCATCATAAACTTTATTCCAACCAATATAGTGAACCAATACCTATTTAGGTTGATCATCTTTTCCATATCGAATCTCTTTTATTTCACCTAAACACCAAATAAAAGCTGTGTCAAGAATATCTAATTTCATTCCTACTTTTAATTCTTTGATCTTTCCTTTCTCCTTCCACAATTCAACTTCTTATAATTTAAGTTCATAATTTTTATTATCCTTTTAAGCAATACCAATCCAGTAATCTAATGAAAGACAAGGAAAAGCAAAATCACCCTTGAATTCTATTTTGCAAGTTGGACATTTTTTCTATTGTTATTTAAATAATTTACACGACATTTGAGTAGATGATCAAATAAACATTTTTCACAAAAACTATGTTCACAAATTGTTGTTATGTGATTCACATAATAAGATTCACATAAACTGCAAATCTAATCTTTATTCATTTAAGGAACATATGTTAATTAATCTATCTATAAATATAGGATACTTTGTTTTCTAATTTGATATTCTTCCAAATTGGTTTTGGCTCTTCTCTTTTTTAAGACAATTTGTTCTAATTTTTATGTAAACTTAGCCTTTCTCAATTCATCAATTGTATTCATTTTATCACTTTAATTATTTGTTCATTATATAAAAATGAATAAAGTTCTTCAAATATTAACAAGAGATTATTAATTAAAGATTATAGAAAATATAAAAATATTTTCAATTATCTATAGTGTTAATAAGTATTAATCTTGGATTCAATTTGAATGATCAGAAGTGTACAAATTAGTTTTAGATGTAGATGATGGATGGAAAGATTTGATTAATAAAATAGAAGTAAGATATTTGATGTTAAATTTAAGAATAAGTAGATTAAGGGGAAAAGAAAAGGTTTATTTAATGAATATTGATGATAATATGATAGTATGATGCTATAATAATATTGTCATTCTAGGTATTAATTAACAATAATTTATGCGCGTATAATATAAATACTTGTTTTAATTATGGAAAATTTTAAATCTTTTTTTTAAAAAGTTAATAACACATGGTAAATTTTTCAGTTGATCAAATCAGAGAGATCATGGACAAATAAGACAACATCAGAAACATGTCTGTCATTGCTCACGTCGATCATGGTAAATCCACACTCACAGACTCATTGTTATGCAAAGCTGGTATTATTGCTTCAAAAGTTGCTGGTGATGCTAGAGCAACAGATACTAGAGAAGATGAAAAGGAAAGAGGTATTACAATCAAATCCACTGGTGTTTCTCTTTATTATGAATATGATATCTATGATAATAAGACCTTAGAGAAATTTTTGATCAACTTGATCGATTCTCCAGGACATGTTGATTTCAGTTCAGAAGTTACAGCTGCCTTAAGAGTTACAGATGGTGCTTTAGTCGTTGTTGATTGTGTTGAAGGTGTTTGTGTTTAAACAGAAACTGTGTTAAGATAAGCTATGCAAGAGAAAATTAAACCAGTTGTTATGGTTAATAAGATTGATAGAGCTATTTTGGAATTAAAACATGATGGTGAAACAATGTATTAAAACTTTGTTAGAGTTGTTGATATGGTTAATGTTATTATTAACACATATTAATAAGAAGACATGGGTGATCTTCTTGTTCATCCAGAACTTGGATCAGTCTCATTTGGTTCAGGAAAAGAATGTTGGGCATTCTCATGTACAAGATTTGCTAGAATCTATGCTAATAAATTCAAGGTTGAACCACTTAAATTATAAGAAAGATTATGGGGAGATAATTATTTTGATGCTGAAGGAAAATGTTGGAGAAAAGATAGCGTTAGTGGATCAGGAAAACCAATGAAAAGAGCTTTTGTTGCTTTCATCATGGACCCAATCTGTAAATTGGCTAATGCTGTTATGGAAGGTAATATGGAAATGGCTAATAAAATGTTTGAAACTTTAGGATTGAAACTCACTTAAGAAGAAGCTAAATTAGAAGGAAAACATTTACTCAAAGCTGTAATGTCTAAATGGATCAATGCTGCTGATACATTATTAGAAATGATTGTTTGTCATTTACCATCACCAAGAAAAGCTTAAAAATATAGAACATCATATTTATATGAAGGACCATAAGATGATCCTATTGCTTAATCAATGAGAGAATGCAATCCAAAGGGACCATTGGTTATGTATGTCTCTAAGATGGTGCCAACAACTGATAGAGGAAGATTCTTTGCTTTTGGTAGAGTTTTCTCTGGTACTATTGCTACTGGATAAAAAGTCAGAATTATGGGAGCTAATTATAAAGTAGGAAAGAAAGAAGACTTATTTGAAAAAGCTATCTAAAGAACTGTTCTTATGATGGCAAGCAGAGTTGAATATATTCCAGATGTTCCATGTGGTAACACTGTCGGATTAGTTGGTGTTGATCAATATTTAATGAAAACTGGTACAATCACAGATCACCCAGATTGCCATTTGATTAGATCAATGAAATATTCAGTATCTCCAGTCGTCAGAGTTGCTGTCTAACCAAAGAACCCAGGAGATTTACCAAAATTGGTTGATGGATTAAAGAAATTGTCAAAATCAGATCCATTAGTTTTATGCACAACAGAAGAATCAGGATAAAACGTTATTGCTGGATGTGGTGAATTACACGTAGAAATCTGTTTGAATGATTTAGAAAAAGATTTTGCAGGCATTGAACTTATAAAATCTGATCCAATTGTGTCATACAAGGAAACAGTATCTGCAACATCAAATATCGTTTGTATGTCAAAATCACCAAATAAACATAACAGAATTTATGCTTAAGCTGCTCCATTACATGAAAATTTACCAGATGCTATAGAAAAAGGATAAGTTACACCAAAAGATGATCCAAAACTCAGATCCAAAGCCCTTACAGAGGAATATGATTGGGATAAAGATGACTCATTGAGAATTTGGACTTTTGGACCAGATAACGCTGGTGCAAACATTTTGATGGATAAGACATCAGGTGTTTAATATATGAATGAATTAAGAGAATCAATGGAATCTGCTTGGTAATGGTCAACAAAAGAAGGACCACTTTGTGAAGAAAATTAAAGAGGTATTAGAGTTAACATTTTGGATTGTGTATTACATGCCGATGCTATTCACAGAGGAGGTGGTTAAATTATTCCAACTGCTAGAAGATTATATTATGCATGTGAATTGACAGCTTAACCAAGATTATAAGAACCAGTCTTTTTGGCTGAAATTACTGCACCAAATGATGCTACTGGTGGTGTATATAATTGTCTTAACACCAGAAGAGGAACAGTTATTGAAGAAGAATAAGTTGCAGGAACTCCACTTTCTGTGGTATCATTATTATTCTAATTTTATAGGTTAGAGCTCATTTACCAGTTGCTGAATCTTTTGGTTTCACTGCCCATTTAAGAGGTATGACTTAAGGATAAGCCTTCCCTCAATGTGTCTTTGATCACTGGGCTATTGTTAATGGTAACCCACTTGAAGCTGGATCAAAAGTACTATATTATATTTATCAATTTAGGTTAATGAATTAGTACTATCCATCAGAAAGAGAAAGGGTATCAAAGTTCAATTACCAGACCTTAATGAATATTTGGACAAACTCTGATCTAAATATTGTATGTTAAATAAATACAAATATTCAATTTTAAATTATAATTATTTTGCAAATTTATTCATATTTCTTTAATAATTAATAATTATGTTAAACATAATTTTCTCATTTTGTTTTTATTTTTATTCACTTTAATATAATAATACTACTTCATATATGTGGAATTATAATTTATAATAATTCACTCATTTTAGAATTCCAATTAATCAATAATTTTAATGATTCACAATTGTTATTATTTTATATAAATTATTAATATATGAATTCAAGACTTCTTAAGATTTTCGAAACAGGATTCCTTGGACTACTTGGATTCTCACTAATTGCTCAATAATAAAAAAGATTTTAATGCGCAGCACCTTATTTCTCTTTTATATCACATTCAGAATTACAATAATTTCGTCTTAGATTTCCAAGTCTCTATGTATTGGATAAATTCTAAGTTGAACACTTATTAAGTGTAATTCGTAATTAGACTACTTAAACTAAAGTATATTTAATCTCCAATCCTATTTAGGACTTCAGATTGTATTCTGATAGATTAATTAGATTGCTAATAGAAAAGGCCATATCTGAACATAGTAAAAAGTTGACCCCTCAAGAAGGATCATAAACATAAACACCAGCATAAGAAATTTAATTTGAAAACAAATAATTTTGTGTTGTTGTTATGGTAAGATCAGGAAACGCATTCCTAAGCGAAGCTCTTAAAGTACTTCCTGGAGCATCAGTTGGATTTATTCTAGTTTAAGAACATCCATAAACTAAAGATCCTTAGTTAATTTATTGTAAGTTTCCTGAAGATATAGATCAAAAATAAGTATTAACTTTCTAAATTAGGTCATTCTTACAGATGCTATGATTACAACAGGGGGAAGAATCAGTACAGCTATCAAAGCACTTTAATCTAACGGAGTCAATTAAGAAAATATTGCTGCTGTGAATATTGTTTCATGTGAAAAAGGAGTCTCTAAAGTCTTACATTAATTCCCTAAAGTTAAAGTCATTACCGCTGGAGTTGATTATGCCCTTAATACTATTTAAGATCATCGTTTCCCAGGAGTTGGCGATTTTGGAGATAGATATTTTGGAACTGTTGATCAATGAAATATTATTATATATTATGTAATACATTAATAGTTTAATAAATATTATTATCAATTATTAATACATAATCATATTCATTATTTTTATAATTAGTATTCTCTTATTTTTTAATTATTCTTTTTAGTATTCACTAAATATTAGCTTATATTACTAATCAATTAAACTAAATAAAGCAGTATATTTCATCTAATTTCAAATCCGCTATGTCATTTTGAATTATAATTTGTCATCATTTTAATGTTATATCTTTTTTTTAAATTCGTTTAATCCACCAGCGCTTAATAGTTTTAAACTAAGGTTTTTTCTAATATAATTAAGTATCTTTTTAAAATTTTTAAGGGTTTTAATTTAAAAATTTTGCTTAGATATTAGTTCAAAATTCTTTATGCTCTCTCAAGTTCACTTGCCATATCATTAACTTCATCTTTCACCTTACTAATTAAAGAAATCAATTAATTCAATTGTTAATTCAACAATACTTCTTTCAATGATGGTTTACATATAGGAGGCAAATCTTTCCATAAAATATTTTTACTGCAACCCAAAGATTTTACTATCATTGAACAGGTTTATGAGTATAATATCAATTGTAATATAGAAACTACTTCTAATTGGTATCATTTTTTAAGAATTAATTTTAAAGCAGTATTGAAATAATGTAAAATCAATTAAACTACTAATAATGGTAGATTTTCATTTATTTATGTCAAAATCAAAAATATTTGTATTTTTTCAATTAAAAAATAAATATACACATCAATGGAGTAGGTTTTAAGAATATAAGACAATTCTATAAAGATTTATAATAAAAAGGATTTAGTAATTATATAATATAAATTGAATTATTTTTTTAATATTCTTAGAAGTTATAAAATTAACTTTATAAAAATGATGATAATGATGATGAATTATTTTATTAAAAAATGAAATAAAAAAATATGAATTAACAGAGTATTGATATAAATATATAAATAATTAACGACCTTATTTGAATAATTAATATTAATATTCAAAAATATGAGTAATCATCCTGCCTCTCAAAGACCAGCTCAGCCAGTATAGAATGCTCCTTAAGTGCCAATTGCATATTCACCACCAAGAACATATGCTCCACCAGTAGCATTTGCAAGTCCATCTTATTATCCTGTTTAATAATCAGTTGTTGCTGCTCCAGTCTAATACGTTCCTTAATAAGTGGCAGTTCAACCAGTAGTTTAACAAGTTGCAGTGCAACCAGTTGCTGTCTAGCCAGCTTAATAAGTAATAAAGGGTGAAAGCAGAATTGAGTAAGAATAAAAATTCAAATATTATTTTCAGATACATTCCTTATGAGAAATCAGTGATTGAATATGAAGAAGTCAGATAAAGAATTTAAGTACCAAGAGAGAAATATGTCACTGAATATTAAGCTGTGGAATATTAGACAGAATATATCCCATAAGTATTTTATGATAAAGTTACAGGTAAATAATAAGATATAACACAAATAGAATACGTTCCTGTAGATAGATATCAAGATAGAGTTGAATATTATCCAGTTGAGAGACAAGTTGTTCATTAATAATAAGTTGTTGCTTAACCTGTTGTTTAACCTGTTGTTCAATCAGTTGTTTAATAAGTACCTTAATATGTTGCACCTGTTCAATAATAATATGTCACACCTGTTCCATAATATGTTGCACCTCTTCAATAACAATATGTTGCACCTATTGCATAATCATATGTTTAACCAAGTTTTGTTCCATCCAGAGTAGCTCCTATTTATAATCATGCTCCTTATTAAGGCAGACCAGTTAGTCAACCAAGAAGATAAGTAGTTATTTATTATATAATTATAGTCACCACCAACTAGACCAGTTTAAATTCAGAAATAACCATAAGAAAAAAAGAAGACATTTTTAGAGAATATCTTTAGTTGATAAGTTATATATATATAAATTATTTAAATATAAAATATATATTATTCTTTATCGTTATTTTATATATTCAAATTAATCTCCAAACTTTTATAGATTTATCATCACTAGTACTAACCAAAAATCCTATCTCTTCAATAAGTTCTATTGATCTAACAATATCTTAATGACCCTCTAAACTAGCAACTAATTAACCGCTTTGCCATTCCCAAATCTTTATTGTTTTATCAAAAGAAGCAGATGCAATCAAATCTTTATCTATCATCTAAAATAATTAGTTATAATACTTTTATTCTCCAAACAAAACTTTTATGTGAACCCATTCTTCTCACTATTTTTTATTCAGTGACATTAATAATCAAAATTTCTCCTTTAAAATTACCAACAGCTATTTCATTTTATGATACTCTTGCTATTCCATTAACGAAACAAGAATCAAATAATTGCATTTTCATTTCTCCAGTCTAAATATTTAATAATCTGATAGCTTTATCATCAGAACAACAGATAACTTCTTCTTGATTCCAAGAAAGCAAATCATTAAAAGATGTCTTGAATTCTTTAAAAACCTTTATACATTATCCATTCTATAAATTCCAAACTCTTACAGTTTCATCATATGAACATGATACTAGTGTACCTGGAATAGGTTAAGTTAATGAAAATATGTAATTTATATGACCTTTCAATTCCTTAATCAACTATGATCTTTCTAAATCCCAAATCTTTATTGTCCATTCATCTTTTTAATTTTAACCAGCAGATATTAAAGTAGTTGTATCTGATAACAATAAAGAATAAACGTTCTTTCCATGATTTAGAGATTACATGAATTAATATTAACCTTCTAATGTCAATCCAATAATCTTTATATTACCTTACCAATCTCCAGTTGCAATCACTTATGAACTAATCTTACATACAGCCCAAACCTAACTTTGATGTAAATCTCTGGCATCTATAAATAATTTAGCATTTATTTATGATGCCAATCCAGAAGCAAATCTGTTTTAAAAATGTGTAGTTGTCGGCGGAGCACTTGTTCTTGGAAGTTAACTAGCTGTTCCAATAAAATTAGTTTATGGAATTTAACTAAATCCTCCTCCAAATCCAAAACCTCCTCCTCCTTATATATTGCCTTGGGTTCCTGGAATTCTTAATCTTGGTATTTCAACACCTTCCTAATATTTAATTTAAAAAAAATTACTTTAATATTCTTAAAATCAAATGGAGTTGATTTAAATGTCACTAAACTTTGTTCCAATTAATGCAAAGTTTAACGAATTACTTCTTCACATTCAACAAGAGTCGTTTATAATTATTATGGTAGTAATTTAATTTCTTATGGATCTGCATTTATTAATTCTACACAAGTTTAAATTGTTTCATCTTCAGCTTCCATAGCTAATATATTTTGTTAATTATATACCTCTTCCTTTTAATACTAATTCCATTATTTACTCAATCACATTATCATCCAATAAAAAATCAGCTAAAAATCCTTTCTTAATTACTTCACCCATTCCATGCTTAGTCCAATACATGAATTAGGAATATAAATCATTAAGATGATTATCAAAATCCATTTTTATTTTCAAGAACATTTCATCAATTTCATTTTATAAATGATCTTTCTTAACTACTTTTAAAACTTTATCAAAAAAATCATATTCAGCTATTGATAATTTGTCTGTTAACAATTTTACAAATTCAGGAACTTATACTTTATGAACACATGTATGTCCCCATAAACATCTAACATACATGACTTTATCTAATACCCAACACATAGTTTTCTTCTTTAATGAATACATTTCTATTCTATACAAAATCCTTTTAATTATTTCATATGAATTCCACAATCTATACCTGTAACTTATCCTACCTATGGATGATCAATTGCTGATTTCGAAATACCCGAAACAGCCTTTACATCACTAAATGTCACTGGTGCTTGTGAATTACCAAGAGAAAAATGAACTGATTTAGAAAGAGCCTAAGAAGATGTTGAAAGCTTATTTGCATTAGTTGGATTTAACATTTAATTTTTTATTTATGAATAACTTAGTTAACAATTATTCAATAATTTTTTATTATCCTTTTTTTGAGCTTTCGAACTAAACTACAGATTTCATTGAGTCACATTTATATCTAAATTAATTTAAATAGAGACTCTAACTACTATTTCATTATATTTCAAGTTTCACATAATTTCTCTATATATTATTTTTATTTAATATAATTATAAAAATTAGAATTATTTTAGAATTACTTAAGAATTTCTTTTTGTATTTTTTTTTTTTCTCTGCAATAAAAATTAACATAATTGGGAATCAGAAAATTATGTCATTCAAGCATAAACATACAATGTCTTTATTTATGTATCAAAAAAAAATTTTATTTCTAATTGATCCTTAACCAATAATTTTGGGTTCGTTTTATTATTAAAGTTTTTTAAAATCAAATACAATAAGGGCAGCAGAAGTTAGTTATGTTTTTGTCATTAGACGTATTATAGATATACTTCATTATTAATTCAAAAATAATGCTATCGCTTTTTTATCAAATATTTAAAAGACAATATTTAGGTATGCAGAGTATAAGTAACGAACCTATTAGACTGCATTTCTCCTGAAAAGTAAGAATTTTTCATTTTTATTTTGAATTCTAAAAAAATAGGAGGAAATATTTTTTTCATGCAATCAAATCTACTTTGTGCTTCCAAGCGCTATTTTAAATGAAGATTTTCAAAATATAAGGTTATTATGTTTGATTAATTTCATTACAGCCTCCTTTGTTGTTATATAGAAGGAAATTAGCAGTGTTCTTGAATAAATTTTATGTATGTCAATTCAATTTATACATAGACTCTACTCTACTGATCTAAAACTTTAGAGAAGATAGATGTTCCTAAAAAAATTCATGTTATAGTCTTATTAAAATTCAATTTGAATAGCTTTGTTTAATTATAAATCCAATTTAATTTAAATAAGATTTATTTAATATTTTTTCATTAAATTTATATTTATAACCATATAAAATGTCTCAATAAAATGATTCAATTAAATAAGATAATTTTAGCCAATAATTCGATGGGACTCATCCTATGTCATAATATACATTCTAAAAATAAGAAACTATCTTTTGTTCAAGATCATGCAGAATAATTAAATCGATAAAGCAAGAGATAATAATTAGACCTTCCATATAGGCACTATATTAACAAAAGTAACTACATAGCAAGTGCTTTACCTCATGCACCTTGCAAATTTAATCTCAAGAGAGGTGTTAAACTAATGTAAGGAATAAGTAATAATATACGTATTATATTAGATCACAGCTCTATAATGTAAAGAAGATTCTTAGAAAAAATGAATTTGAATAGCTCTTACTTTCACTCTCAAGCACTAATAATAGTGAATCCATAATGATTACACTATTATATATCTATATATTAGACCATAATTTCTAAGTGATCTCATTCTATTTTTTTTATAATTTTCTTCTTCACTCTTTTTTAAAATGAAAAAATATTATGTATGATGTTTCAAATCATTAAAAAATAAAGTACAAGTCAATTATAAAGTTTATACTTACCACCAAGTTCATTTCATAAATGAAAACTTAATTTAAAAGAGTAANCAAAAAAAAATTTTATTTCTAATTGATCCTTAACCAATAATTTTGGGTTCGTTTTATTATTAAAGTTTTTTAAAATCAAATACAATAAGGGCAGCAGAAGTTAGTTATGTTTTTGTCATTAGACGTATTATAGATATACTTCATTATTAATTCAAAAATAATGCTATCGCTTTTTTATCAAATATTTAAAAGACAATATTTAGGTATGCAGAGTATAAGTAACGAACCTATTAGACTGCATTTCTCCTGAAAAGTAAGAATTTTTCATTTTTATTTTGAATTCTAAAAAAATAGGAGGAAATATTTTTTTCATGCAATCAAATCTACTTTGTGCTTCCAAGCGCTATTTTAAATGAAGATTTTCAAAATATAAGGTTATTATGTTTGATTAATTTCATTACAGCCTCCTTTGTTGTTATATAGAAGGAAATTAGCAGTGTTCTTGAATAAATTTTATGTATGTCAATTCAATTTATACATAGACTCTACTCTACTGATCTAAAACTTTAGAGAAGATAGATGTTCCTAAAAAAATTCATGTTATAGTCTTATTAAAATTCAATTTGAATAGCTTTGTTTAATTATAAATCCAATTTAATTTAAATAAGATTTATTTAATATTTTTTCATTAAATTTATATTTATAACCATATAAAATGTCTCAATAAAATGATTCAATTAAATAAGATAATTTTAGCCAATAATTCGATGGGACTCATCCTATGTCATAATATACATTCTAAAAATAAGAAACTATCTTTTGTTCAAGATCATGCAGAATAATTAAATCGATAAAGCAAGAGATAATAATTAGACCTTCCATATAGGCACTATATTAACAAAAGTAACTACATAGCAAGTGCTTTACCTCATGCACCTTGCAAATTTAATCTCAAGAGAGGTGTTAAACTAATGTAAGGAATAAGTAATAATATACGTATTATATTAGATCACAGCTCTATAATGTAAAGAAGATTCTTAGAAAAAATGAATTTGAATAGCTCTTACTTTCACTCTCAAGCACTAATAATAGTGAATCCATAATGATTACACTATTATATATCTATATATTAGACCATAATTTCTAAGTGATCTCATTCTATTTTTTTTATAATTTTCTTCTTCACTCTTTTTTAAAATGAAAAAATATTATGTATGATGTTTCAAATCATTAAAAAATAAAGTACAAGTCAATTATAAAGTTTATACTTACCACCAAGTTCATTTCATAAATGAAAACTTAATTTAAAAGAGTAAAAAGAAAAAAAAAACTAAATCTAACCTAGAAAATAGGATAATCAACCAAGAATGCATTGATATTTGAAAAAAAAACATGATGATGGATATCAGGAATTATTTTGAATTACGCCTTAAATTAATTATTGGGTTCTATATAAATAATTAATAACAAAATATTTGAGTTTATATTTTATTCTTAGAAATACCAAAAATTCTATAAATTATTTATTATATTCATTAAACATCATAATAAAATAATGAAAAGACTTCTCAAAGCAGATTAAATAAATGCAGTACTAATTACTTAAAATAATAAAAATTATGGATATTTATTAATTTAAGATTAAAAATAAAAATAATCACAAGTTAAAAGTATTTATAAAATTAAAAATAAATCACAGTATAAAAGTTTATGTAATTTTGTTCACTTTAAAAATTTTTATTATTCTTATTATTCCTTTTCTTTTCTTTTAGCAATCCTTAAGTCCGTTTGGAAAACGAAAGACGAATTTTCGTTTTTTATAGGTGAAGCTTCAGTTTTATGAGCTGTTGGTTTGGAGAAAGATAAATTTATAGATTTAGATTATTTTCTCTAAACACTTGATTATCTGACAGGCCATGGACTTATTGTTGGTCTGTAAGAATACTTAGGTGTGTCATTTTACTTCTTTAATTATTATTCATATATCCATTTCTCTCTTTATTGATTCCATTTCAGTTAATTACTTACAAATTCATCTGCCTCTAATTGAGTGAATTTAACATTCTATGATTTAGTGCTTAAAGGTTGGAATGACAAACTTGAATAATATTATTCAATTTCTTATTATTATTATTATTTCTATTCTTCAATTTTATCATTTTTTGTTTATATAATAAATTTAACTCTCTCATGAATTGGAATGTAAGAATTTGATTTTCTTGTATTACTTTGTTCATTATACATTTTAGTACTTTCCAATGTCTATGTAGCTATTCTTGCTGGATCATTGTTTTCATGATTACTCAAATTTTCAAGCCTCATATTTAAAGTTTATTCTTATTGTCCATTCTTTTCTTTATTTAGTAATAAATCTCCAAACTTACTATTTTTGGATGCTTCCATATAATTATTAATCATATCCTATATTTATTGAGTCTTGTTAATTTTTGGTTTGCCTTTACTTTACATTTATTCATTCTTCAATTATTCTTCTTTCATTTACAAAATTTTTTTTTGTTTCTCTATTTCATAAGATTTTTATCTGATCTAAAAATCAGAATCCATCTCTACAATCTTTGATTTTACTTATTACATATCATTCAATATTTTAACAGTTGATATATTTAACTTCTCTTATATAGATTCCTGCTCAGATTTAAATGTATAAGATTTGAAGTCAGATTTTTATTTCAAATCATCTTAATAATTCTTTTTTGCCTTTATTTTTAATTGCTTCATTGACAAATAACAATAATTTTAATTATAAGACTATTTTTTATCAAAATTCATTTTAATAATATAATATATGTTTATTATCAATCGATTTCCAATTATTCTTTATAGCAGCCACATTAGATTAAGTTTTAGTTATAAACTTTCTTACTATTTAGGAAATGCAAGTGAGTAATTTTTAGTTTAGGTAACAAAATTAATTCTATATATTCTATTTATCATTAATGTCATTTCTAAAATTATATCTATTACTAAGAAATTTTATTTAACTCAAATAATAATTGAGCATGAATACTTAAAAATATTTTCATTTTCTATATAATCTTCTTATTTTTACATAAAGAAGAAGCTATAATAACTAATTTTGAATAGTTCCTGTATCAAAATTTTATAATTTAGAGTTATTTTGAAAGAATGATTTGTTTGTTGTATTTTTGAGATTAGAATAAAGGAATTATCTTTTTCAGTGTTTTAAAGTTTGATTTTGTAAGGATTGTAGAATATCAATTGATTTCAAATATACAAACGGATAATTTGTTTTGCTGGAACATATTCTACCCATATTAAAATAATTTTTTAATAATCATTAAATAAAATATAAATTAAATAATAGTTGAGGATGAATTAACTAATTTAAGAACCAAAGGTTTAAAAGCCTGATAAACCAGTTGTTGCAAATAAAAAATAAATACCAATACCAGAGCTTGTATAAACAATCAAAACAGCCCATGGAAAATTACAAAACATATAAACTGATTTTGAAGAAAGAACCAAGAAATTTAGCAATTTGACCTCGACAATGACAGTAAGTTTTGAGTGTAGTGTATCGAAAGAAATAATAAATTATGCAGTATATTTAAGTTTAAATATTAAGGTTTACTTAGCTGAATGTTTTAAGGGTTACAAGCATTACGATTAACAAATTGATTTGGAACAATTTTTAAAATTAAATTATTTCTCTTCAGAATAGCAACAAACTAAATAATTATAATGCCCTATTTGTAAAACCATCACAAAATTTGAGAAAATAGAATAAGCCTTCTATCCTCATCTCATAACCAACTATTTAAGAGAAAAAGTATCAATTTTTTTTAATGTAGTGTGGATAATTCCCAAGATAATTGATGTATAATTTTAAGGACAAAATATTTTATCCATTACATAAGGGAAAAATGGGGAATGTGTAAAATTCTTATTTTGATTAGATTCACAAACTAATGAAATAAAATATATAACCTTAAGGTTAATTCTATTAGATTGTCAAAAATTTAAATGTTAATTATAGTTTTCTTTTCTACAATAATTGCTCTTTGAGTTAAATAAAAGTGATGCTTCCTGTTAGGGGATTGAAGTGTGCTCATTTTGAAGTATATGATCTGACTGCTTTATTATATCATTTCGATAAAAAAGAATAAAGTTTTAAATGCAAAAGACCTGAATGCAATTCTATAATAAGTTATAATGAGATATGCTTAGATATAGATTTATTTAATAGTTGTTTAAAATCATATAGTTTTACATTTTCGTTTATTTATAATCATGAAACAAAACAGTTAGAAGATATTTTAGAAAGAGAGAAAGATTAAAATTTATTAAAATATAGATAGTTAAATGAATTATAAGAATATTTGAATTATTAATCAAAAATATATAAAATAGTAGATTAAATTTACACAAGTCCTGTTAATTAAGAAAATACAGAAGAATTTTATACAAAGAATTCAATTGATAAAATTAAGAAAGAGAAGGTGAATTTTATGTTTTGTTAATTTACTGGTTAGAGAATCGAATTGCCTTGTAGATGTATAAGATGTACTTAAGTGTAAACTTGTGATTTAAGATTTATGAGTTGTGTATTGAATTAATTTTAAAATCCTGCTGAAACAAATAAGGTACTTAATGTAATAAATTATTGTCCTTTATGTAAAAATCCATTTACTAAGAAAATAAGACCAAAAGATTTAGCCTTATTTGATTAAGTATACGTGGATGTAAAAATGATGAATTTCTTAACAGTAACAACAGGATTTGCAAATATAACTTAAAATTAATTTATACAATTTCTTAATAATAAGGTGATATCAAGGGTGATAGTAAAAAGAGACCAGGAGTCAATTTTAAAAGGAAGAAATGCTATAAATAGAATTTTTTTGAAAGTAAATTTATTAAGATATAAAAATATAGTGTCCAATTTCAAAATAAAAAATTTTAAGACCAATTAGAGGAAACAATTGTGTACATGCTTAACCTTTTGATTTTGGATGTGTAGACTTGCATTAAAATGGGGAAATCGATTTAAACGATATGAAATGTCCAGTCTGCAATTTAAAATTTGATTATTTCTTAGAAGACCTCTATTTGAAAGATCATTTAGAGATATTTTATGCACAATAGTTGTAAGAATGTGAAATGGCATGCTTAAACTTAATGGAGGGCAAACTTTTAATAAAACCAAAATTTTAATGATTGGTAATATTATATATACATTAATTTAAAAATGATAATCAATCCCATAATTTAAGTACTCCATCCCATCCACAAGTAACAACTTTACTTGGTTCTATAGGATGCCATTCAACTCCTATACAAACGTTATCATGAGCCTAAATGTATTAATTATAATAATTACTTAGATGGTTCTATAACTTTTAGCTGTTTTCCAATCCCAAAAGAAAACTCTACCTTCTGAATCTCCTGAAGCTAAAAATTAACCATCAGCAGAAAATGTGACACCACAAGCATAACCAGCAGAAACATGACCTTTAAAATTCTTTTTTCTATTCATTCTAAAATTTCCAGCTTTAGTATCATAAACAATAATCTAAAATATATATAATAAATATTTTACTAAATTATTACTTTATTATCCAACCCAATTAAGTCCTGATGGATTAACAGCCGTAGCAGTTACTGCATGCATTTCAGGATCACTTATATGTTTTATTACTACAGGAATACCAAATTCCCAAATGAAAAGTTTCTTATCATCTGAACTAGACACAAATTTTCTATTTTAATTAAAATATGTAATTGTATTTATTGCTTATAAATGTTCATCATAAACTAATGTTTATTAACCACTTCTAATATCAAACTATTTAATCCGTTTATCTGATGATCCTAAAAGAAATGAATGTTATTTTGCAGGATCTGGATTTAGTCTTACACAATAAGGAAAATGTTATAAATTTATTGTTTAAGTAACTTTCCCATATTCAGTATCCCAAACTAAAATCTTTTTATCATAAGCTGCAGACAAAAATGTTCTACCATCATTTGAAAAATTAAGATCTCTTAATGCTCCTTAATGACCATAATATGTTCTAACACATTATTTATTACCTATTATATCCCACATCTTTATTTTATTATCTAAACTACCACTTAACATCAGATGACCAAATTTTGGAAAGAATTTACATACTTGAACTCCCTTTGTATGTCCATGAAATGTTTGTATACATCTTTTCGGTATATAACATGTATGATCAACATATTTTAATTCAGGTGGAGGAGCTATAAATTGTCTTCCTCCAAATTATTCTGTTTAACTTACATGCTATTCCATATAAGGAACAAAATTTTCCTCTTATTTTTTTGATTCATCAATCTTTTATTTTCTTTATTCTTCTAATTAATCTAGCAATCTCTGCTATTCTTCATTCATCTGAATATTTTCAAATTATTCATCTTATTATCCTGCCCAAGGTCCCATAAATTCTCCTTTTGATGGATCATTCGCTTTTACTCTATTAGATTTTAATTCTTATTATCGTATTTTGTCATCTTTGTGCATACCAGCTAATGCATTTTTACTAAAAAGTGGATCTGATGCATCTACATCATAACCTTCTTTCATTAAATTTGATAATTCCTCTTATTTTTAATTACATGCTATCACTCTTCTATTCCTTTCTAATTTAAATTGATCATTATACCATTTGGATCTACCGCAAATCCATAAACATTAAATTTATGAAATTATTCTTCAAATACAGCATCATTATAGTATACAGATTCCACATTCCCTGTTAAATGATTCTTTTTCTAACCCAAAAAATTATATGTTTTTGATAATTCAAGAGCTTTTTCTTCCTCTTTTTTCTTCACTAAATGTGAGCAATCAACCTCAGGGTTTACTAATATTGACTTTGGTTTATTATGTATAATTTCTTGATCATCATCGCTATAATCCACTAGCATTATTAATTAATTATTTAATTATTTATCTTCTATCTTTATGATAAATTAATAAGTAAACTCTACAAAAACAGAACCAGTATAAAATAATTATGATTAAATGAAAGGTAGTGTGTATGTCATAAATAGGTCCATTTTAATATTCACCATTTACTATAGACCATCCAGGGTAACCTGATGATGATTACTCAATTAAAGACCCAACTGTAAAGACATTAGATCGATCTAAATTGTGTTTATCACCATTCAATGTAAATAATGAGGTTTCTTTCTATTTAAAATTTTTCAGATTTCAAATGAAAGAATTTCTTTCATCTAAGAAGCAAGCAGCTTCTAATTATTGGCATTCACATAAAAAAGTTAAGAGACTACTAAAGGTTTCAAAAACGAGAAGAAACTCAAAACCAAATTTGCAGAACTTCTCAGAGACAAAATCAAATTAAATGATAAAGTAAAGAAATATTCTTATATTTTTGACTTGGAATAATAAGAAAATACACCATTATGTACAATAATCTCAATAATTTCAAAGTTCTTCTGTAGCCTACCTCATAATTACTTAAATATTGGAGTCTGTTTTACTTACAGATTATGATAGTTCAGATTATTGTTGTTCCTTTATAAATTTCTGACATCTTTGTGTTATTTCTTATCCTTAAATTGATAGATGTAATTTTAAACACTATTTCAACATTTGCCGTTAATGGAGAAATTGAGACACGATTCATAGCCATAATCAATCATTATTGTAAATCATAATTGATATTTGATCTAGTAAATAATTTATATATTTCATCTCATAGACATTTCTCATAACCATAATATACTATCACAACTTTTGGAGTATTATTATCAATCTACTTAGTACTATACCAAGATTAGTATAAATTTAAAAACAGATCTAATTGTAAATATCTATGTATGAATTATAGTGAATATAATATTTTTAATAAATTCTCGCTTTTAGCAATTTTGATAATAAAAGCGATGTTACTGGTTCACACTTTTACTTGTTTTTGGTTATATAATCTACTAATTGATAATGAAGAGGCCATTTTATAATAGTATTTACATTCCTTATATTATGTACTCAGCATCATGACCTTTAACTCTGTATTAATAGATGAGAATGATCATTACAGAATAACTGTCTATAGTATCATTTCACTTATCTCTCTTATATTCTTTGCATATTTCCTAGCAAAAATGATTTCAATTTTCAAGGATGATTAATTAGATTAACAATTAAGTGAATTTATGTCTCAAAATAATTTAAATTCAACTCTTAAATAAAAAATTATAAGTCATCTACTTTATCAACCTAAATATTATCACGATACATTTATATCCTAATTATCCAGTAATCTAAATTAAGAATATAAAGTTACTTAACGAGCAAAATTATTAACTTAATATTTTAAACACTTTAATTAAAAAACAATTTAAAAAATAATTGACTGTAGCTAAGAAATTGTATGTTAACCTAATCAAACAATTATTTAAGAAGGAATTTTAGATGATTGCTCATTATATTTTATTCTAGAAGGTTCTGTGTGTTTAAAATCGAGGAATAATATTAAATTGCAAATCTTAAAATAAAATAGTTCATTTGGTGAAATAGCCTTTTACATTTAAAAACCAAGAAATTTTACTATTCAAAGTTAAGGGACTACTAGACTTTTGAAAATAGAACGATCAATATTGCTTTCATTATTGAGTTTCAATGACAAAGTATAAATTAATGATGATATTTTAGTAACTGTTTTATTAATAGAGAGATAAAATACTATTCAATTAAGGATTGCCAATTAAATGTGCGTGTTGTTTGAGTGAAAATCACATTATTACAAGATGTCCTTTATTGACATATAAACCAAATTAAAGTTTAATATTAAAAAAGTTTATATTTCCACATAAGTAAATAAGAAAAGAATGTAATATCAATTAATAATCGATAGATAAAAGAAGAACCTCAAAAGATATGAGAGCGTTAAATTTTTATTAATGTGCATCTTAATATGAAGTGGCATTTTTAAAATTATTTTCAGATCAATTATAGATTTCATAATTTAGTCAATCACAATTACCCTATGATGATTTAGCTATAAGAGATTCATATATGAGTGCTAGAAGCTTAACAAAATAAAGTAGAGATAGATCTGTTGTTAAATCTACTTCATTTATGAAATAACAATCAGGTTATGAATAATAATCTCTGCCAAATTACACTGATAATATATTGTATTCATAAACATCATTAAAAGCTCTAACTTAGATTAAGATAACGAATTTCAGATTATAAATGGTAGTTAAGATAAAAAGTTTGATGAATTTGCATCCTTATTCAGAACTGACCAATAAAAGAGAACATTTGCAACTGCTGGATTTGGATCTTAGAGCTTAGCTGCCTCTAATAAAGATTTAACTCAAAACCTTACATAAAAGTCTTTAAATGTTATTTTAGAGCATGAAAACTCCGACAGTATATCAGAATCCAATTCAAAATCAGTAGAAGAAGAAAATGTTATTGATTCTCCTCAAGATAAATTTGCCAGAAAAAATAATGATCCCAAATTAACATTTAATTACAACTTCGAAACATAAATGAATGAACTTCAAAAATAAAATTCAAGTCATCCTCGGCTATCTCGTTTAGGATCTGGTTCTATTCGATAATAAAGTTCAAGGAACAGTACATATAAATATCCTGATTTAAAAAGTTAACGTTAAAATTCTTCCAGATCATTAACTTATAGTCCGATTCCCTCTAATAGTTAATAAAAATAAGGAATGCCCTCTTCAAAATAGAATAGAAAGTCCACTTTTTCATTTCCATAAAAATTAATTTAACAAACTCGTTAAGTTGAGATCACAAATTTTGATGATAGCAGAAGTTAACAATAAAGAGCTTCAATTAGGAAGGTATCTACTAAAACAGGGACAAAGATTTCAATTCTTCCCTCAAGTTTCTAACCATTTAGCAATGTGGATGTACTGATCTATTATTTATTAAGTTACCTGTTTATGCTAACAGTACTTTTGGGTTAAATAATTTTGATGCTATGTTTTCATTTGATTATTATTTGCCTCATAATAATTATGACATTGCCATTTATAAGTATTAATTTTTTAATCTTTCAAGGGCAAATAAATTTAGAAACATTAAAAAGACCAATATTTCAAAGTACTTAACTGATTACCATCAATCTAATATGATTTATTTATTAAAATAAAAAAGATTGAAAATGATGAAAATGTTTACAAGTTAAAAGAAATAAGATTGATCATAATTAAATAGATTATAATAAAATTAAGTCCTTATACCAAAAATCAAATTATTTAAACTCTTAATTTCTCTTAATTTATAAATTTAAAGATTTAAAGAAAATCGTAAAGCATATATTCGTTGAATTTACTAATAACCTAATTGAATTCAATACAAATTATTAAATTTTAAACTAATTATAAATGATTATTTAATTATCAGCAATTTTTTATTTATTTACTTTTAAAACTTAAGATGGGCTGTAATGTTCAGAAATCGAAGAGTTAACCAAATAAACTTTATCAATCATCTGATGAAATATTAGAGATGGAAAGAATCAACGTTGAGAACTAAGCTTCGACCCGTGGGAAAAAGACTGATCTTAAAGAAACACAAAATTTAATTACACAATAACCATAAATTGGTAATAGACTCTAAAACATGACTAATAATGATGAGCTTCTTAAATATATCAATAAAAGACACAGCATCTCATAAAGTCCCTTTGGTTATATTAAAAACTCCCCAGAATAAAGAAGAAAATAATCCTTGATGAATAGTCCTAAATTATGAATTTTATTTTTTCTCTTTATTCTTGTATTATTGATTCTTAATTAAATGCATAAATTTGATATCTATCATATAGAAAAAGAATAGAAAATCAAATTTTCTTAGACACTAAATTCAATATACCGATTTCTTCTTGAGTGACTCTGTTCCTACCTCTGTCTAAAGAACAATTGTAGATAAAGTCATTTCAGTTTTCTAATCTCTCATTTTTTAATTATCTGTAAATTTAATTATTCATTACATAATGATTATGATTATAAAGCACTTTTTAGAGATGTAACACTAGTTCTTATTTGATATTACTATTGATTTAAGTGCTTGATAATATTTTATTAAATTTCTATTAATTCAGTTGATTATTTCGAAATCCTTTATGTATTCTCGTATTATATTAGCTAAGCTCCATTTTATTTTGTTGAATTACATCCCATATTAAATATCAATATTAAATTAAATAATAAAATATAAAAAAATTCATTTAAGGAATCATTAATATTACTTTATTGAAAATCTTAAAATTTATTTTATTAATAAAGCCTAGTACTAATCATTTCAAATATATTTATATTAATTTAAAAGATTTTTTGTCTCATGGGTTGTGCTGCTACTAAATAATAAAAAAAGCCTGTTTCAGATCCATTTGAGGCTTACTTTCAATAATCACAGTCAAAAAGTGAAGATTTAAAAGCTGAACTTAAATTATTTTAAATCAATAAAAATCCAATACTATAAAGAAGAGCTAGTTAAAAAAGTCCTTTAACTAATGCTGGATCCTTTATATCTAGAAATACTTGAATGGTTAAGATCTATTTTGATTATGACCATATAAAATTTAATAATAATCCTTTAATTTGTAACATTTTATAAATTAACAATGACCTTAAAATAAATTCTGTAGATAATCTTGCTTTTTTATGTTAAAAAGCAGTATTGTACTAAAATATCTTATATGATTTTTTTTTGTTCACTATTATAAAATTTATAAAATTATTCATCCTAAGTGTGCAAGAATAAATTAAATCTTTTCATAAGAATCCTATCATTTGGAGACACAAAAAGGGGAAAGTAATATTTTGACTTTTTATTTTCAAATTGAATCAATATTATGATAGATAGTTTGAAGAGGTCATTTCTCTATTAATTAGAGATTTCACCACTTTATTTTATAAATAATTAAACATATATGTTATCTAGTATAATAAAGTGAATTCTAAATTGAACAATAATTAGGTATATAAATCCAAAACAACACATTTATACATATATTTATAATTAATAATCATTTTTTTTGCATATGGGCTGTGTTAGTTAGAAATAAAGTCCAAGCTAACAGCAAAATAAATTTAGATTTGCTAGTTCATCTTTTTCTAATATTCATTAGAATAGAAAAGTAAGTATTGAATGCCCAAACACAACAGACAATAATAAACCAATTTTATAGTATAGATCAATTGATATTACCAATGATGAAGAATTTATTTTAAAAAGAGATAAGAAATTTATTGCTTCAAATAAGGAATCACCTACTACTACCCCAAAATTTAATTAATAGAATCCAGTGTATATTGGTCAAAGAAAAAATATTAAATTGATGTGAAACCAGTGGCCTTATTTAAAAATTTATGATTTTTATTGAATATACAAATTTTGTTAACATACCATAGCTTACCTATTAGGCTTTCCTTTTTATAAATATTTTTCGAAAATCAAAAAAGAACACAAGCATATTTTGTTTTCTACAATATTATTGTTATTTTCATTCTAATCAATATAGTTTATACGTAAAAACGAGATATAAACATTTCATTCTTTAATCAAATAAATCTTAATCAAAAATTCATAAGAGAAAATTAATTAAGATAAATTTTATTTTCCTTGAAAATAATTTAAATGAGGTGTATATGTTAAAGGTTTAANATCCTTTATATCTAGAAATACTTGAATGGTTAAGATCTATTTTGATTATGACCATATAAAATTTAATAATAATCCTTTAATTTGTAACATTTTATAAATTAACAATGACCTTAAAATAAATTCTGTAGATAATCTTGCTTTTTTATGTTAAAAAGCAGTATTGTACTAAAATATCTTATATGATTTTTTTTTGTTCACTATTATAAAATTTATAAAATTATTCATCCTAAGTGTGCAAGAATAAATTAAATCTTTTCATAAGAATCCTATCATTTGGAGACACAAAAAGGGGAAAGTAATATTTTGACTTTTTATTTTCAAATTGAATCAATATTATGATAGATAGTTTGAAGAGGTCATTTCTCTATTAATTAGAGATTTCACCACTTTATTTTATAAATAATTAAACATATATGTTATCTAGTATAATAAAGTGAATTCTAAATTGAACAATAATTAGGTATATAAATCCAAAACAACACATTTATACATATATTTATAATTAATAATCATTTTTTTTGCATATGGGCTGTGTTAGTTAGAAATAAAGTCCAAGCTAACAGCAAAATAAATTTAGATTTGCTAGTTCATCTTTTTCTAATATTCATTAGAATAGAAAAGTAAGTATTGAATGCCCAAACACAACAGACAATAATAAACCAATTTTATAGTATAGATCAATTGATATTACCAATGATGAAGAATTTATTTTAAAAAGAGATAAGAAATTTATTGCTTCAAATAAGGAATCACCTACTACTACCCCAAAATTTAATTAATAGAATCCAGTGTATATTGGTCAAAGAAAAAATATTAAATTGATGTGAAACCAGTGGCCTTATTTAAAAATTTATGATTTTTATTGAATATACAAATTTTGTTAACATACCATAGCTTACCTATTAGGCTTTCCTTTTTATAAATATTTTTCGAAAATCAAAAAAGAACACAAGCATATTTTGTTTTCTACAATATTATTGTTATTTTCATTCTAATCAATATAGTTTATACGTAAAAACGAGATATAAACATTTCATTCTTTAATCAAATAAATCTTAATCAAAAATTCATAAGAGAAAATTAATTAAGATAAATTTTATTTTCCTTGAAAATAATTTAAATGAGGTGTATATGTTAAAGGTTTAATCTTTAATCACATATTTTTAAATGTGTTTGATAACAATAGATAATAGTTGAGAATATAATAAATTTTATAATATTTTTTAATTAATTATCGAACTTTAATTATGAGAACAACTCCAAATAGTGTGAAAGAAACAGCTTCTAAGGTGTCTACTTAGGATTATAAAAAATAACAATCTCAACCTGTATTTAATTTTAAATATATTTGAGACTGTTAGTATACCAGAATCTAGTTAATTGTTTCATATACCATAAAAGTATTGTTAACAGAGATTCAAACCTTAACCAACAATTTCAAAATCTATTGAAGAGAAGAGATATAAGGGAAATAAGAATAATTTATCAGAAATAAACAATAGAACTAACAGTAGTTCTAAAAGTCGTATATCAGCATTTACAAGCAATCAAAATGAAGATGAATAAATTTATAGTTCATAAAACGCTTTGAAATTAAAAAAAATAATAGGAGATTCATAGATTATGAATCCTCATTTATAGATGTAGAATTTAATAAAAAGACATTTTTAGCTCAAAATCTAATTTGACATTTGATTCAACAAGTCCAAGAGCAAGATAGAATAAATCGGCTTATAAAAAGTAAAATGATTTTGATATAGCTAAAATTAATATGTTGAGAGAAAAAACTTTAATGCAAAAAAAGGCTTACTAACTTCAATTAAGTTAATCTAAAGGATTGATGGATTAATTGCTGAATTTAGATAAACAAATATAAGGAACAGTTTAAGAACAATAGAAAAAATTATTGTATTTAAAATCTAGAGGTGTATGGGAACCATTTAAAGATATGTTTACTAAGTAATTTGCTAGAACATCAATGTAATATAAATCCTCTTTAAATTCTTTGTAAATACAGGTAAGAGAAATAGAATAATAATGGTAAGATGTAACAATGAATATTACAAATAATTTATTCGAATTGATGTAAAACTCAGCTGTTTTAATGTCATATGAATAAGACGTAAAATTAAATGAATTGGTAGAACAAATGAGAAGGGAAAGAGATATTTGGTAAAATAATTATAAATCCCTTGAACAAGAGAGAGACATTTTATTAGAAACAGTATCTTAATTAAAATAAACATTAGAGAAGTTCAAACCTTAAAATTAATAAGAAAAGAAAGCATAAGATTTAGAATCATTGGAAACTCATTAGTTGAAAGAAATGGCAACATTAATGTAACAAAAAATTTAAGAAATGTCAGATAAGGAATCAAAATTAATAAAATTAGTAAAAGCTATAAAAAGATCAGGAGTAGACATAGAAAAAATATATAATGAGGAAGTCTTGAACGAAGATTCAATATCAGAATAGTAGACATAATCAATAAGAGATAAAAAGTAAGCTAAAATTTCAATTATTAGAGATTAAAATGCCAAATTAGAAAAGAGCTTTAACGATGCAGATAATTCTGTAGTTAATGATTCTGATGAATCAAGTTTCCAATATGATGGAAGGCTGGATAATGAAAGTATAGTGGAAAGTATTAGAAGATTTGAAAATAGAAATTAAAATAATACATATGCAACAGAAAGTAAAAGTTCTATAAGGATGAAGATTGATTTATCAAAATGCAATTAAAATTAAAAAAAAATGCAATAATTCTAGGAGTTACAACAACTAGAATAAGCTAAAAAACAATAGTAGCAATAATAGAATATGAATAAGCTGAAAGTACCTGAATTGGATCCTGTAGGATTTCATTCTGAGTTTATGTTGAAGATCAACGAGTTCTCGGAGAGTTGGAGACTTTAGATGTTAAATGATTAGAAAAAGATAGAGCCCTGATATAATATAAATTTTGATTAGTTATTATGAGCTTTTAATTGAAGGGAAAAATAAAATTGCAAATCATATTTATTCATATACTATTATATAAGCACCTTTGTCTGAGAGATGTAGATCATTTTTGTCTTTAGTTACTGTATGGTCATCGAAATGAAACCATTAGTTTTGTCTTTAAGCAAATGCAATATAATGACCTCCATTTAACTAACCCATATGTGAGATAACGCTCTTTAATGTGTATTTTGTGTTTTCAACATTTTCTGTACAAAATCTAAAGTTTATTAATAAAAATACTCTTTTATATCTAGAGCTTCTGGATAAATTACTTCGTCAGTAATCTTTTAATTTTTAGGGAATTGAGTAAAGCGTTTGAGATGAAGAATTAGATATTTTGGGGTCTGAGTGACTTAAATCTTCCTTTAAACAGATTTATTAACAAATTAGCATTTATCACATTTCCAAGAATCATTAATCTATTCTTCTTTAAAGTAATTAGACAAACAATCATACAATTTAAATTCTCTAGGAATGTAATATTTTGTAAGTGGAAGATTCAAATCTAAAATTGGATCAAAACCTTCACTAATTTCTTTACATTTCTAACAATGAGATTTACTAGCTATCTAACCAGCAAATAGATCAGTAATAATATCAGCGTTTCTACTTTTATAAACATCCCAAGCTTCTTAAGCATTTGGAAATTCCTCTTTTTCATATTTCTTTTTTCCAACTAATTCTTCTTTTATTTCAGATAAGAGAAATAATAAAAATTCATGGGCATCTTGTTACTAAGAGTATTTAAACTTATTAAGGCACATATTTTATAGTTTTTCAACTGAAATAGAGGATCCTGGAATGGAATTTTAAACAACTCTTAATAAATCTTGGTAAGCCATAGTAAATTTTTTATTTTACTACTTTGATAATTTTAATAATGAATCGTTTAATTCTTTTATGCTCAATAGACATTATAAGGCTGAGTTCATATAACAATAATATTTTGGATTTTATAAACCTACAAAAGGTAATTCATAAGATTTTGGATAAATTTTTATTGATTTGGTTTTTGAAGAAATTTGTCTTCCAGGTGTAATTTTATTAGTAAGTTTATCAGAATCCTCAAAAGCATTGGCTTCTAATTTTGCTATTTCTATACAAGGTTCAACTGAAATCTTTGTGTGATTGACTGTATGAGAAGTAATATTAGTTGAACCATCATTAAAAATATCTGGTGATTGTATAGTATTCTCTAATTCAATAGAAATTGTTGGTCCACCACCATATAATTGATTTATAAATAACCATGATCTTTGATTTAAAAGAACATAATGCTTATCTGGTTATATACCTGATAAAAGCTAAGTATCCTTTTCTGATTTTATTATAACTATTTCTTTTTGAGTGTTCTCTTCAGTCAATAATTTAGTATTATTTATTGATTTTGGTATGTCTAAATTTCTTTTTTCCAAAAATTTTGTATAATCTATAGCCCATTTATATTCAATAAAGTAAGTTGTGGGTTAATCCTCTTCAATTAAAGAAGTTACGAATGATTTTTCAATATCAATGCTAAAATTTTTAGACTATATCAATACCTTAAGTTGAGCTTCCCTTCATTTCTATATCCTTTGATTCTGTTAACTATGTTTTAAATCTCTTAAAGCTTTTTATCTTTTTAATTCAATTCCGCATTCGGCTTTTTATTTACGGTATCCTGAACTAGTTCCTTCTGAATTTCCTCTTCAGCTTTGCTATGCTTAATTGATTCAGCATCAGAGTTTGCAGCTGTTGAACCAATTTTTTAAGGCCTAAATAAATTAATTAGACACACACTATATACTTTTCTTTCTTTGGTTTGGTATTGCAGCAAATAAACATAATATTTTTTTTTAATATCTATCTATAATTTTGAAATCAATTAAAAATTCTGTTGTTATCCTGTATTGGTAAATAAAAAATATTTCAAACATTTTTAATTAACCTTAGAACCTTAGAATCATCTATTAAAAAAGTTTTCTCAAAAATTAAAACATTCCAATTTATTTTTATTCATAACAATCAAGAATAGTATATTTTTTAGTTAGAATTGATGTTTAAGAATTTTATTTTTTTATTATTAGTATTTACACCTATAATGATAAAAATTTCAAAAACATAGATTATAATATATTTAAATAATTACATATCAATGTTACCAGATACAAATGAATAATGTTAAGTAATAGAGGAATATAAAGGATTTCCAGGATCTAAATCATTCTCTATTTTAGGGCTTTTAAATTTAGCACTGGTTTATGCAAAAATGACTGTACATTTTTATGTTAAATGGACAATCATTTTAAGTCCGATGATTTTCTTTTTTGCCTATAAATTTTTGAAGAGCATTTATAATATAAGTTAGCAATCTCGTTAAGATAAGAATAAAAGTTTAAAATAAAGAAAGATGATTATGTTATGGAATTTATGCTAATTATTGATTACAGCACCTTTGGCAGTATCTACATTTTATTTAGGTGATTTAATAGAAAAGGCTATTTAATAATAAGATATTACAGAACCTTTAACTCATTTATTTGCTTGTTTTGCATTCACATTATTAGTATATTTGCTATATTCATTAAGTACATAAAAAGAAACATAATAAAATCAATCAAACAATAAAGGCATATTATTGAACTTTTTACTCTCAATGTTTGGTAATTCAGTAAGTTTTTGTGCTGGAGGAGTATGTAATTCATTTTATATTTCAACACTTTCTGCATTTTTTTCAGCTTTTGGAATTCCAATTACTTAATACTTACATTATTTAAATTATCTATGTATTATTTTATTAGCATTTTCTCTGTTATCTTTGTACTCAGTTAAGGAATCAATATTTTATGCTCCATTCTTAATTACTTTTATAGGTTCAAGTTTAATAGTAAATGACATGTTTTTTTACAAATTACCATTTGCACTTTGGATTGGAAATGGAATGATAATTGGATCAGCTTTCTGGAATTCCAGATTAAATTAATTTAGCTTCTTTAAGAGAAAGAAATGATATAGTTTGTTTATGATTTCTAAAAGTGTTTTTTTTTATAGTAATTATTAGAATCTCATAAATTATAATTAATGGCAAGAAAAAATAATAAATAAAAAAAGAAAGCTTAACATGAATTCATGTTATAAAAAGAATTAGAATAATAGTAAAAGAAAGAATTGAAATAATAAAAAAAAATAGAGAAGGAGGAAAATAAATGGATTGATGATTTAGATGATCTAGAAATAGATTCTGAAGAACATGTATTTGGATTGAAGAAGAAAATAAAAAAAGATAAAAAGAACAAAAAAACAAAGAAAGAAGTATGGAATACTTAAATTTTAGAAAAAAATAATTAAAAAACAAGAAAGTAGAGTTGATGCAGCTCGTAGAAAAAAGAGAGAAAGAAAAGCAAGAAAAAATCCTATTAGTTATTCTAAAGATATTGAAATGTGACAATCATTCTAATCAATTAGATATTAATTAATTATTATTCACTTTTTTATTGTTTCCAATTTCCATAATAAGTGATCACTTATTGATATTCTTGTATTATTTTCTACTAATATATCCCAATCAGATTTTTTTTCATTTATATATGGCACCCAAATCCTTCCTTTCAATGGTTCATTAGGATTATCAATTTCTATTCCTAGTACTTTTAGAATTCGAAGCAGTACCATCTAATTTCTAAATGTAATAGTGAAACCGATCATCAGCAGGATCATAAACTGAGATAAAATTACCATCACATTTATCTGAAACCTTCTCACTGAAACAAATTCCATTCATAACATTCATTATAAGATCACTCTTCTATTTCTCATCAAAATATTTATATTGCTTCTCTGTCCTATTATCAGGATGTAAAATTCGAATTACAAATCCTTGCTTCATGTCTTCCAACTTATTATTGTACTAAACATTACTTTTTTATTTCCATTTGATTTTACGCATCCCATTTATTTTAATGTTATAAATCGAAGTTATTTGTTTTGGATTAGCTATTGAAGTTCAAAGACTACAAGATCTTACATAACAACTCAAGTAAGACATTGATCAAGCTAACCAACACAATAAAACTTATCTTAATACAATAGATTAAAATAATCTTGCTATCCAACATCATACCAGAAAAATTGATCTTCTTTAAAGAAGTAAAATTTAAATCGAACAAGATTACAATCAATTAAAATCGTAATATGATTATGTTATTGATATTATTTCCTAAATAACAGGTAATGAGTTGACTTTAGAAGAATTGAATGAATTAATTGAAGAACTTAAAAAAAGATCTCTCAAATATGATCGAATCTAAGAACTTCTAAATGGATAAAACCTTAGTGAGATTATTTCTAAATCAGAACAGTACGATATGCAATATACTATTAATCAAGAATTAAGAGACTAATTAGAATAATATCCTTAGATCGTTATTTCATTAAATCAAGATTTATAATAACAAAAGCTATAAATATAAAATCAAAAATTTTCAATTAATCAGTTAACAGAATTAAACACATAACTTCAAGAATAAATTCTTAAATCAAAACATATTTAAGATTAACGTCAAAATTCTGATTTATAATCATCTGATTTGAAATTTATTTCCCCATAAACAGTTTAACAAGAATAAAATCAAAAATAATTAATTGAATTAAAAAATAGATTAAACTCCGTAGAACATTAAAATATATCTTTAAAAGAAGAAATTTCATCCATTTTGAATCTTAAAATGCAAATTGAAGCCAAACTCAGAAATTTAATTTTAGATTAAAATAAACTCTTAAATGAAAAAGAAAAATTAGCAAAAGAAACTTTCTATTTAGTTAGCATATCTAATAACTTTAAAACAGAACTATAAAACAAATAAAACGAAATTGGAGAATTAACGAATCAAAACTCTTTATTATAAAATCAAGTCAAAAACTAAGAAAATTAGATTGAAAACTTATTAAAATAAAATTAAGATTCAGAAAGTAAATTAAAAATAGAAATTAATAATTTGAATTAAGAAATATAATCAAAATCTTTCCAAATTGATGAGTTACGTCTTGAAATTTAGTTTTTAAATGATGAATCCAAAAAACTAAATGAAGAACTTAAAAATTAAATGAGAATCAACAAACATTCTAAATAATTCTCACAATAAATTGAAATTATTTAAGATAAATTACTTTTGAATAAAAACTTCATTTAAATGTAAGATAATTAATTATAAATCTTATAATAGCAATCAATTAAAGATAAAAATGAATTAGAAAATCATTATAAAGGAATTATTGAATAGTTAAATTAAGAAAATTATAGACTTAAATTCGAGTTAGATCAATTTTAAAATACTATTCACTAATTAGAAGATTAATTAATATAATTTCAAACAGAATCGCAAGAAAATAAAGACCTTTTAGATTCTAAAAACTTAGAGAATGATAAATTAATCGCCTTCAACAAAAAGATTTAAGAGTCTAATGAAAAGCATATTTCAAAAAATTAGGAACTTGAATAATAAATACGTAAACTAGAGTTTAAGTAAAGCTCTATTCAAACATTTAATTAAGGCAATAGTTTATCTTCTGATAATTTTAAATAAATAATAGATAAAATTAAATCCGAAAACTAATAATATTAATCAGATATTCATAAATTAGACTTATTAAATCAAGAATTGGTTGAGCAGATTTCGTCAATGAAATTTGAGATAAATAACTACTAAATATAAATCACTAATTTAACAATGTAAGTTGAAAATGCTCAATCCCAGTTTTAGGAAGATTATTTATAAGAGATCAATTAAAATAGATAATAACATTTATTATCAATTAATTAAATTAATGATCTTAAAGAAAAGACTTAAAAATAATAATAGTAAATTTTAGAACAAAATAATCAAATATTAAGGTTCTAAAAAGATATTTAAATGCATGAGAAAAAATTTATAGACAAAGAAAAATAAATTATCGAATAAGAATTATTCATAAGATAATTATAGTAAGAATTTAATTTATTAAACAATTATTTAATAAAAATTTAAGATTAATTTTAAACTCTGTAATAAGAATAATATAAAAAAATTCAAGAAAATATCGATTTAACTAATCAAATAGTTAAATTAAAGGCTGGATAGTAACAAACAGAGTTAAAGGATTCTTAATTTTTAGAGGAAATTTAAGTAAAAAATAACCATCTACTTTTTGAAAATCAATAATTAAATCAGTAAATTTATGAGAAAAGCACTTTATTAGAATAAAAATGTTTATTGATTGATAAATTCAATTTAAAAATTATGAATTAAAATGGAGAAATCTTTTAACTCAGAAAATAAGTAACCTAATAAGAAAATCAAATCAAATAGTTTTAAAATGAAATTGAAAAAACTAAATAAGGATGTGAAATAGATTAAGTTGAAAATAAAAAATTATACGAGATGACTCAAATAAATTTAAAATTAAGTTAAGTAATTGATGAAAAAGAACAAAAGATTCATTTATTAAAACATGACTTAGAAGTATCACAAATTAAAGTTGATGAAATTGAAAAAGTTAATAATAATTTATTAAATAAGCTAAATGAGAGATATCAAATTTTTTAATCTTAATCAGAATAGTTTTCAAAATCTCTTATATCATCTGAAACTCTCTTTTCTTAGAATGTTGAAAATGATTATTATCAATAGTAACTCTAAATATTGTAAAATAAATATGATGATATTCTTAAAGAAAATTAAATCTTATTAAATAATTCCAGTTAAATAGAAGAATATAAAAATAAAGTAGCATTATTATCTTTAGAAGTTTCTCGATATCATAATTTATAAAAAGGATCCCCTTCTTAAAATTTTATTCAAAGCCCTAGAGTTGAAAATCAAGTTATGATTAATAAAATAAGCTTGAATTAAGAAAAAGAAAGTCGTATTAAAACCGAACATGTTTTTGATAATAACTATAAAGACAGTGATTTTTATTGTTTGTTAGTTTTATTGTTCGCAGAAATTGAATCTCTAAGAACAAAATTAGATGAAAAAAAAATAGAAGATAGATCATAAGTTTAATAAATTATAGAATTTTACCGTCCCAAAGCCTAATGACAATTATTAATATATAGATTATTTATAATAACTTATTAAATTATGTANGTAAGAATTTAATTTATTAAACAATTATTTAATAAAAATTTAAGATTAATTTTAAACTCTGTAATAAGAATAATATAAAAAAATTCAAGAAAATATCGATTTAACTAATCAAATAGTTAAATTAAAGGCTGGATAGTAACAAACAGAGTTAAAGGATTCTTAATTTTTAGAGGAAATTTAAGTAAAAAATAACCATCTACTTTTTGAAAATCAATAATTAAATCAGTAAATTTATGAGAAAAGCACTTTATTAGAATAAAAATGTTTATTGATTGATAAATTCAATTTAAAAATTATGAATTAAAATGGAGAAATCTTTTAACTCAGAAAATAAGTAACCTAATAAGAAAATCAAATCAAATAGTTTTAAAATGAAATTGAAAAAACTAAATAAGGATGTGAAATAGATTAAGTTGAAAATAAAAAATTATACGAGATGACTCAAATAAATTTAAAATTAAGTTAAGTAATTGATGAAAAAGAACAAAAGATTCATTTATTAAAACATGACTTAGAAGTATCACAAATTAAAGTTGATGAAATTGAAAAAGTTAATAATAATTTATTAAATAAGCTAAATGAGAGATATCAAATTTTTTAATCTTAATCAGAATAGTTTTCAAAATCTCTTATATCATCTGAAACTCTCTTTTCTTAGAATGTTGAAAATGATTATTATCAATAGTAACTCTAAATATTGTAAAATAAATATGATGATATTCTTAAAGAAAATTAAATCTTATTAAATAATTCCAGTTAAATAGAAGAATATAAAAATAAAGTAGCATTATTATCTTTAGAAGTTTCTCGATATCATAATTTATAAAAAGGATCCCCTTCTTAAAATTTTATTCAAAGCCCTAGAGTTGAAAATCAAGTTATGATTAATAAAATAAGCTTGAATTAAGAAAAAGAAAGTCGTATTAAAACCGAACATGTTTTTGATAATAACTATAAAGACAGTGATTTTTATTGTTTGTTAGTTTTATTGTTCGCAGAAATTGAATCTCTAAGAACAAAATTAGATGAAAAAAAAATAGAAGATAGATCATAAGTTTAATAAATTATAGAATTTTACCGTCCCAAAGCCTAATGACAATTATTAATATATAGATTATTTATAATAACTTATTAAATTATGTACTAGGACTGGAGGAAAAATATAATAAGGTAAATAGTTAATAAATAATAAATTAAAAATAAAATATAACACATTTAACAAAAGATTCAATCTCTTAGATAAGGATTTTCAGGATAGCGATATCTTTTAACTATTTATCTCTTTTTTGCTCTATAAAATCTTGTAGTTATAGGGACGGCGTATTTTTCAAATAGAATAGTTACAGCCATATTAATAATCATTAAGATGAACATTGATATTAACCATTTTTAGGGCATTGAACTATCTTAGTAAGTGAAAATAAGCTAAAAGATTCTTATAAATAAAATACCTTAAATATATCATCAGCTAAAAATTAAGGATGCTGTGAAAAGAAAAATACATAAAAATTAATGATAAAAAGTATGATCAAAACAGAAGTAAAGCCTAAATTAGTATAAAATTCTCTTCTAAAAGGTTTTCCAATAGAGAAGGCGATGCATTAAAAAATATATTAGAAACTTGAATATAAAAAAAGACTCTAAATAAAATGGTTAAATAAATTACAGTATTTTCATAATTGATCATCATTGCATAGTGATCATCAGTATTTCCTTCATGAATAACAAAATTGCTTACATACCAATTTTATGTTCTTAAACTAAAGTATACAATGCATTAGAAGGATAATTAAATAATAGTTTGTCCAATAACAGACATTAAAACAGGAAAAGAGAGTAAATTTGAGCCTGGTTAGAATTATGTTAATTATTTATAAGCTTTTGTCTTACCCATAGTAAAAGCTAAAGGAATAATTAAAATTAAATCAATATAGAGAAATTGAAAGTCAGAAATTTTAGCTAAAATTAAATAGAGCAAAGTGCAAGTGATAAATTAAATCATACTATACAATGCCATATATTTGAAACATTGAAAGCTTGTTACTAATGAAGCTCTACCTTCTCTCAAAAGTTTAACAACACAAGAAATATCTTAAATTTTAGATGTAAAGGGAGCTGCAATTGATGCTTCAGCTTCAGATAAAGATATTCCAACGTCAGCTGCTTTTAATGCTCCACAATCATTTGCTCCATCTCCGCACATACCACATAAGGCTTTTTTACTAATTTTTTAGAGATGAGTAATTAATAAAGCTTTTTATTCAGGTTTCATTCTGGCAAAAATTTATGCTCTTTCTAAAAGTTTACCAAAAACCTTTCTAGCAGTTGGATTAGTATCAATTTATTTTGTCAATAATTAAAAAGCTTTACCAGATATAGCAATAACAAAGGGTTCATTAGTTTTCCAAGGATCTTAATCATCAATCAAATGATCTAAATTTTCTAAAATTAATTGTTTTTCCTTTTCTTTATATGATAGTATTTTGCTTCTTTAAAATTATTAAGATCTTCTAGATATTGATTTTGTTTCATGATATATTGTTTAAGGTATATTTTCTAGATCTTCCTCTTCAATAACTTAACCAATACCTTCATTTAATGCAATTTCTAAAGATTATTTATCTTTAATTGATAATTGATTCCATATCATTTCATTTTCATCTTCTACATTATCAGGATCATCTTGAATATCTAATTCAGGTGATAAATTTTCTGGATTTAACACATTTTCACTCATATCAAAATCTTTCCATACAATTTAATTTTTTCCATTAATTTTCTCTTCTCCAATATCTCCTAAAAATATTCTTTAATTAGGTTAAACTATAGAACATTATCTTGCAACAGAAATAGCTGTTAAAACATTATCTCCTGTAACCATAATAGTTCTAATGAATCCATCTTACAAAGTTTAAATAATTTTCTTAGTTACTGATTTCAATTTATTCTACATAATTAATAATCCAATAAAAGTGAGATTAGATTCTACATCATCTCTATTTGTTTCTTTTTATAAAGTTTTTGCACCACAAGCTATTATTCTAAATCCTAACTTTGAGTAGAAATCCAAAATTTTATGAAAACTAGTAGGCACACTTTATTTATTACATAATTCCCTCAATTTTTCAGGAGATCCTTTTACATAAGCTTTTAATAATCCATCTTTTTCTACTATTACACTCATTCTTTAAAGAGTTGAAGAGAATTCAAATCTTTTAACTATCTTAATCTGATTACCTTCTTAAGAATATACTAAAGAATTAAGATCATCTAATTTATATTAAGTAGCTTCAAACATTTTAATTTCTAATGGATCCCCTATTAAATTATTATTAACAGTTGCTAAACTATGACATGATGCCATTATCTCGAATAAAACTTATTTTGGTATTCTCTTTAATTCATTAAATGCTCCTGAAGGATTATCAAGTATTACTGATTTATCTTAAACATTTAGATCATTTACATTAACTACTAAGTCATCAAATTTCAATTTTTATTTTTCTATCATTTTTAGATTTAATAATACTTTCACTATATCCAATAGCTCTAACTCCATAAAGATCAAGGCCATCTTCAGTTAAGGTACCAGTTTTATCGAAACACATTATTGTTATCTTTCCTGCGACATTAACTTTATTTGGAGATATACAATATATTTTCTTTTTTTATAATCTTCCTAAAGCAAATGAAACTCCAATTGATAAACATGTAGGCAATGCTGGTGGTACTGTAATTGTAACTAAATCAAAAGAATTTATTATAAACCAAAAAATAGTCATCTCTCCATCTTCAATTCCTTTTATTGTATTTGGTAATGCTATAACCCATCCAATAAATGCCATAATAGCTAAAACTACAAGAAATAATAATGAATCTCTATAAAATGAAAAAGTAACTGGTTTTGGATATAAAATAGATCTAACTAACTCTCCCTTTATTGTTGAAAATCCAGTTTATGTAGCAAGTGCCAATATAGGAATCTTACCTTTTTCAGGGTGTCTTGCTTCAATACATTTTGTTCCTGCATATAATGTAAATGATTTTGAATCTTCTTGTGGATTATAAATATTAGAATTATAAGGTAGTTATGTTTTAATAATTGGTATTGATTCACCAGTCAACATTGATTCATTCACAATAGCAGATCCATTCATTAAAATACAATCACAAGGCACTGTCCAATCATTTTGTACTTCTATAAGATCTCCTGGGAAAATATCATTTGAATTGTATCTTTCCTTTATTTAAATAAGATCATATGGAATAATGAGAGATTCATTTTCTATTCTAATTTTATTTTATTTTCTAAAAAGATTTTCAGTTGTATTTTATGCCGACATCTCTCTTAATCGCTTAAAATTTGTTTTCATTTCTCTTAAACTAATCACAATTGATATCAATGAAGATAGTAGTATTACAATAGCATAATATGTATAAGACTCAATCAACCATAAAGTAACACTAAAAGCTTGGAATAAGTAAAATGGTGATAACACTTCATCTATCAATATTTTAATTGTAGATTTGTTAGGAATTGTAGTATTATTATATCCATAAATTTGGGCAATCTCCTCTGGATTTTACAAACCATTACAAAATTGTTAGATTATTTCTTTATGCTATAATTTATAAAATGATGTTTCGATTGGTTTGAATTACCCATCCTCCAAATAGTATGAGTAGAGTCTATAACTAAAAATCTTCATTTTAAAGTATTTCTCTCCTTTCTGTATTTATTTTTCTTCTATTTTTACTAGTTCTATTTCATCTAAAGCAGAGTAAATAACCAAATGTGTTGCTTCATCCAATAAGCACTTCTAAAATTTTAACCATATATTAAATTTTTATTCCCATCTTGAAAATAAATATGTTAAACCAACTAAAATTAAATATATTATAATTACTTGATAAGACACATAAAACCCAATAAATTATTGACTTCCAAATTGGTGATTTATATGAAACTATATGCTTTATAATGCCTTCTTCTTATACAAATTTTGGCATAACAAATTGTACTTTGTAAAAATCAACTTTGCATAACAATTATTCCTCTGCAGATGCTACTTTCATAAAGTTTTAATTTTATAAAAGTTATTCTCTAAATATTTAACTTTCCAATTTATTACGTCATTTAAACACAAATTACTATAATTAAAAATAGATGATTTCAAAATGAATATTTTTAATTATTAAGTATTTAATTTAATGATTTATTTTAGTAATAAAGGGCTTTATTTATAATATTATAATAATATGATTTAATCTTGAATATTTAAAGTAAAATGATAGTGTTAATTCTATTATCTATTTAAAGTAACTTTTTCAATTATATTAATATTTAATTTATATTTATTAATCTCATTAAGAATGTGTTAAATTTGTTCAATAAATTTAAATATCAATGTAAATCGATTAATAATAATAATCTGCCAAAACATAAAATAAGGAAGTTAAAAATCTAAAGAAAAAAGAAGAGGCACAGTTGATAGTTTTTCCTTAGAAATTCCTTAATCCTTTCTTGACCTATAGAATGAATGGAGTAACTAGAATATTTAACTTAATTTAAGGATTTTCATCTCTATGCAGCTGCTTGTTATATTCAAAATCACAGTCTGCCAAAAATTGGAATGAGTTGCCAAAATCCATATAAAAAAATTACAAATATTGTTTTAGATTAATGCACTGAAACAATCACTTTGCATTACACATAACTAGATTATTTATCAATTCCATCGGAATATGTAATTAAAAGACTAGAGAGCTATGGAGATTTTTAAATGAACCAATTAGGTGAATATATTAAGAAATACAATGAGTAGCTTAATTCTGTTTTAAATTAAGAAAATAGTAAAATGGTAAGAAATATGTTTTAATTATGTAGATCGTAAGAAATTAATATAGATCAAAAGGTTCATATAAATATAAATATGTAAAAGAATTAGATTAATTTTTTATTTCTTCCTTAACATACGATATAAAATTAATAGAAGATTTGGGATTTTCAGTTCAATAATTTATTGAAGCATGTTTTAAGACAGGGATTCCAGAGTTTATATATTTTAATTTATTATTAGAATATCTTTGAAACCAGATAACACAAATGACCAGTATTATAAAAATGTTGTAGAGTTTGCAAAACCATTGGTATTTCCAGATGAAAACCAAGATTTTTACTTATATTCTTATCGATATCCTTATGTATTAATAGACAAATTATGTATTTTAAGGGTCTGAAAACTGACGTATCTTTTTTAATAAGAAAAGAAAATTAAAATTCTTAATAAGAAAATGATGATCTCATAAATTTTAATTTCTATTTCAATTACACTCCAAAAATTCAAACTAATAACACAATACTCCAATCTAAAAAGCTAAGATCTTCGAATAACATATCGTTTTATTNAGTAATAAAGGGCTTTATTTATAATATTATAATAATATGATTTAATCTTGAATATTTAAAGTAAAATGATAGTGTTAATTCTATTATCTATTTAAAGTAACTTTTTCAATTATATTAATATTTAATTTATATTTATTAATCTCATTAAGAATGTGTTAAATTTGTTCAATAAATTTAAATATCAATGTAAATCGATTAATAATAATAATCTGCCAAAACATAAAATAAGGAAGTTAAAAATCTAAAGAAAAAAGAAGAGGCACAGTTGATAGTTTTTCCTTAGAAATTCCTTAATCCTTTCTTGACCTATAGAATGAATGGAGTAACTAGAATATTTAACTTAATTTAAGGATTTTCATCTCTATGCAGCTGCTTGTTATATTCAAAATCACAGTCTGCCAAAAATTGGAATGAGTTGCCAAAATCCATATAAAAAAATTACAAATATTGTTTTAGATTAATGCACTGAAACAATCACTTTGCATTACACATAACTAGATTATTTATCAATTCCATCGGAATATGTAATTAAAAGACTAGAGAGCTATGGAGATTTTTAAATGAACCAATTAGGTGAATATATTAAGAAATACAATGAGTAGCTTAATTCTGTTTTAAATTAAGAAAATAGTAAAATGGTAAGAAATATGTTTTAATTATGTAGATCGTAAGAAATTAATATAGATCAAAAGGTTCATATAAATATAAATATGTAAAAGAATTAGATTAATTTTTTATTTCTTCCTTAACATACGATATAAAATTAATAGAAGATTTGGGATTTTCAGTTCAATAATTTATTGAAGCATGTTTTAAGACAGGGATTCCAGAGTTTATATATTTTAATTTATTATTAGAATATCTTTGAAACCAGATAACACAAATGACCAGTATTATAAAAATGTTGTAGAGTTTGCAAAACCATTGGTATTTCCAGATGAAAACCAAGATTTTTACTTATATTCTTATCGATATCCTTATGTATTAATAGACAAATTATGTATTTTAAGGGTCTGAAAACTGACGTATCTTTTTTAATAAGAAAAGAAAATTAAAATTCTTAATAAGAAAATGATGATCTCATAAATTTTAATTTCTATTTCAATTACACTCCAAAAATTCAAACTAATAACACAATACTCCAATCTAAAAAGCTAAGATCTTCGAATAACATATCGTTTTATTATTAGATTTAAGAGAATTAGTTTTAAAGATGTGGTTATAAAAAAATAAAACTTTCTTGATTGAATAGATTTATGTTTATTAATTTAAAAGAATGAATATTTAATATAAATAAGATTAATTAATTATTATATAAAAGTTGCTTAATAATAATATAAATTGTTTTTCTAATTGATTTTAAGTAAAGTCAATCAGTTAATATAAATAATTATAATCAAACTATTAAATTCATTTAATGCTATAAGTTCTCTTTCTTAAAGGGGATTTCTTAGAAATTTTAATTTATTTGGCACAGTTAATAAATGTAGAATCAACACATTTCATTGGAATATAACCAACAGATTAACGTAATCTACTTGGATTTAAAAGATCATTAGATAACAACGATCTTTGAGATAAATAATCCTAAGATTAAACTTATCCAAATTTAACTTTAAATCTGATGGGTATTTATGGAATAATTGGTTAAAAGATAATATCTTCAACTGGTTTAGGAGGATCTTGAACTTTTATGATTTAAAGATTCAGTTTTTGAGAAATGACTTTATCTCTAATTTTTTACATAGAACAACGATGATATTGCTATTTTTAGGAAATAGCCTTTGGTTTAGAGATTGTTGAGAAAAGTCTATAATTATCAATAAATTATTAAGCACAAATTTTAAGTAATTTGCAAGATGATTATGTTTGAGCTTCAGAATTTCTAAATTTAGGAATAGAATCATCATCGTAATATAATTCCATATCACCAAAATATTGATTAGTAGTAAGATGAGTAATTCCATCAATTTTGTTAATTTAATTTTTAAATTCAGCTTATTAATCTATTCTTCTAAATACTTTTAATTTAACATCTCCATTGACTATAAAATAAACATAATCTATAGGTTAGTTATATTTAAAGATGTAAGTAAAAGGAGTATAATATTGTTCTTCACAATTCATCAACATGACTAAAAGAGCACTATCCTTCCAACCTTCAAATAATGATATCTATTTAAGAAAATTGAATTTATAGTCATTTTATTATTGACCTGATAAGGATAGGATCTTTTAGTAAGTATCATAAGTAATAACAGCTAATTCTAATTTAGTAATAGAACAGACAGATGCATTTCTTGGTCCTTTTTAGTGTAATGCAACTTCGCCAAAATATGTACCTGCTTTTAATATATTGACAAATTAATATTAGAAATATCGTCTATCAGTAATTTCTTGAAAATTATGATAATTACCAGGATGTGGTTTTGCATCAGCATTTTTTGGTTTAAATATACCTACAGTACCCTCAATTATAAAATACATTCTTCTACCTATATCTCCTGCTTCAAATATAGGTGTCAAAGGGGGATATTTCTCATATCTAATTTGTTCAAATAACATGAGATATAAATTTGCATCCAATTTAGATTTCAAGTTTCGAATGTAATCGAAGTGTTTATAAAAATATTCTTCTAATTCTTAGATTTGATCATGACTCCTTGTTTCACTTTGTAAAATAGATTTAATTTCTTGCATATTATTTAAGTAACTAAACTTAGAGTTAAATAAATTAATGAAGAGTTAAAGTATATACAAAAAATCAAATCCAATCAGATCCACCTGTATCAAATCTATTGAGGCTAATCAAGAGTTCTATTTAGCTGTTATTGAATAATAAATGTGTGTAAGTATTTGTGCATATAATGAATAAACTGGAGAAGTTTTTGTCACTTAATTTTTAGATTGTACTTCTTTTAATATTACTTCATCAACAATACTTAGATTTGCTCCTAAAATCTTAATTTCTATAGAAAACAATGAAAAAAGCATGTTTTTTAAATAATTAGAAGATGAATTGAATGATACCTTAATTTATTTTCTACCTTTAAATGTTTTGTAAATTAAATTCGAACTCAATCAGTTTAGTAAATTTGTTAAATAATTAAATTAACTATAATTATGCTATACAGCATTGTCCTATACTGTAAATTAACACTTGAACATTATGATTAACAATTTACCTGTTCAATTTTATAATATAAAGGAAGTCTTGGTGTTTAATATTTAAACTACATTAAGTTTGGATATATTAAATCAATTATATAAACTTTTTAAGCCAATTACAAATGGAGGTAAAAGATTGCTTAAAGCAAATCTACTTTAACCATTTAGCACATTATAAATGATACTTGTTAGATAATAAAATGTTAAAGAAATCTTAAGTAAAGATGATTCCATCATTCAAACCTTAAAATCACATTTGATTAAATTTAAATAAGTTGATACCTTAGCTTGTTAATTGTAAAGCAAAAGCATAAAATTATCAGATTAGTTATAATAGATATTTAAAATCTACAACTTTTAAAAGGATATCATTAATTTTACACATTACTTAAATGATTAAAAATTGAATACTATAATGGATATAGATATCAATGGTATATTGATGAGTGATGAATTTCAAACTATTAAATAATAGATAGAATAATATATTGATGTAACATTATAATTGAGTAATATTGAAGAAGATACTCTCTATTTTATTATGTTAAATGAGAAATCTAACAATTTAAAATAAAATCGATTATAATTTATTCAACTAAGATAGGAAATTAATAATATGTATTAAAAATTATTGTCTTGTTTTTGTCTAAATTTAAAATGCAAAAAATTAAAAACCAATGAAAATTCAATAAAATGTCTTAAAAGTGGATATATATTCGAATTATCTGTGAATGAAGCAAACAGGAACAATATCAATGAATTAGATATTAAAAGAATAATTGAAAAAGAGAATGATTAAATTTCTTTCATTGATAAAAACAATAAAAAATACAGTATTCTAACTGAAAAGCTTAAAGATTTGAACATAAAGTTAAATGACTGTACTATGAATATACTATCTGAAACATAACTTTAAGTTAACAATCTTTATGAATAGATGTAGAAACTTTGTTCTTGGATATTTTCACTCAATTGTTTAATCAGTCAATTTGATATTGCACTTTCTATAAGAGATTACACCATATAAAATGTATCTAGTAAATAATAAATGATCTTCCCTTAATTTGATTTCAACTAATTTATAATCAAAGATGCCTCTTATTTATATACTATCAACAATCATGATGCATTTAATAAATTAACTATTTCTTTTAATTAATTCAATATCATTTATGATTATAAGGAATGTTTATCAGAATAATTGAAATTAATTGGATAATTTGTTATCCTATCTCAAATTGGATGCACACTTCCTTGCTCATAATTCAAACTACAATTATTAAGTAGTTTATACACTCATTTTCAAAAATATACTATTTAGAATTTAGCAGAGAGATAATCTTCATTTACTGCTGAAATTCAATCATTAAACAATCTTCTAGTATCTGAATTAAAAGATTCATTAATTTTATGTGATTCTTTAGCTATTTCATCTTCACATGAATCCAATGTGTCTTTTAGTATCTCATTTTTAGAGGCTATATTCAAAAAAACTCATTTTGGACTTTTTGGAACATAGAATTCTGATATTATGCAAATTAATGATCTAATATAATGTAGATGCATGATTTCAAAAAACAATCAAATTGATTATATATAATAAAATGAATTAGAAGTAAATTATTTAAATGATTTAGCAAATCCTTGATGAAGAATTCAATTTAGATTATAAGTTAAAATTACTCAATAAATTATCATAGACCTTTGATTTTCCTTCCACTTTTTGTTTGATTTTTGAACGCAATTTTAATAAACAATATGTTTGAAAAGAATTATCAAATTTTATTATTTAATTTTTTATAAATGAATTTTATCAATTGCTTAGATTTAAGCCAATAAATAGTGAAATAGATTTTTCGAAGTAAATACAAATCCAGAGTAGATGCTAATTTTAATATTGAATGCAATTAAATACGTAAGAAATGGAACAATAATGGATAAAACCATATTGTAATCTAATTTTATTTATGCAAATCAAGAAAATAATATTTAGTTGAAGAATGGAACATCATTAGCATATAATAATAAATTAATGACAACATTTAAGAGCAATTCTAAAAATGTGAATAACTTGCATCATCAACTCCTTTGTGTTAGAGATAAGACAATTAAATTGATAACATAATTCATTTGAATGAAAATAAACGAACAGATTGGATTGAACCTAGATTAATATTGACAAATTAATTGCAATTATCAAATAAGTTGACTATAAATGTGGCTTATTTATCAAACTTAGATGTGATAGATAGAGATATTGAAGAATCAACAAAAGATTCATTGGCATATCGAAGAGACAGATTTTTATCAGATGATATTCAATAAAGTATGTATGTATAAATATAAAAATGAAGATAATCGATTGAGAAGAAGTACGGATATTGATGGAGTAAGATAATATAAAAAGAACAAAGAAATATTAAGCAAAGTGATGAATAGGATGAATGACTCATTTTGTAAGATATAATTTTTTATGATTAGCATCTACATCAAGTAAAAATAAGTCTACCTAACTATTGACAATAATAAACAAGAAAGATGATGTTGAAATCCTGTCTTCTCCTGAGGATGCTTAAAAAATAATAGATGAGGATGAGAATGGAGATTATGAAATTTAAATGATAATTGATGAAGAACCAATAGTAAAAGGTTAAACTGTGATAATAAAATCATAGTAATAACGATTACATCCAATTGTGGATTATATTTTCAAATTGAGAAATAAGAAACACAATTATAATACTTAATTATTTGATACCATGAATTTTGTTAAGAATTATTACTGATTTTCACAATTCATTATGATTAATAACTCTTGCAACAATTACAGTGATATCATCACTTTTGCCTCCAATGAATTTAATTTTAGATCTTTAAGCTCTTTTTGCAAAAGGCGAGTTGTATTTTTTGTCTAATGAATATTGGAAAGAAGTCTTGGCTAAAAGTTGAGCAGATTTTTAGCTAACTCCATATTGATTGATAATATTCAATATTTGATTTTCATCAAGGTTATCATAGAGTCCATCAGAGCCTACAATAATAATATCATTAATCTATAGGATATGTTGAAATTCTTAGGCTAATTATGCACTGTCTCCTTATTAACCTAATTAAAATGGAAAATTAAAGGAATGTTGTTATTCTTCAGATTGATGGAATATCTCTTGATTTCTAATTATTGTATATCCACAGTCTCCAATATTAGCTACATTCAAAATATTATCAATCAACTTTAAAATAACTAATGTACTGCTTCCTAATATATGATTAGTTAATTCGGAAGCAATCTACATAATTTATTTAGGATTATCTAAATGAGAATACTCTTTAATACTATAATTAAATCAATAAATACTTTTCACATAATGTTTTTGAATATTTTGAAGGATCAACTCCATGATTATTCCAACCTCCAACTCCATCTGCTACTGCTAATAGATTCTCATTTGCATAATAAGCATCTTCTCCTCCTTTGGCAACCTTATCTGGATGTGGAATAATGTGTACACTAAATTATAATAATCTATACAAGGATTGGAATTGTAAACATTATACTGCAATATTTATAAAAAATAAAAAAAACATTAACAAATGGCTGAATTCGAAGAATATTCTTAACGTCAAGGTTTTGGTTATACATTAATTAAACATTCAAAATCTGAAATAAGAAAGATTTCTGATCCTATTTATGATTTTATTTATTTTGATCAAACTATATGGAAAGTTATTGATAATCCTATATACTAAAGATTACGTAATATAAAATAGTTAGGTACTACTAGTTGGGTATTTCAGGGAGCTAATCATACTAGATTTGAACATTGTTTAGGAGTGGGACATTTAGCATAATAATTCATAACTTCAATATATAAGAATTAACCTTATTTAGATGGTGAAGAAGATAAAAGAAGAAATATTAAATTGATAACAATTGCTGGAATTGTTCATGATTTAGGTCATGGACCATTTAGTCATATGTTTGATAATTTATTAATACCTAAAATAACTAATTCTTCAGATATTTGGTGTCATGAAAATGCATCAGAAATGCTCTTTGATTATATGTATGACAAATATAATCTTGGGTTAGAAAAAGACGATGTTAATTTTATTAATGCTCTTGTTCATGGAGACTCGAATAAAGTTTCTAACGGAAAAAAATAATGGTTTTATGATATTGTTTCTAATAAAAGAAATGGCATTGATGTTGATAGAGTTGATTATATTAGAAGAGATTGTCATCATCTTGGATAACCACCTTCTATTAAAGATTTTAGTTATCTTATGCAAGAATCTAGAGTTATTGATGATGAAATATGTTATCCATAAAGATATGCATTCAATATTTTTGATTTATTCAATACTAGATACAAACTCTTTAAAATTGTTTATCTTAATAGAATTAGCTAATGCATTGAATAAATGATTTGTGATATACTACTCTCTGTCAATCACATATACAAATTCGATTAGATTATCAATCAACCAGAAAAGTACTATAAATTAAATGATTCCATCATTGAACTTATTGATAGTGCAGAAGGCCCTGAATATACTAAGGCTTAAGCTATCATTAAACGATTAAAAATGAGAGAGTTATATAAATTTGTTAGTGAAGCCTTAGTTCCCTCCTCTACTATTCTAGAATCTAATGATAAAATTAAAGAAGAGTTATACACCTATCTCCCTTCAAATGCTTAAGTTAATATTGATGAAATTTATGTTTCATAAGGTAAAGTGGGATTTGGTTCTAATAACAATGAAAATCCTATAAATCTTGTTCATTTTTATAAAGGATCAGATCAAGATCTCAAAATCTAAGGAAATGATACAACCACAAGCTTTTGTTTACCAAAATCATTCTCTGAAAAATTTATTAGGATTTTTGTTTCAAATGTTTAAATAATTTAATATATTGAAAAGGCTTTTGATTTATATTGTAAAAATAAATTAGGTTATAAACCAATAAATCAGGATAGATATTAAACACCTGAAAAACCTATTACAGACTTTTCTTAAATTAATAAATTTTGAGCATGAATTTGCAAGATTTGTAAATATAATATGAATTAAAATCCTAATTATAATATTTGATTTAGCATTTCTGAATATATTTTTATGATCATTTTTATATTCCTACCTAAAAAGTCATTTATTAATAAACTCGATTTCATTATTATATAATGGTTTAATTAATAAGTTTTGCGCATAAATTTTAAATTGCTAACATAATTATGGAATGATATATTATTCATTTTTCTGATGAATTAAAGAAATGTGATTGATAATGTGAAACTTGCTAATCTTTTTCAAAAATTCAACAAAATATTCATAATTTAAATATATATAATTATTATGTTTTAAGCAAATCATGTTATATATGAGCTTGAAGATGATGAAGAAAATAAATAGTAGACTTCTAAGCAAGTAAATAATTTTTATTAATTGATTTAGTAAATAAAGATTGATAGAAAATTAGGAGCAGTTTCTTATAAAAAATGGGGAACATTGTATAACTACTATTTCTCCTTTAATTTAAAAAAGGCACGAATATTGTGTTACAAGACATAGACATCTTCATCTTACAATAATTACTATTCTTTGAATAAAGGAGATTTTGTCAAAGATGAATAAGAAATAAATCGATTTGAAAGTAGTTTGAAGAAAAAGAAGAATTATCAATATGTTAAAGATTAGAAGGTATTGATAAGAATGTTAATTTAGTTAATAATTTATGTTAGAACAGCTAAAGGAAGAATTTTTAAATTGGTTATTGATGAAAATGAAAACTATGATAAAATCGTAGGTTATTTATAAATCTGTTTTTCATCTAAAATTTAAACTGTGAACTCATTTTTTGCTTTACTTGGAGTAGGATTAATTAAGGTTGATGATAGTGAATTTAAATTAACAACTGGTATCTTTGTATCTTTGAATGATTGGTCATAAAAAAATAATAATAAATATCTATTAATGAATCATGATTAAGGCTTAAATTTGTTAATTAGCAATATTGAATTATTAGGTGGTATAATAGGTTCATTTTACAAAACATAAAATCTTTTAGGGATAATCTTTAATCCATTTACTTAAACAATTGATATAGTGTTATTTGATAATTTAAAGTAAGTAATAAACAATAGTATATTTTTAGTCCAAAAGTATTGCTCTAAGGAGTATTCAAATTACTAAAATTTAGTAAAAAATAAATCTAACCATCAAGTAGAGGATAGCTTTTGAAATTAAAAACTGATATGAATGAAATAAAAGAAAGTAATTATGTAGAAATAGCATAAAATGAGAATGTAAAAATATATATAAACAATGCTCATCTCAGAATATCAGATTATGAATTAGTTTAAGGATCCATGTTTACTTCTTAATATATAGATGATTAAAATGATTTGGATGCTGATAAATTAATATCAAACACAACTTTAGAATTCTATAAAAAAGAATATAAAATATCTAATAATAATGAAGATGAAACAAAAGAATTCATAATAGTTAATAAATAACAAAAAAATAATTTTAATAATAATTTTAATAATTTTACTTCTCCTAGATGTAATAAAAGATAGCTATCTATAATCACAGAGGAAATTAATGATGAAAATTAAGGATAAGGTGTTTAAGTAGCTAAAAGCATAAAAGTACATATGCATAGATCAGATTAAAATATTAATTAATTTCCTAACATAACACCACCTAAATTAGAATTTATAACAGAATTTTAAACAGGATGTTTTAATAATGTTGAGAGTATTGATTAAGTGAAACATAAATTATTTTAATAAGAAGAATAATAATAATAATAATAAAATAATAGAGAAGAATAAAAAGTATCATAGTAATAAATTAAGGAGATAGAATAATCAAAAATACTTTAGTGTTAAGAATAGGAATAAGATAATGATTCAGAGGAAATTGATTTAGTTAAATTTTCAATAGTTTTTGAAGCATCTGAACATAGTCCATATAGAGATTATAATTCTATAATGAATTATGCAGTAAATTTTAAGAAAATTGATTACAAAGATGAATATAGAGTTAGTATAGCTCATAAAAGTGGGGGAACAGCTTGTTAAGATAAAAAGATTATAGAATTAGCAAGAAGTGTTGGAAAAAATATGATTAAATAAGTTGGTTAGAAATTATTAAGTGGCAATTTCAATTTGACATAAGTTTCATTTCCTGTAATGAATATTATAATTTATTAATAGATAAGAGCTATGATTCCTAAATCTGCTTTAGAAAAAACATTTATGTAAACAATTCTTTTTCCTTTATACATGAATAAAGCAGCATCTATTTAAGATCCACTTGAAAGAATAAAACTCTCAATTGTTGGATTACTTTCTAATTATATTTAAGCGAATTCTTTTTTAAAACCACTTAATCCTATTTTAGGAGAAACTTTTGAAGGAGGATATGAAGATGGAACATAATTATTTTGTGAATAAGTATTTAATTCTATAAAAAGTAGATATCTCATCATCCTCCTCTCTCATATTTCTTAGTTTTTGGACCAAAAAAATCTTATAAATTTTATGGATACTCACTCTATGAAGCAAAAGCAGGATTCAATTCTTTAACAATATTGAATCATGGTAAAAGAACTATTTAATTTAATGATTAAAAACTTTAATGTACTTTTTCATCAGAACATTATTCAGGCACTTTCTTAGGAACTATGAAAAATGAATCCTAAGGTACTCTTTAATTTATAGATGAAGCTAATAGTATATAATCTTTAAATTATTATTAGATTTAAAATGTGTAGTATAATTAGGAAAAGTTAAAAATAAACCTACTGATTATTTTGAAGGTGAAATTAAAAGAGGAAAAACAACTTTAAGTAAATTGTTTGGCTCTTATATGGGATTTGCTGATTTTGATGGTGTTCGATATTGGGATGCCAGAGTTATTAAACCCTTTGCAATGTAGATTTTAAAATCTAATCTTGAATCAGATCATACTAAAAGAACAGATAGAATATTTATGGTCTAAGGAGATATGGATAAAGCTTAATCTGAAAAGGAACGATTAGAATAACTTTAAAGAAAAGATGCAGCTCTTAGAAAAGCATCAAGATAAAATGATTGAATTTCTTTTAATTAATTATATACATTTATAATTCGAATTTATTATAATTATTTTTATATAAACTTAAAGATTCAAAGCAATTTTTCATATTATTTACCAAATTCCTTACTTTAAATATTACTCTCAAAATTTATTATATGAGGATAATATGTTTCAATATTATAAAAATTCTAAAACTAACATGTCTTATCATATTTTTTAATATATATAATTAAATTTTTAATAAATTAAAATGCAATATTGTTTTAAATATCAAATTTATTTATTATATGTTAAGGTTATTAATTGATAACTAATATCATGATTGTTTTGATTGTAAATTTAGTTTATACAAAATATATAATTAAATAAACTATTCATCAAAAAAAATTATAAATATGAGTTTTTTTTAAAACAATTTCATTAAAGAATTGAAAAGAAAAATAAATTTTGTAAATTTTATTACCTTTTACATTCACAAAATATAATATCATGATTAATAAGAATAAATTTCTTTTTGAATAAATTTAATAATAATAAAAATAATTTTAAAAAAGAATAGCATCATTTATACCATAAACTTATGAATAGCAGCAATAAGAATTCAATTGGATAAATTACATAAATTGCAAATGAATCAATTGAATTTATCTTATCCTCATATGATGTAGTAAGTATTATGATGGTTTCTAAAATAATAAGGGATACTAATTCTAATGCCTGAAATAATTTTTTTTTCTAACAATTTGGACTTATATATGATTTTCTCTTTTCTTTTTTATAATTTTAATAATGATAGTTCGTATCTAATATAACACAGAGAGCACCAATTACAATTAATTTATAATTGATATCTAAAATATAGTTAAAAATCAAGCAAGCTAAACAAAAAAGGGACTTTCCAATAAAAATAAAAAATGTATGAATTCCACAAGTGAATAATAATTAAACAATGACATATGCCAACATAAAATGAAAAGAGTTTTCTTTCAAATTACATAATTTACCATCGTGTCCACTATGTTTTTCTTTACAAATAAAACAGTATTCATGATTGCATGTTTTGCAAGTCATATGATTACATCCTCCATTTTTTATAATTGAAACTTCACAGTTTGGGCATTAATGAGTATAATAAAACTCTTAAAAGAAACATAAAAAATTGTTCTTTGAATTCTTCAAAAATAGACTTATAATCTTATGAATTGATAAACATTTTTTATCATACCATTTGTAATTGCATATTTCACATTATAAAAATTCTTTACATCTCCCTTAAGGTAAATACCCATATGATTTACAATTTTTATTTGGACATCCTCTAATATCTTAGCATTTAATCAAATAATTTTTAAATGTAATATCTTAATATCGATCTAAAATTTTTTGTTCATCTATTTTGCTTAGAAAATCTTCAACTGAATGAACATCTTTACACATATAATTTAAGCAATTAAAACATTAGGAGGTAAGCATTTATGGATTTTATTCAAACCAATCAAAAACACAATTGTAGCAATATTAGCATTCACAACTCTTACCAATAACAAAGTTTTAGGTATCTTATAAACATATTATACAAATATTTTCCATCTTAAATATTATTATTATTTGTTTTAATAATTAATTTTTTTTATTAAACTAATAATTCTGATGTAATATAAAATATTAAGTTGATTAAAATTTAAAATTCATCATTAATATTAATTTATAGCTATATTAATTTTATTAATTTAAAACTAAATGAATAGAGAAAATCCACTCTTAAAATGGATGAATAATTACATTAAACAAAAAGATCATTAGAAATAGAAGTGTCAACTTTCATTATAATCAACCATGAATTTTTATAAAGATTAATAAAAGATATTTTTTTAGTATTTGGATATATGTATGTTAAATGAATGTCCTATAAAATCTTATTAATAATTTATAAATTTTAATGATATGGCTAATTAAAATGAAGAAAACTCATAATTATTATTGAATTTGAAAATCTTATGTATGAATTCTATTTTAATATAATGAGAGAAAAACAAGAAAAGATTAAAACTATTATGAATTCATGATATAAAAAGATAATATTTTCAGAGTTATTCTAGAAAATCCAGAAAAAATATATACCTTAAGGGAAGTGTAAAAATTTTTCATCATAGATGTTTGATTAAAATAATGTTATTGTGTATTGAATAATTTGATAAGTCATTTTCTGAAATCTGGAATGATTGTGTATGATATTTCTAGATTGAACATTAAAGCATCAATGTCAATCAAAATAGCTAATACACAAACTATAAACAAGATAATTGACAATCTTTGTTTAGTTTTTTAAATATTATAAAATAATAATTGTATAAAAATGGCTTTAATATCTTCAGGTGGTGATGTGTTATATAAGTTCTGTAACCTATAATAATTATTATTATATTAGACAGTAACATTAGGAGGATACTTTTCTTATGTATAATTCCAATTAACAAAGTCTCCAGGTGGTTTAGATGGTAATTTAATCCAGACACTTAAACCTTTTGCTCTTTGTTAAAGTAATTCTCCTCTCTAATTAATCAAGTTAGTCATTTAAAATATAAATAACTATACTAAAAAGCATAATATAAGTATAATTTGATTTATAGATGTTGATTGTTCTAGATAGGTTAAAGCATATATGTAGGCTAATTCAATTTCTCTGAACATTATATTTTTCAATGAATTCTCTAATGTAAAATGCCTTTCTTTTTGATTTTTGGTACCCACATAGATATACATGACCAACCTAATTGTAAGGATCATTACTGATAACACATAATAACTTATGATGGCAGGGAGACAATTCTAAAATTGGTCAAAAATAAATAAACTGCATCTAAACAGTATATTCCATAGACCAGATTAAAGATCAATTGATTTGATAAAAAGAATTCAGTTTTACACAATTTTTTTAATAATTTTCTCAAAATTGCTATAGAGCCTAACAAAGTGATTTTAGTTATTCCGAATGTTAAGAGAGTTGTAATGGCTATAAATGCAAATTAAAATTCATAATACAATTTACGTTGAAACGTTGAATTGTATATATCTGTAATTCTTTGAACTCTTTAATAATCTAATTACATTTGTTTTAATATTAATAATTATGAGTAATATAAATATTCAATTCTTACTTAATTATTTTTCAATCATTAAATGATTGTCTAAATGATCTAAGTGATCTCATTTATTTATTATTTGTCAATTTCCTCTCTGAATTGTTATTGCTTAGGATATTTTTTTCTTATTAATCATATTATATTTTTCGGGGAGACATAAAATAACTATTTTTATTTAATTTTTTCATTTATTCTTTTAATAACTCAAATTTCTTTTTATCATCTTCTCTGATTTTTTAATCCTGAATTATTTTTCTATTTTGTATTATTTTATTTAAATCCTCCTTGCATTTAATAATGGAGCTTTTTTTATTAAAATTACCAATTTTATTAAAACTTTGACTATATTAGTTTGACTCATGTCGTAACAGAGTGCTTTTGCTTCTTTAAAACTTGTACTTATCTTCTTCCAAAAAATTTAAACTTTAACTTATTAATTCGTATACTAATTTCCCTAAAGAATTTTATTATTAAGGTATTAAATGAAATAGTTTCTTGCATTGTATAAGGTTAGTATATTCAATCTTTTTTTAGAGAATTATTTCCACCATTTGATTTAAACTACAGCTCATCAATAATTATGCTAATAACCAATCTTTGGTTTTCACTCCTTTGACCAATAAAATAAATGCTTAGACACATTAAAACACATCTGTTGCAGGTTTTGCAATCTAGTTTCAATTAGAAACATTTTACAAGAAATTTGTTTTTATTCAGTTATTTTGCTAATAATCTTATAGATTCTTATGCCATTATGAAAGATAAATTAATTTATAAAAAATAATTAGCTGAAAATAAATAATGCTATATTCAAAACTTTTTTGAATTATTAATTAAAAAAAGGAATCAATTAAAAAAAATTCATTAATCAAGTTTTGAGTAAGAAATGATATAGTAAAATAAATATTTAATTATCATGAATTAACAAAGTTCTTAATTATTTAGTGAATCATTAATTATAATGAATATTTGGATGAAGTAATAAAAGACTTTTATAGAAAAAGATAATAATTAAAAGAATGAAATTATAAAATATGAAAAATCTAAAATGAATGCTTATAAAGAGGTATAAAATAATGTTAATTTATAATATAATAGATTGAAGAGTAGTATATAAATATTTTATTAATGTATATCTTTGATTATATTAATTTTAATAATGAGTAGAGCTGCATCATCAAGATAATCAACTCGACCTTCTGTAATGTAACCATAAGGATCAACAACAACACAATAGATATAATAAGGAGTTTCAACAAGTGGGTCAAAACCTTTAGCTTCTGCACCCGTTTCTAATGAAAGAAAATGGCTTGGTAAGAATCCGGAAGTGGTGTGTTTTTTATTAGCTTTAGAGAATGATAGATTAGTGAGAGAGAACAATGATTTGGTTAAATATATCAATGAATTAAAATAAAGTAGTGGTGGCACTATAGATCAATTTAATTAATTAAAGAAATAATATGAAGAAGCATTATTATAGATTAATAAATATAAGTAATAGTAAAAAGTTAATGTAGGATTGATATAGATGAATTGAATAAGAGGATCCGATCATTGGAGTAAGAATTAGCTGATGCTAAAAATAAATATGGATAAGTGGATTAAAGTTTGCCTCAGAAATTAGCAGAAGCAGAAAGGAAATGGAAAGAATTTGAAGGATTGTATAATAACTTAAAGTTGAAATATGATACAGATATAAGGGATTGGTAATTAAAGTATGATGAATTGAATAGAAAGGCATTAGATTGGGAAAGAAGATATGGTATCTTAGATTAATAGATGAAACAGATGCAAGAAGATCATGAATTAGAATTAAGATCGAGTGGAGATTCATCAAAATAATATGAAGATTAATTGAGAGAATGGGAATTAAGATCAAATGAATGGGATAATAAATAGAAAGCATTAAAAGCAGAATAAGATAGATTAAATTCACTTTTAAAAAATAAAGATGATGAATTAGAAAGATTGAAGGCTTAATTATTAGCTGCATAAAGAGAATTGGATGAATATAAGAATAAATTAAGAGAAAGTGATTAAGCCTCTGGATCTAAATTTACTGAATATGAAAGTAAAATTGCAGAGTTGAGATAATAGAATTAATAATTGAATTAAGATTTAGAAAGGTTGAAAAAGAGATATTAAGATTTAGAGGATCAATTAAATAGATTACAATCTTAAAATTAAAGTTAGGATTCTAAAGTTAGTGATTTATAAACTAAATGTAGTAATTTAGAAAATGAAGTTGATAGACTTAATAATGATTTGAGAGATAAAGAATCAGAAATAACTAAATTATAGGGTAAATAGATGTAATTAGAATAAAGAAACAAAGAACTTACTGATGAAAATAATATATTAAGAAAGAAGGTTGCTGATTAGAAAGCTGAAATTGAAAGATTAGAATTAGAATTAAGATAAAAAATTAGTGAAATTGAATATTATAATCTTAATCTAGTCAATTAAGATGAAAGAAACAAATAATTGTTAAGTTAAATTGACGATCTTTAATTTTAATTATAGGATTTCAAATCTAATTATTAATAATTAGAAGAAGATTTTAATAGATTATAAAAGAAAAACGAAGACTTAGAAAATAAATGTGCTTTATTCTCTGCTGAAATAGATAGGATGAAAAATGTTATTAAATTAAAGAATCAAGATTTGGAAAAATTGAGAAGATAAGTAGGATCTCTTGAAATTGAGAAGAAGTTCTTTGAATAATAAATTGAAGATTTATTAAATAAAATGAAATAAATGCAAGATGATATAGCTAAACTAAATGAATTACTTAAGGAAAGACTTAAATAATTACAATAACAAAATAACACTATCATATCCTTGAATCATTAATTGGGAGAAATGAAAGCATTACAAGCCTATTGTGATTAATAAGATAAGAGAGTTAATGATACAACCAACAAACTTAATGAAGCACTTTTGTAATTGTAATTTAAAGATATTGAGTTGATGAATATTTCAGCATTATAGGCTTCAATATAAGAAAGAGAAAAATAAGCAGAGTTATTAAATAATGAAATTATCAGACTTTAAAATGATATTATTAATAAATTAAAGGAATCAGATGATTAAAAAGATTAAATTAAAAAATTAAATGATGAAATTGCTAGATTAAAGACATAAGAGTAAAATCTACATGATATTGAAAGAAAATTATAAAATTCAGTTGAAGAAATTAATAGATTAGAATCACAAAAATCTGAATTAGAAAATTAAGTAACTTTCAATAGATAATCATCACCAAAACATACAATTACAAAGGAGATTCGTATTGAAAAATCCTCTGTATAAATAGATACAACAGAAATAGATAAACTGAAACAAGATTTAAGATAGAAATAATTTGAATTAGATCAATTAAACAATTAATTATTGATATCTTAAAATGCATTAAAATCTGCAGAAGATTACATAGCAGTTTTATTAAATAGAATTAATATTTTGAATAAAGAAAATGAAGATATGTATTCAGGGAAATAATAATTAGAAATACAAGTTCAAGATACCAGAACTCTTCAAGACAAGCTTTAGAATTTAGAAAAGGGATTAACTTAATTTAGAAATGATAATGAAAGAATTTTAAGGGAATTTAAAGAGAAGAGCAAATTATATGATGATGCTAGATAAAAGATTAGTAAATTAGAAGCCTAAGCCACTGAAGCCAGAGAGTTATAAGCCAAATTAAAAGAGATTGAAAATAAATTAGTTTTTGCCTAAAGCAATTAAGAGAGATTAACTGCTTAATTAGCTGAAAAGTAAGAAGAAAATAACAATTTGAAATAGAGTTTGTAAATTGCTAACAATGAGATTTCAAAATTAAGTGAACAAGTGTAACAATTATCAGAATAGTATTGAAATATATTATTATTTAAATAGAGAACGTTTATTAAAAGAACAAGTGAATCATTTGTAGTAAGATAAAGATGCTTTAGATACTTTAAAGAAATAGCATGAAGTTCTAATTTCAGATATTCAAAAGGCAAATTAGAATCTTGATCAATTGTAATGTTATAGAATTTATAGGCTTATAGAAGCATAGAGAGAGATACTCTTGATAATTAATTAAAGTAGAATTAATAAGAGTTAGAGAAATTAAGAATCTTATAGGAAAAAGTAATTTTGTTATTAGATTTCAGGTCCGATTCTTAAGTGGAGAGTGTAATAAACTAAACGATTAAGTTAGCAGAGCTGAAAATGAATTAGATAACTTTAGAAAAAGAGGATAAGAGAACTCTGATCTTAATAAATCGTAACTTAAATTAAATATATATTTTAGAATAATAGATAAAAACAGTTAGATTGAGAGATTAAATAGAGAATTAGAGAATTTAAGGAGATAATTAGAAGGTAATTATTGAAATAAGTTAATTTACATTTAAAAAATAAAAAACATTTCTGAAATACATTGTTAATTTAATATAATAAATAAATTTTTCATATGTTTAGAAAATAATTATTCAGATTTAGTACATATAATTTCATAAATGTAACATAAAAAGGGAAGGTTGCTTTAATTTAATTCAACAGACCAAAAGCAATGAATGCACTTTGTGATGGATTAATAAAAGAACTAAATTAGGTAACATAAGAAATAGATGGAAATCCTGAATATGGTTCTATAGTAATTACTGGAAATGAAAAAGCATTTGCAGCAGGAGCAGATATCAAAGAAATGTAAGATAAATCTTTCCCATAAGTTTAAAATATTTAAATGCTTGCATGTAAAATGAATTTTATCTTTAGCATGGGAAAACTTGACTAATATTAAGAAACCAATTATTGCAGCTGTAAATGGATATGCATTAGGTGGGGGATTTGAATTGGCTATGATGTGTGATATAATATATGCTGGAGAGAATGCTAAATTTGGATTGCCAGAGACTACATTAGGAACAGTAATAAATATTATAATTTAATCAGATTCCAGGTTGTGGAGGAACTTAAAGATTAATTAGAGCAGTAGGAAAATCAAAAGCAATGGAAATTACATTAACAGGAGAATTTATAGATGCTTAAACAGCACTTAATTATGGATTAGTCAGCAAAGTAGTTCCAGTTTCAAATTTAGTTGATGAAACATTAAAAGTAGCTGAGAAGATTGCTTCATTTAGCAAGTATTTTTATTTGATCATCTTGATAGACCAGTTGCTGCCTTGATAAAGGATACAATTAATGAAGCAGAAAATATTGGGTTAAGAGAAGGAGTTAAATATGAAAGAAAAGCATTCTATTCAACATTTGCAACTTAAGATAGAAAAGAAGGAATGTCTGCATTTGTAGAAAAGAGAAAACCTTCTTGGACTGATAATTGAGTATTATGATAATAATAGATATATTTATAAATATATAACTATAAAAATAAATGTTTCTAGAATTATAGTCTTTATTTAATATAAATAAGAGATTTATCTTTTATTCTTAAGTAGTACTGGAATTGGGGGAGTTATCTTTACTGAAGCAGGAGGTAAATTAGAAATAAGATTAAATATAAAGCAAAATGCAATTCAAGAATTATTTTGAAGAAACATACGCAACTTTTAAAATTAAAACTCTTAAGGGATAAAAAAATGTTACTGTTAACAATAAATATGTTTGCTTACCATTCAAATTTAAATAGATAGTTTAATTCAAATTAAACATAGTATGAAAAGTAATAGGAAGTTATTAAATGAATAAAAAGGTTTAAATTGTTATAGAGAAATGTTTAATTTGAATTCGTTAAAATAAAGAATTTGCTAAAATTTAAATAAAATCAATTAATGAGAATATTATTAAAAAGAATTTGATATTAGATATTAATGTTTCTTAGTGTTTGATACTTTAACATTAATTTAAGAATTCAAATAAAAAATTAAATTCATTAATTAAGCAATTTTATCTAAGTATTTAATTAAAATAATCAAAATTTTTTAAGATTAAAAACTTAAATCTATGGTTATTTATTTTAATTAGAAATCATAAATTTGTATTAAAGAAAATTGTTATGTAATTTTCAGTTTGTAAGGTAAGTCGTAAACTTATACTTTTTTAGAAAAAAATGGCTCGAATTTCTAAACTTTATTTTAGCTTGTATCTTAGAAGAATCTTTCTAAGAATAAATAAATTTTACTGTAATCTCTTAGAATTCTTTACATCTTACCATCTCTAAAAGTAATTGCAGATTTAACTAAACCAATTTGCTTTCACAATAAAAACTTTTAAAATGCAAAAACCTAAATACATTTCTTCAGCTATTTTTTTTATGAATCAATTTCCTCAGGGTTAATCTTTTTTGATCGGTTTTAAGATAGAAAAATACCTCATTTATAAATTATTTTATTAGTATCATAGCTTAAATTTATTTGAGTTTAAAAAAATTGAGCTCTCTAAATTAGGAAGAAATAGAGCGAAAAACCAATTTAAATTAAGGATATTAGGAAGAGAAGTCTCTAAGGATTCTTCTAATTATCTATCTAATTCAAATTAAAGTAGAAAAGTGGATGCTTGAAGAGGCTGAAAATACTTTACTTAAACATAATTAATACTTTATAATTCTATTATTCTCATATTCATATTTATAAAATGTGAGTTTCTCCAATAAATAGAATATATAAAATAAAACCAAAAGACCATAAATTACAAATCTTTTAATCTTAATAACTTATGGATCTGTATAATCTATAGTTCTGATCTTATATTTGATAAAATTAATGTTCTTATTAATATGCTGATCTGTAGAATTAATTAAAATATTTTCTGGTTTAGTATCTCGGTGAATTATATCTTTTTATGTGAATATTTTATACTACTTAGAATTACTACAAATATATATCGAACTTTACTTATATTGGTATTCTTTTTTGAATCTCTTCAAATAATTTAATGCTGTATCAAAATGTTTAGTATTAAAATTTAATAATGAAGCATTAATTTTAATGATAAAATAATTATGCATATTAAAAGTTTAAATAAAATTAGAATAAATATATAAATTAATAACAACTTAAATTTGACATTAATATATATAAGGAGTAAAATCAAACAAAATGAATTTAATCGTTTACTGATTTTCTTGAAGGATGTTTAAATGGCGTAATTATGTTCATCAGATTTATATAATGAGGAATGCAATTTCTTTCTTTTGATATTCTATGTAAATAATCATCGGCTGTCTATTCTTATTCTTCCTCTTCACTTGAACTTGTAATATGTTGTTCTAATTTTTAATCAAATTTTTAAGATGATGCATAATCATTAGAATTTTATTCTCTCAATTCTAAAATAGTTCTTAAAGATGCCAAGATTTTAATATTTTCTTTTTCATTAGAATTTTACTAATGCTTTTAATTTATTAACCATTAATGACAAACTGCTGCTGAATATGTAATTCTAGTTTTTGGATTTGGGTCTAAGAGTTGGCATAAAAAGTCTATTAAAGAATAAGAGTATAGTAGTTAATTTTTATTTTATAATCCTTTTAGCCATGTATAGGAGATTTAAAAATTATCAATAGTTTTACTAAAAGCAACTTATTTAATACCATTTTCAGGTAAAAATATTGTTAAATAGTAAAGTAAAACACCAATCTAATATAAATCGATTTAAGAAAAGTCTTACTTTACATTTAAACATTGAAATTCAGGTGGTATCCAAGCATTAGGTAATTTTTAGATTATAGAAGGAACTTAATTCGCATCTCTAAAACTAAAATTGAATAAAGTAATTTTAGTTTATTATGGAGTATTGTTATTATTTCTTAATAAGATAATATTTGTAGGCAAAATTGATGCATGATAAAGATTATTTAATGATAAGAATCTACAGACTTTTATTAATTGATATATAATTTAAGAAATCTATTGCATTGTTAATTATAATCCTTACTAAAGTTATTTAAATAATGTGTCTCCAATCCAATAATCATATAATATATAAAGAATTTCTCCATCTTCAAATAAAGCATGGAATTAATTTAATCCACTTTATTTAAAACACATCAATATGTTAATTTCATTCATCAATTATTCATAGTTTTAATCATTTAAATGTGTATATCTTATCATTTATACAGTGTATATTCGATCTACTGCTTTTAATAAATATTTTACTATTTTTGTTTTTAACACAGACAAAATGATTCGGAATGGATAGTTTTTCTTTGATTGTGTATTTTTAAGAAAAATTTTGTTGTTTACAAAATCTTTTTAGTTACTTTTCCCACTAAGATTAATAAATATAAATATACACTCAGTTGTTAAACATAAGATTCATAAAATATAAAAAGATTTCCATGATGATTATAGAGCATTACACCTTGGGCAATAAATTCTTTATATTAAATTATTTTCTTAATCATGATGCAGGTAGATAAAATCAAGAATTCTCCATAATTATTAATAAGCATATTAGGGTAAAGTGAAAATGTTATCTGTTAAAATTTATTAGTTTTATTGTTAAAAGAATAAAGGTCTGATTTTAGTATTTGATCACAATCTTGTAAACCTTATAATTAAATTTAGCTTGCAGTTTTAAGGTTAGTTTATTGCAATTGGTATTTAGGAATCTGATCAAGAAGATTTAATATCCATTCAATGTTTGCAGGCTTTTGATTTTTTATATAACTTAATCTTTTCTTAGTTTATTTCATAATTTCATAAAAAATAAAACCATTTCGTAATATAATCAAACATAACTAACTCAAATCTATGTATTCCTCATAATTATAGGTTTTAAATATAAATTAAAGAATAATCACTAAAAAGTTAAAATTAATCATTTAGATATTCATTTCACTTTAGTTTTAAATTATTTTATGTATTGATCTGGAAAAATAAAATAAAAATTAACTTAATTATATAATATATCTGTATTACTTCTATAAAAATTAAAACTCTTTTTATTATATTTTATTTGAAGATGATAAGGTACTGCTTTAAAGAATATAGAGGTATTCATCTCTAATAAATAAATTAATTTTTTTTTAATTTTTATTAATGAATAGTTAACAAATCATTCTTAACCACTAATTTATTATTAATCATCTCTAACATGTGATTCTTATAATTATTACTAAGATTCTTATTTAGGATTCGAATCTTGTTACTACTATTTAAACTACATCTTATCATTTGAATCTTAAGATTATTATTATATATTCTAAATCTCTGTTTAATATTATTTTAAATTTTAGGGGTCACTCAGCATTTATTCTTTCATTTTTCTTCTAACAACATTATTCTAATTTTTATCAAGAAATTTACATTAACTAAATATTTGGAATAAGGATTAAATTTTTAATGATGTGAACGACATTACGAAGGAGATCTAGATTGAATGATATCAGACATGAGTTTAAAAATTTTATTTGTTTTTTTTAACTCTGAACTTTCCATAACTTCTCTATGTTATTGTAAAAATGTTAGATAAACTTAATGTTCTTAAGCACTCCAATGACCTTTCATATTAAATTTAGAATACCATTATTAAACTAAGGATTATGGGATTTTTTTATATGTTTTCTCTTTATTTTATTATCTCCAAGATCTTTTGTTTGGCTATAATTGATATTTTCAACACCCTAATTTATATTCAAAATACTTAGAATTAGTTTAACAATGCTGCATTTAACATAAGCTATTGTTATAAAAGTTATTAAGTGAATAAATCAATAACTCTAGGTTCTTCTGCAATTAGAGGGACATTATTCATTTGTGGATAGAATGATGATTGAATCTGTTTTAGCTACTCTAATTATAAAGTTTAAAGAAAGAAATCTGGATTTTACATTAATTATGTAAATTGTGGCATTAAAAAGTGAGGATCAATCTCTGGTTTGTTTGTTTCTATTAATAAAATATTATTTATTACAAATACAAGGAGAATTTTCTTCAATAAGTGGAACTATGCAATCTCTTGAAGATGGGTTAAGACGGTCCATAAAATTATTTTTAAATTTTAATTAAGATTTATATATCTGATTCAGATATAAGAATTTAATTTAATCATGTATTATATTATTCAATTATATTTCAAGAATAATTTTTATGTTTTTAGTAAACCATTATAGAGACTCTACATTTTATTTTTTATCTTTGAGATTGAAATATAGAATATTATAATTTACATACCTAAGTCATCAAATCATCTAAAAATTGGCTTTATCATTTATCATTATAAAATTTAGAAAAAAAGCAATCATTATTTATTTTTTCATATCATTAATTTATATTATCTCTTAATATTTTTATCAAATAAATTAACCTCTATAGTTGAAATCAATGATTTGAATAAATTTTAATCAGTTTTTTCATCTTTAATTTCTAATCTATTTTGATAAATTGTATGTTAGTCTTGTTAATTCATTTTTTTCTATAGCAGATACTGTTACATAATCATTTTACATCATTTCCACAACTAATTACCCAATTCTAAGGGATTTTATTATAATCTTGCTCTAAGTTTTAATTACTTATTTAAAAATTTCTAAATAGTTTATTTTCAGCTATTGGAAATTATACAACCATGTAAATTTATTTAGATTAATAATTGTACAAAAAATGGGACTGTTTTAGTTTAATTTACTTCGATACATTGTATTTCGTATTGTTAAATAATGAAATAAGAAGAGATATTACAAGATTTTCATTATATTATTGGATCTTAAATTTGATGATCTTCATAATAAGTTAAGTATTTTGAAAGAAAAATTCTAAAAAAAATAAATTCAAATGTCAAGAAGAAAAAATCAGATAAATGTAGGATTTGAAATAAAGTCTAAATTGTTAGAACAATAATCTTAATAGTTCAATTAAAAGAAATCAATTTTGATATATTTTTATTTTCATCAAATAAGGCTTAAAGCGTTGCTTCATCTTATACTATATTCACCTTCAATCTTTTTAGTAAATTGGATATTGTAATTTGATTAACTAATTTATAAGTTTTGAATATATATTAGTCCTTCAAAGTTAAATTATATTTTATTAACATGGATAGGCTATATATAATCAAAACATATCTTACTAAAAATAATTAGATTAGTATTTTCGAAATATGTCTATCTGTATTTTTTAATTGAAATATATATCAACCTTATAATTTATAAGTATATAAAATTGTATATCATATTAGTACTTATGAATAGTCTTAATCATATTTTAATTATATTAGTTTATTTTTTTCTTAAAATTCAGTTTGGTATCAAAGCCAAATTAATTGTTTATCAAATGAAAGACCAGAAATTATTGTATTTAATGAAATAACTTTTTTAAAAAATTAACTATAAAATATTTATTAAATGTATCTTAAATTCTGTGTGATCATCAGAAAAGAAGTATACTTATCTGAATAAATATGGTAAATTTTTGAATATTCTTAAACTAATCATTAAATGAATGAATGATTTTATTTTGATTGTTGATCTAAATAATTGTTAAGAATAACAGAGATTAAATATATAAGAATAATATATATGATAGGAATAGAAAGAAATATAAAAATATAAATTGGTTCTTTATATAATACTCTCATTATTTGAGTGTTTCTGGAGCATTTCCAACTTTGACAACACATCTATATTTAGGTCTTCCATTTAATAATTTATCATAAGCTCCTTTGAAATTTTCAAACTCAAATTATTCGCATGTGGGATAGATTTTATGTTTATTCGCAAACTCAATCATTTCATAGTTTTCCTATAGATTTAATATTAATTTTATACTTATCTTGAACCAACAAGAGATCCAACAAATGAAATTTATCTGACAACCAAAGCAAAAAATGGCAATTAAAGTTCAACTTTAGTTAGTGCAGGAATACCAACCATAACAAAATCTCCTCCACTTTTAACAAGATTAGTATAAGCAATAAATTCATCAACAGTATTAGCATTAGCACAACTTAAAATCATATCAAATTTTCCATTAGCTTTAACCATTTATTCTTAATTCTTAGTACAAATAAAATCAGTTGCACCATATGATCTTGCTTCTTCTTCTTTATCATATGATGTAGATATAGCTGTAGTTTTCATTCCTAAAGCAGCTGAAAATTTAATTGCTAAATGTCCTAAACCACCAATTCCTAAGATACCAACTGTTTTATTAGCTCCAAAATGTCTTTTAAGTGGTGCATATACTGTAATACCTGCACATAATAGAGGTGGTGCTAAATGTTATGGAATTGTATTTGGAATTGGAAATGCCCATTTTGCTGGCAATTAAACATGTGTAGCAAATCCACCAAATTTTGGTAATGGAATTAAATGTTCATTACCTACTTATCCACATAATTAATCATTTCCTAAAATACATTATTTGCATTTTCCACAACTATCTCTTATAAATCCTGCTCCAACCAAGTCACCAATTTAAAATTATGTTACTTGCTCTCCTTTTTATACTATATGACCTAATATTTCATGTCCAGGAACACTTGGATAATTAATTGGGAACCAATCTTAATTAACAAGATGACCTTAATAAATAAATCATAATGTTTACAATCTGTATAGCATAAACCAAAATATGTCTATTGAATTCTAACTTCATCTGGTCTCATTGGAGGAAATTAAAATGGATAAAGCACTGCTTCTGTATTTGGACCTTCAAAAGACCATGCAAATGCTTCAGCTTAATCTTTACTTACTAATTTATAAAGACTGTGTTCCTTTGTTGCCATAAATTATATTTATTTATCTTTCCTTATCAAATACACCTTATCTTCATAAATATTCTCAAACACTCATGAATCACCTTCTCTTATCTAATCAGAATTTAGAAATTTCTATATTATTTATAATACAAATCATAATCAATGACAATTAATCATTCCATTCTCAAAAATACTTAACAATACTTAACAACGTTCTATATTTCAAATATACAAACTTATTTCTTTATTTAATCATATTTTTTCTTAAAACATTATAATTCATTCTAAAACCTATTATTTTCATTCAATCATTTTTCTAATCTTTTTTCTTTCAGAAATTTCTTTTCTTATTAAGGTATTTACTTTTTTTTTTCATTCTGCTCTAATATGATGATGCTTAACAATAAAATTAATTTTGTTTTATAATGTTATTTATAATATTAAATGAAGCTTGGAATATATGAAGTAGGATTTCTACAAACAGACCTTAAAATAAATTTTAAACAATTGTAACCATTTTAGTAATGGCAATTTTTGGGATAAAATTATTTATCTACAATGTTGATTGCTATGCTTGATTTTTTTATTGCAAATAAAAAAACCAAAGCTATTGAGTAATTAGCATAACCTAGATCAAGTTATCAAAATCAAGATTCAATTTAGATTGCTAGATTTATTTATTGCCTGTTTACAAACTAAATTAATACAAAAGAATTTTTCATTTAATTAAAAAATATAGACAACAATAATACGAAATGTGGAAAATTATTAGAGGAATTTTGCGATATTTAAGGAATAAATAAATCAAAATAAGATGTAAATATAATGATGTAAAATATTTCAAACTTCTTTTAACTTTAAATTAATTTAATTGGACAGCGCTAAATTGGTTAATCTAATAAATCATAAATATTCATTTATTAAGGATCAAATGGGTTTTATTTAATTAAATAAACAAACCCTATAATTTAGTATATAAATTCACCCCAATAACAATGTTAAAGATGTTTGATAAAGTTTGATGACTATTTTATAAATTCTAATTGCCTTCATATAATTTGTTATAAATGTTTAAGTGAAAAAGCTAAAAAGAGTAATTAAAATGAATACATTTAGTGCATCAATAATTGTAAGGAGAAAATTGAAATAAAAAATTTTTAATAATATATCAAATAAGATTAAACTAAATAAAGTTTGGAACAATCACAAAAATTATCAAAGTCTTAATAATTTGGTATAGATAATACTTAAGCTTAACCTGTTAATTATTAGAATTAAAATTAAGTAAAAAATAATAATCTTGTTAATTCATAATCATTAATATGTAATTATTGTTATAAAACCTAAAACAAACCATTATATATTAATAAATCTTGTAACCATAGATTTTGCATAGATTGCTTTTATTAAACCATTACTTGTAAAGTATAAATATGTGCAGTCAAAAGTTGTTAGAAAATAATTGATGATTCTCTCATCTAATAAAGAATTTAATTATAAAATGACATTTAAAAAAATTAAAAACCTATCTAAACTTCGAATTAGCAAATGGCAAAATGTAGTAAATGTAAGAATGGATATAGTCAAAAGTAATTATATAAAGACAATGGATGTTAGCATTTAGTTTGTTTTTAATGCATACAATAATAGATTTAAAAGTAAATGTAGAATGACTAAAAATTATATTTAGTGAGATGTCCTTGTTGCCATAATTTATTTGGTTATGATTTTGAAAAATATTATGATCAATAACAATTATAATTAGTATAAGAGAACATAAAATATGATGAATTATTTTAGAAGGAATAAGAAGAAAGATAACTATTGGAAAAAATATAATTTTAAGTTTTTGATTAAGAAATATAAGAAAAATAGGAATAATAAGAAAAATAAGAATAAATGTAGAACTTTGATAAAGCTACAAGTTAAAAAGTTGAAAGATATCCTTCGAGATTTATTGTTTCTTAATAATAGTAATAATTATAATAAAATAATGAATAATAAAATAATTCTTCATCAGTAAAAAATCTTTTATAATCAGCAACGGATAAAAAGATTCAAGAAGAGAATAAACAAAAATTTGAAGTAGGAGAATGCACAATGTGTTAAACAAACTTTTCGCAATATAATATTAGATAATAAATTGATTGCGAATAACATAAAATTGGAGTCTGTTGTTCTATAAAATTTAAAAAATGTCCTTAATGTGAACAAAAAAGGGTAAATTCTTCGATGATCAGAGTAAAACGTACTATTTTAAATCATAATTAGCAAGACTGATTTTACAAACCTTCATCTAGAAAGTCGAATTGTTTAATCAGTCGAATTTATATAATACCTCATCGATACAATATAATTATGGAATTGCAGATGATTACTCTAGAATTAATTCTAGAGCTAATGTTGGCTAATCTCAAATTAAATAATAATTAAGAAATAGTACTATGGATAATAATATTATCAGAAGTTAGGCTGTCCCATAAAGTAAAATGATGAATAATAATTAAGGAGTAAGATATAAATATTGATTGTAATATTAATTAATGAATTATTTTTGATATTGATCAATTATATACAATAATATAGATCATTTTGTATTTAATTCTTATATTTTTTGTAGATAAATAGTGGATTACTATTTTGAATTTTCAAATTTTATATCTTATTAATTTTACATCAAGATATAGAAATCTTCATCTGATAGTAAATTGTTAGGATATTACTAATTTGCATTTCCAATAAAAAAACTTTAAGGTTTTTAAAGTTAATCAATATTAATAATACTCTGATCTTTGATATCAAGTGTTGCTTAAGGATTCTAAATTAAAATAAATAAATTTACATTGACTTAAGCTTGTACTCTAATTTCTTCAAGAGATTAATCGTCTACATTTTCAACATGAAAATCATGTACTTTGTTTATTTATTAGATTTCTGATTTTTCATCTGGATCAGATGAAGTTTCCAGAATATTTAATTTGATTCCTATACTATGACATGAACTTAAAATTTCATAATCAAAATTGGAACGTAGAATAAATTATAATCTTGAAACTTCATATAAGGAATTAGTTAAACAAAGTTTTTATTTGGCAATTTCAGTTAAGTCACGATATTTTTACATGAATTTATTAAATGGGATAGATTTATCAAAATATTTGACTCCAATTATTTTTGAATACCAATTAGAAATAAATTTAATATTCTTTAATTAAGGATAATACATTTCTATAACTGCTCTAACTACTCTGTCTTCAAGTGTTTTTTCATTAATTAAATAAGCTACATTTGAGAAGAATAAAAAGAATGAGATTATAGATCCAATATTTGCCAATACTTCTGATACTTTAGGATATTCAACGAAAATAGTTTATTAAAGTGTTCCAAGTTCAAATTCAAAAACAATGAATACATCTTTTTAAAATGTATGAGTAAAATAATCTAAATCCATCTATTAAATATATGTGATTATTTGACTTGGAAATTCATATTTTTCAATATTTTCAAATAAGAATCCAGTATCAACTGATACATTTGATGTTCCAAAAGAAAGTTAACTAAAATATGTTGTTTTATTATCAAAAGAAGCATAATAATCTTATTCAATCATTTCTAATTGTTTGGTGGATGTATTATATTAATTGACAAATGTTCTGATAAAAAGTTAATTTTATTTTTAACTGAAAAACTCTTTCACTCTCTCTTCTTTTGCACAAGTCCATCCTTCTGGTAATACACTTTGATCACATTCTTCAAACATTATTGTATATTCAATATTTTTATGATCTATTTATTCATTTTCATTATTGGAAAGTTCTATATTTCTAATTTCAATAACAATCATCTTATGTTCTGGTGATAGTTTTTTTGATAATAGAGGTGTTGGTATCTAAAGTTCATCTTCTATAACTTTATATAACATTGGTAATAATATTATGTTTTCAGGTTCAAAAGGATCTATTTAATCAGGAATACTTTTGTGTCTTCTGAGACAAAATTCAGCTACAGTTACTTAATCAAAATTTAAGGAATATGACTCAATTTCAGTTGCCATAGTTGTAACTTTTGGTAGTATTTATCCTGATCTCCACAAAATCAATTCATATATTAAATATGATAAACTGGCTCCATAAAGCAAAATAGACAACAAACCTCCAAGTGATGTTTTGAATTAGACTTCTCCATAAGCATAGCTTGGTTTATAATTTGCTCCAAATTAATCAACTCTTCTTAAAAATTCTTGAATATTTTTTATCATATTTCTTTAATCTATATTTAGAACATACAAATTAGTTTTCAAATTTCGTTTATGTTAATGACATAATTTAATTTTAATAAATTAAGTTAAATTCAAAAATGATGTCATTTTAAAAAATATTACTAATATTTCAAAGATACTCTTACATTCCTTGAATTTCATTACATTGTTGTTTAAATACATTGAATTTATAAATTATAATATTTTATAATACTAATTTATCTTGATATAAATACAATAATATAAATTTACATCATGTTTACATTTTGATCATATGGAAAAATTGTTCTGATTATTTTAGGTTTAAACTTTAGGTGTAACTGTTTCATATATATCAATAATATTTAATTCTTTTATTTTAGGTTATTGTTACATAAGGATATAGAAATCTTCATCTGTTAATTTCTAATCATCATCTAAAGATTCTTATGGTTATAAATTCTTTCCCAAGAATAGACTTTGAGATTAATTTAATTATTCTAATTAGATTATTTAAGATGGTCCATCTCCTAAAGTTTATGGTATCTAATTAAGATAAAATGAAAAATTACAATTCTTAGGATATTTCGATTTTGATCATCAATTGAATTATTATCAATAATTTCCTACTTCAATTCCTGATTATTCTATAAATTATCAATTTTTATGCCATTTTATTTTTCAATATCTGGTTCGATTTCAAGTGATTTTAATCTAATTCCAATATCATGGCAACTTTTAAGGATTTATTTATCACTTATAGATCTAATAATGAATTATAATCTTGAGATTTCATATAGAGTATTAGTTAAACACAATTTAGCAGAAGCAATTTTTTATAATTTTTTATATGATTCTAAAAATGTTAAGGCTACTTTCTAATTTTAATATCGAATTTAAGTAATTTTGCCAAATAAATTTTTAATAAATGTAATTTCTTTCACTTAAGGATAATACATCTCTATCAGAGTTCTAACAACTTTTAATTCAAGATTTTTCTCATTTATGATATAAGCAACATGAGAAAAAAATAAGAAGAAAGAAATTATTGATCCAATATTTGCTAAGACTTCTGAAATTTTCGGATATTCAATAAAAATTGTAGATTAAAGGGTTCCTAATTCAAATTCAAATACAACATATACTTCTTCATGAAAAGTATGAGTAAAATAATCTAAATCCATTTATTGAATATATTATTAAGTAGAACTAGGAAATTCCATAATTTCTGTACTTTCTAATAGAAATCCAGTATCAATTGATACATTTGATGTGCATATAGTTATTTGACTAAAATATGTTGTTTTATTATCAATTGATGCATAGTAATCTTACTCAACTAATTCTAATTATCGTGTAGAAGTATTATATTAATTTACAAAAGTTTGGATAGTCAATTAGTTTTATTTTTAATTAAAGAATTCTTTAATTGTATCTTCATTTGCACAAAGCCACCCAGAAGGTAATAAATGTTAAACACATTATTATAATGTAAGCATATATTCTCTATTTGGATGATCAACTGATTCTTGTTCATTATTTGATAATATGACATCTTTGAGTTCTATTAATATAGTTTAATGTTTTTCTGATTTTTTTGTTGATAGTAATGGTAATGGTTTTTAGAGTTCATCATCTATTATTTCATATAGCATTGGTAGTAAAATTATATGTTTGGGATCAAAAGGATCAATTTAATTTGTAATACTCTTATGTCTTCTCAGACAAAAGGATGCTATAGTTACTTTATCAAAAGATAATTCATATGTTTCAATTTCAGTATGCAAAGATGTAATTTTTGGAAGTATTCTTCCTGATCTCCATAGCACTATTTCATACACCAAATAAGCTAAACTTAATCCATATAAAATAATTGATAATAATCCTCCCAAAGAAGTCTTATATTAAACTTCACCATATGCATAGCTAGGTTTATAACTAGCTCCAAATTAATCTATTCTTCTTAAGAATTCCCCACAATTATTGAGCATAAATTATTGTTATTTGTGATTTTAAGTTTAAATACTAAAAATGAGATGACATAATAATAATTTTGTTTATTATTCTAATTTGATATTTACGTCACCGCATATAATTTAAAAAAAATACAATCTAAATATAAAAATTAAAATAATCAACTTATTGATAATGTTGTTAAATAAAAAAATTATAATCAAGTACTCCTAAGATTATTTGATAGTGTAATAAAATTAATTAAATTATATAAAAGATTTTAAAGTCAAAATATACGATAATATTACAACACTTAAATTAATGATTCCTTTTTTACTGGTTTAGATAAATAATAATCTATTCCATTTTGATAGCATTATTCTTTTGTTTGATTATCAGTAAAAGCAGTACAAGCTATAATAGGAATTGAGAATCGTTTTTTAATTTATCTAGATGCTTCCCAACCATCAAGAAGAGGCATATTGATATCCATAAATATTAATTAATACTACTTATCAAAGCATTTCAAACAATTAGCTATAAAAAAATAAATTAACATTATACTTTTTTTTTATTTTGAATATATTAAATCTACACATTCTTTTCCATTAAATACTTAATCTGAAGTAAAACCAAGTTATTCTAATAAGATTGATAATGCTAATATATTAATTTATTCATCATCAACAATGAGTATATTTGGACAACGACATTCTATTAATGATTAATTGCTTCTCATTAAAAATGATTGTTATTATTATTATTATTATTAAGATTTAATATATTTGACTCTAGTTTAATAATCTTCAATTGAACATTCATTATTTACTGTTTCAATAGAAACTGCATCTATAAGTTCTTAAACAAAACGTATTTAACTTTAAGGTCTTCTTGGTCTAATTTGATTACTTTCATTAATGATCTAACCATTATTATTTAATAAATGAGAGAATTTAGTTCTCATTAATCCTCTTTTGCATGTCTCTATTCCAGCATTAACTTCTGTCTATCTAGTATCTATAACAATCTTTTTATTCAAAACTATTAAAGGACTTTTTGGGTTATTAGATTTGACTCCAGGACTAACTGTTTAAGGATACACAGAAAACCAACAATGAAAACCTTTACCTGTTTATGTTTCAAATCTTAAACCCCCTCCTTTTTCATATCTCTATTATGATAATGCTTCTGCAATCTTATTACTAATAAATAATCCCAATCCAAACCCTGCTGTATTTTTTGATATTTTCTATATTGATGGCACTCCTGATTACAATAATAAAGTTAATCGATCTTATTCTTACTTTTTCATTCCTATTCCAGTATCTTCAACATGAAACACTACATATTATTAATTTTTAGTAGACTAACATGTTTCAACCTTTAAGGATATTGATCCTTGAAGTGTAAACTTTTAAGCATTTGATACTAAATTAATCAAAATCTACTTAATTCTATTTCTATCTGATAGAATTTGTTTTATTTTAGAATTAAAATCTGTTTTAATTTCTAAATTCTTTTTTGATATTTAATCTTTAAAAAGGGAAATTACTTCTATTATTAATTCCTATATGTTGAATACTCCTACTTATAAACTAAATGTCTTCCCTAAAATACTATTATAATCCATCATATCCAAAACCATGCTATGCATCACTTTACCATTTACTAATATAGGTTTGAAAAATTATTCTTATATATTTTATGGTACATCTTCATGACATTCTGCTACTTAGGCCAATGCTAATATATAATTTAATGATGTATTATATTCATGACTAAAACTCTTAAATAATTGTTGCATTGTAGTTTATGTGAACACTTTCTTAATTTACAAATTATATTCTTCCATATTTTATATTATGATTGTAAAAGATTTGGGTTCAAAATAAAAAACTTTCAAATGAAGATCATTATACCCACGAATACTGAAAACTTCAAATTCATATGGGAATTTCTATAATTATTATAATTGTTCCAATAATTCATTCAAGGAATAATTTTGTTAAACATCTTTCAAATCCTATATTGAAGGAAATTTACAACTAAATTATTCCTACATCAATAATTTAGTCTATTTGTCTACTGATTATAATGGACTATTCAAAAGTTCCTAAATATTGATATTTTTCAATAAATCTTATGCTCTTGAATTGCACATCATCAAATTTAATTTACCATCTAATTTTATTATACTAACCAAACTATTTTATAATTCCTATATTCTATCTGTGTCTTAACTAGTTTTGATATTAATAGTGTCTTCAAGACCACCTTCAGCATTTTTGAGTTATTACTCTTATTTCTTTTAGAAATAGAAAGCAAACAATAATAATATAAATGTTATTATTATTGTTTAACCTCTATTTAGATTGTCTAACATTTTCCAAATGCACATTATGATGAGATGAAGGAATTTGAAAATTTAAAAATAAAGTTTCTTTGTTCTATTCTTATTTAAATGGTCATATAATAAGGGTGGAAGTAGAAACAAATATACTTTTTCGTCATTCATTTCTTACATTATTACTATTTTAAATTTATGAGTTACCTAAAATGTTTAAAGATAATAAAAGAATTGGAATAAGCAAACTTATAGATTGTCTAGATTTTTGTAGATATTGTAATATGAGGAAGCTAAGAACAATCCCCAACTAGATACCATAATAAAATAGCTGTCTCTATCATATAAATATTGTACTCAATTCCTAGCATCATTTCGTAAATTGTATTGCATAGCCAAACGCTACTGTATAAAATAGCCAATATCATTTTTAATATATGTTTATATAATTAAATTATAATCAGACTTAGAGATTAGTTGTATTTAAACTATTAAACTAGAAGTTTTGGATCTCTCTACTATTTAGAAGTATTAAGGTCAATTACAATTCAGATGTTTCTGTATTTAAATTAATTAAATTTCGCCAATTTATCTAATTTACTAACAATTTACTAAAAGAAAAGAAATATTCAAATCTTACTCTAAAAAAATGGATATCAATTTATTTTTATATTATCAATTTAAAAATTTATTCAGTTTCATTCTACTTGTCATGTGTCTATGGTATTTGAGTGGTAGCAACAAAATATCAGCATCCTATTTGATAATACTATTTTAAGAAGTCAAATTAGTATTATTTAACAAGAAAGTTTCAGTGTGTAATTTTTTAAAACTAGATCTTTAAGTTGTTATACTCGTTAAACTTTATTATTTTTTACGTTTAGGAGTCAATTTATCATATTTGACACCTTTCATAATTTCAGGTACTTAAAGATCAATGATATGATGATCTAAAAGAGATTTTTTAAGACTCATTTTTATTTTTAATCTTTCTTCAATTATAGATTATGCTTTAATTGGTAATTGAATAAACTATGACTTTTGGATTTCAAAAATATGAGCCTATTACTTGACTTTAGCAGTGTAAGGAGCAATTGTAAAATCTTCATTAAAAGAATCGAAAATGGAACATGTACATAAAATGTTTCGCTTAGTTTCTAAATTTACTTGGCCTTGATAGACAATAAACAATGATTCAGTAGGTTGATATATAGTAATAATTGTATCATTTTCTTCAAATTGTTGTAAAAGCAAAGAATCAGACAAAGAATATATTTGTTATTTCTCAGTTTAATTAGTAGGTTCAAATAGTTTGACAAAGAATGTGCGTTTTTATCTGATAAATTATTCATGTTTGAGGAATAAGAGAGACTGTGATTATTTAGTTACATAGAGTAATTTTGTGTGTTCTAGAGAGAACTAAATAGGATATAACATTTTACAATTTTAGAAAGGTATTGTTTTTCAGCTATATATCCATAATTTAATTGTCTTTGAAACAAGAGTTTATTTTTTTTGATATATTGAACATTTGATTCAAAAGCATCAAGGTCATCTTGTTCAGAGGAATCAAGAACCAACTTACCTTCTAGAAATAAATAAATGTTATCATTTATAGTTTCAGATATCACTTGAAAGGGATGTAATTCAAGTAAATGGAGACGTTAGCAAAGCTGAATGGATTATACAAAATAATTACTAAGATATATTCAGACCTACTCTATAGTTACAATTTGAGGAATAATGGTTGAAGATGAAGTTTAAGATTCTCATAAATAAGCTATCTAATAGTTAAATATAAATACTTCTGCTTAAAGTTATGTACGCTGATTGATTTTAAGAAGATCTTAGGCGAGGGTATTAATAATTTCAGTCATATATATAAAATAAATGGAATTATAAAAGGAGGACATATTAAAATATATGAAATTAGCTTTAGAATAGGCAGAAATAGGAAGATAGAATAAAGAGGTTCCAGTTGGATGCGTAATAGTAAATAGAAACAATGGTGAAATTATTGAAAAAGCTCATAACAATACTAATATGTCTAAAAATGCAACTTAACATTGCGAAATAGTTAGTATAAATAGAATGAGTAGAGATTTGGAGGATTGCATTTTATTTGTAACTTGTGAACCATGTATAATGTGTGGATAGGCATTGAATTATGTAAAGATCCATAGTGTGTATTATGGATGCAAGAATTCTCGATTTGGAGGAAATGGAACAGTTTTATCTTTGAATAAATATCCTAGTTTTGGAGGATATTTAGAATATGATTGCATGAAGATTTTGTAAGATTTTTATGAAGATGGCAATGAAAACATTGAAGAGTAATTTAGACACAGAAAAAAATAAAAATAATGATAATATAAATTTATTATAAAATATAATGGAATAAAGTTCAATAGAAAGCGAAGATGTGAGTTATACTATATAGATTATTTCTAGGAGTTCGTTGAGAGACATAAAAAAAATTAAATGATTCTTCAATAAGTGAAAGAAATATGGAAGGAATCTGATCTATCAAAAGATGATGGAATATAGTAGATATTACATGAGTTTAGAGAAGAAATTTTGGATGAATTAGAAGATGAATATGAACCAGAATATAAAGCAATTTAAGTTTAAGAAAATATAAATATTGATTTAGTTCCAATGAATGAGGTTCAAAGGGCCCTTATTTATGAAGATAAGTATAGTTTATGTATAATTAGGTATCCCTTTTTGAGAATAAGAAAGAGAATCTTAATATAATTAAAGAAGATATCTATGTTAGCAATGCAAATCACAAAACATCCCATATTTGAGTTTTTCACACTTTTAATAATCATATTCAATTCTATTATGCTTGCTGTAGATGATCCAACTACTGATATTTAAACTTCTTTTTAGGATTTAATGGATATCATTTTTTTGGCAGTTTATACATTTGAAGCAGTTTTAAAAATTATTGCAATGGGATTCGTTTTAAATAGTAATTCTTATCTTCGTGATTTATGGAACATTTTAGATTTAACAGTAATTATTACAGCATATATCCCATATTTTGTAAATAATTCTGGTCTCTAGTTAAGTGCTTTGAGATCATTGAGAGTTTTAAGACCATTGAGAACAATTTCGTCAGTTAAATCTTTAAGAAGTATAATGATGACATTATTTGCCTCATTTGCTGAATTAGGAAATTCTCTTGTCATTTTAGGATTTACATATACAATTTTTGCGATAGCTGGATTGCAACTATTTTCAGGATATGCTTAATTAAGATGTTTTGATGAAAATGGTATAATTTAAATGTCTGGATATGATACAGATGAGCCATATTGTAATGGATCTTGTTCTGGTAATTATATTTGTGGTAAAATGATGGATAATCCAATCAATGGATTATTATCATTTGATAATTTTGGATTAGCATTTTTATAAGTATTTATTATCACAACCCTTGAAGGATGGACTACTATAATGTATACAATAATGATAACATTTTCATAACTTTCAGTCTTTTATTTTTTATTATGTGTTATAATAGGAGCCTTCTTTCTTGTGAATTTAACATTAGCTATTATAAAAATTAATTTCTCTAGAGCAGAATCGTAAGAACCTGTTAAACCAGAAGATGTTAGTTATAATTTAAAACAGATGAAACGATTGGGAATATATAAACCTAATCGAGAATCCCATACTGTTAGCATTACTAGAAAACATACTATACGTTTGAATAGATTAAGATAATCAATTAATAATAATAATTAAAATAATAATAATAATAATAATAAATAAATAGATGAACCTAAAAGAAGTTCAATTAAAGTTAATTTTTAATCATTAAATATTAAAGATTTTAGTAAACCCCATTAAGTTAAATATAATAATAATAGAATATTACTTTAAGGAATACAAGGTGTAAGAACAGAATAAAATATTAATAATAAATAATAAGAAATAAATAATAATCCATAATTAAATATGAAAACAAGTGTACAATCTATAAATGCTCCTTAAATAAGAAAACTTAGTAAAATTGGAACATAATTTAAATAATCTTAAAGAAAAATGTCAATTGCTCATTAAGATGAAAGTCCATTAGATGAACTAGATAATCTTATAAAATTTGCTGTTCGTAGATAATCAGTATTAAGAGTAGATACTAAAATTATGGCATCTCCAAGAATACCTACTCCTTCTAAAGATACTCCATAACCTCCAAGTAGTAATTCTATATTAGATGAATCACATTCTCCAGGAAAACCTTAATAATCTAATTATTTAAGTATTCCAAAATAATAATTTAATTTCTTACAAGAATAAAAATCATTTAATGAAAATGATGCTCTTAGTGTTACACTCTCAGAAATCGATTCTATTCCAGAAAGTGAATTAAATCAAAGATTTAAAGAATTCGAAATCTCTTTTCAAATCGAAAAATCTGATGATAAAACTGCTAATGAAACAGAAGATAGAAAACCTCATTAACATATTCATTAAAAAAAAAGAAAATAAGATATACCATTAATTTATGAATTAAGCAAAGAAGATGAAAAATTAAAAATTAGATTATTTTAAACTAAATTAGTCCCAAGAGTAATTTATAAAGAATTTCTCTTTGAATCTAGTAAAGATATTCTTGTAAGCTTGGAAATGAAAAAATAAAAAAAAGAGTAAGAATTAAGGAGACTTAGAATCTAAAATATGAAATTTACTATGTAATATCAATTTAAAAATAACACTACTATTTTAAAATTATCTAAAAATTCATAATAATAGTCATTTAATTCAAATGAATAAAAACTTAAAGAAAATGTTAAATCTCGAAAAATTATTCCCTTAGCTGAAATGCCTTCAGGATAGGATATTACAACTCCAAGATTAACTGTTAGAAAATAATAAAAACGTAAAACTATAGTACATAAAGCAATAACTTATGAATAATATTAATAAGGTTTTAATAATAGTTAAGATATTGATCAAAATAATGCTGAAACATTACAATAAGTAGAAGCAGAAAAAATCACATTTAAAACTCCTAATGAAAATTAATTTTATGATCAAGTTGGATTTTAAACATATCATTAAATAAAAAGTGATGATATTAATTTAAGTAATGGAATTCTCTTTGGGTAAGCTTCCATTGAAGATGTTATAATTATTAGATGTAGTTTATAGAATAAGTTTAATTTAATTTTATAAGGAATGAATTTTAAAAAATCAGATTATATGATTTACATGACTCAGGATATGATAAAGATGTTATAATTTAAATTATTCTTGATTGTTGATTCAAGATATTTTAATATTTTTTTAAATCTAGCAGTATTTATGAATACAGTAATTTTATGTTTGGATGGTTTGGTGAATAATTCAGAAGATTTAAATGATTTTAATCTAGCATTTACAATTCTATTCACTATTGAAATGGGTTTAAAAATGATAGGATTTGCCTTAATTTAATATATAAAAGATCCAATGAATATTTTTGATGCTTTAATAGTAGCTCTTAGTTTGGTTGATATATTTTTTTTATCTGGAAATTCAGTTTTCAAATCAGTTAGAATATTTAGAGCCTTTAGAGTTTTAAGGGTAACAAAATTAATGAGGTATTAGAATTATATAATTAGAATAGATCTTTGAAATTTATGAATTTTTTGGTATAAGTTTTGAGTAATGCTTTCTAATCTTTAATGTATATATTTCTTTTGCTAATCTTATTTATATATATATTCACATTATTAGGAATGTCATTTTTTGGAGGTTAATTAACTTATACACCTAGTAGATAAAGTTATGATACATTTTATGAGTCATTTCTTGTTGTATTTTAAGTATTAACTCTTGAGAATTGGAATAGTATTCTTTATGATTTACTCTAATAACCAGTATCATGGATAATTACAACGATTTATTTAATAGCTTGGATTTTTATTGGAAGCTATGTTTTATTAAATTTATTTTTGGCAAGTCTACTTGATTAATTTGAAGCAGAATATTTAAGAGAGCATAATTTAGAAAATAAAAATTAAGAGGAGGAATAAATATAATAATAATAGAATATTTAATAAACACAAACATAAACAATTATGAATTAAACTTTTATTAATGTATCTGTTAATTAAACACTTAATCCTATTTTAGCAAAATAATTGATTACTAGATAAGATTCAATAAATAAATTTGTTTATTTTTCAGAGGTAGGTTTATGTTTTTATTCTTTGTATATTTTCAGCTAGAATAATCCAATAAGAAGATTTTGTTATAAAGTGGTTAAAAATAGTTTATTTGATTAAACTATACTTTTTGCAATATTTTTGAGTTCATTAAAATTAGTAATAGATACATATATAAGTAATTTTTTGGATTTGGCAGATTGGTTTTTTGCAATTTTTTTTGGTATAGAATTTTTATTTAAAATAATTGCATATGGATTTGTAATGGAAGAAAATGCATATTTAAGAGAGAGTTGGAATATTCTTGATTTCATAATAGTAGTTTGTTCTTTTATAGATATATCAGTATCTTCAATAGATTTAAGTTTTGTAAAGATATTAAGATTATTACGTACATTACGTCCTTTAAGATTAATATCTTAAAATAAATCTATGAAATTATTAGTAACAACCTTAATAAACTCCATATCAGGTATTGTAAATGTAGGTGTGGTTGTAATATTGGTGTTTTTGATGTTTGCAATATTGGGAGTTAATTTAGAAAAAGGGAAAATGTATTATTGTGATATAGGTAATGATGAATAATCCTATTTACATGAATCAAAATGTATAGAAGAAGGATATGAATGGAAAAATAGAGATATGAATTTTGATAATGTATTTTATGCAATGTTGACACTCTTTATAATATCAACTTAAGAAGGTTGGCCAACGTAAATGTATTGGTTTGTGGATGCTGATGAAAGTGGACCTATTTTAAATAATTAAATGTGGTTTACTAGTTATTTTTTAATATTCTTATTAATTGGATCAATACTTTTAATGAATATGTTTGTTGGTGTTATTTTAGTTAATTATAAATTAGCTGATGATGATATGAAAGATAAAAATGTATCTAGAGATCAAGAAGATTGGATTAGTATACAAAAATTAATTATTGATTCTAATCCTAATTTTGCTTTGTATTATCCACCAAAAAATTATTTTAGAGCACTTATTTTTAAAATTATTTCAAACAGAATATTTGATCTCTTAATTATGTTTTGTATTATTATTAATATTGCAGCTATGGCATCAAATTATGAAGGTAATCTTAATCTAATTTAATAGGATCTAGTGTCTAATATTAATATATTTTAGAAACTCTTAATTTAGTTTTGAGTGTAATCTTTATATTCGAATCTATCTTAAAAATAATTGGATTTGGACCTAGAGGATATTTTAGAAATAATTGGAATTAATTTGATTTCTTTGTTGTTCTTTCTTCAATACTTGATATGGTTTTGAGTTTCACTGATAATAAGAATAATGCAATTTTATCAGCAGGACCTTAATTAATTAGAGTATTTAGAGTTTTGAGAGTTACTAGACTATTTCGATTAGTAAAATCTTTACATAGTCTAAAAAAATTGATTGATACAGCTTTGTTTTCATTACCTGCTTTGTTTAATGTATCTTCGTTAATGTTTTTACTTTATTTCATATTTTCTGTTTTGGGAGTATTCTTATTCAGTAATCTAAGGTATTGTTTTTATCTGTTATTTTTAGTGAAGGTTACATAATTGATAGTGAAAATAATTTCAATGATTTTCATCATGCTTTAATTCTACTATTTCGATGTACAACTGGTGAAGATTGGTATTTATTGATGTATGATATAATGAATAAGGCCAGTTATTATTATTGTGCTTATTTTATTATATTTGTAGTAATAATGTAAAGGATTATGCTTAATTTATTTGTATTGATTATTTTGGATTAATATGAAAGATTTTATTTTAATTCTGATAATCCTTTATAAAGATTTTAAGAATTTGAAGATGATTTTGTTGATGGTTGGGCTCCATTAACCTCAGAAACAAAAGGTTAATAAATTCATTAAGATTTCCTTGTTTAATTGATGTTATCAATTAAAGCTCCAATGGGTTACGATTTAAAAGAGAAAATAAATATAGCTGTCAATGATTGGAAAACTTATAATTCTGATGCTGATAAATCAACTTAGAATTTAGAAAAAATAAAAATTATGGTAACAACTGAAGCTAAAAAAACTGTTGCTAAAATAATAATGAATATGCAATTAGAATCTAATGAAAATTAAATGTTAGAATATCATTATGTTTTATTTGCCTTTATGAAGAATTTCTAAACTGATTTATTCAAAGAAGTAACTTAAATAGGATTAAGTAAATTGATTTAAAAAGAAGAATAAACATTAAATAAAATAAAGAAAAATAGACATAGTTCATAAGAAGTGAATCCTTGTGTAGAACTCTTGTTTCATATTATGTGTTTTAAAGCATATAAAAGATATGCAATAAAATTGAAAGAACGTATGAATAGATAACAAAATGAATTCAGTCAAAAGAGTTCTGATTCTTCGTATCTCCATAAAAATTCAGATATTGTATAAAGAGATAGTATAAGTTAATCATTAGAATCAATCCAAGAATCAAAATAATAATTTTGTTTACCTCCAGATTTAGCAGTGTATTAGAGTGATGTTAATATTGCATTAAAAGAAAATAGTATTAGTCAAAATACTAAAAACAATAGAGGATCAGTTTAGTAATTAGTAGAATAGAAATTAGAAAATATTAGTGAATTTAATAGTGAATAAAGCATTAGCTTCAATAAGTTAAACGATGTATCAAATTGACATGTATTTTTATATTTTAGCATTTCAATTAATTTATTTTTCAGTATATTTAAATTGAATAGGATTCATTTTACTAAATATCCAACTTAGAATTTTTCAAGAATATAATGAAAGTTAATCCAAGGATGATGTTAGAGAAAGAGGAATGTTGCATCCTTTCCAATTCCTAGAAGTATTTATTCTCTACCTCCAGGATGCTAATCTATGTAATAAGTAATATCATAAATGTTGTCTGATAAAACAATCCATGCATCCTCTTAAGTATTGTGTAATTAGACCTTAGAATAATATAAATTTAAAATTACTTCTTGGATTGTATAAGATTATAATTAAGTTTATCTTTTTTTTGGTAGCTGAATGTTAGTAGATTATATTTTAGTGACAGGATAAGAATTAGCACTTCTCTCAATACTTTATTTTTGATTGATTAATTTATTATTATCCTTAATGTTTTGAGTTGTCTCTTAATATTTTTTATTAAGATTTAAGATTGTTTACATTTAATAGTTGACACTTTCTAATTTACGCATATTCTTAAATTTTTGAATTATCACTTGATTTTGATGAATGTGATAAAGATTTTGAAATTCCCCATTGTTCATTTATAGAAACCATATTATTGATATTAGACATATTGATAAATATGTGTTTTGTTTAAATAAAAAGTGGAAGGGAATTTTGGATTTATGAAAAATTGGAATCGGTGAATGTTATGTTATGTAATTAATTTTTGGATTAGATATCATTCAATACAAAGATTAGTACTTAATTGATAATATTTTGATCGAGATCTTGCCAAAAGAGACTGTATTAATGATTGCCAAAGTAAAAATTTATTTGGTGATTGAAATTCATAATATAATAAAATGAATGAAAATAATATACTTAATGAAAATAGAAGAGAATCATTAAGTTCAACTAATTAAACAGTTGATACTCCAACTTATGAGTTGATGGATTCCGAAGCTTTTCAATAATTACTTATACAAGAGATAGTTGAAGTAAAGAGGAAGAAAATAATAATAGATAGAGATGTTTTGATTTAATAGGTCTTGAAATTAAGTGGCATAGAGTCTATCATTCAATTTAAGGAAGGTAGTTTGATATTTGAAGGCATAACTATTGATTCTATTTTTGATGAAGAATGTAGTATTTAAGGATTTCAAATAGAAGTGTTTTAGATTTCTCCTTGCATAAGAGTGCATTGCAGAAACTTAATGATTATGGCATGTAGTGTTGACAACTTTTAAAATAGAGGAATGTTTATAAAATTTGATAACTCATTAATCATAAATGATACTACTATGAATGGATTTCAGGTATTATTGGGTTGTGAGGGCAATGGGACTAAATTGAGTATAAATCATTCAATTATACAGAGTGATTGGTAATAATAATAATCAGTATTGATTCATGGAGATAATCTAGTAGAATTTGTGATGGAAATAACAAATTCAATAATTGAAGGTAGTTCAGTCATCATAACAAATAGTAAGAATGTAGAAGTTAGAATATAAGATAATGAATTTAAAAATCAATAAATTTCAATTTCTTTTGAAAATCTATAGAATAAATCAATAGTAATTGAGAAGAATGTATTTTTTCGTTCAATAGATTATGCAATAAAGATGAATAATATTGTGGTTGACAAATTATAATTAATAAAAAATACAATATCTAAATGTAGGATTGGACTATTTTTGTAGAATGTGATTGAATTTTGTCCATTAGTTAAACAAATCAAACCTATATGTCTTAAATAAAATGTAATAACAAATATGGAATAAACAGCCATCATAATAAGAGAAGTTGTTTGTATGGAAATAGATGAAATTAATATTTAAGACAATACTATTGGAATGGACATTGATATAAGCACTAACAAGATGCCTGAATAAAATACTATAAATCCTTTTATAATCTCTATTAAGAATTCAACTATTAGTTCTAATCGTATTCATGGTATCTTTATAAACAGTAATTTATCATACAACCCAATTAATCTCCAGATTTCTAAAAGTGCCTTCTACTCTAATTGTAACGCATTGAATCTCTCACATTAAGGGGTATCGCATGATAAAAGTAAAACCTATAATATTAAATAGTTTTCAAGATCAATATTTATAGTTCCCAATTCCAAGATAACAACTTTTCTAACTAAAACTCTAATTATGAACTCAATATAAATAATACTAACATTATAGTAAAATAATCTAAATAATTTGATAGCACAATAAACAACTCTTCATTAATTCCAGGTCAAAAACCTGTCTAATTATGTGAATATTTCAACTTATATTATATTTTTATATAATCAACTAATTATTCATGCAAAAAACTCCTAGTCTTAATTCATTTACTAATCTAAGTAATACGAATCAATCTGAATTATTAATTTAATGTTACATTAATAAGATCATTAGACAAAACCAATAAATCAACTCTTCATCTAATTTAGAAGACTAATATGATTAATGCTAAAATACCAATCAAATCCAATTATTTGAAGAATATATGCAGAATCTAAATAAAATCATCTCAAATCCACCCAATTCACAATATCTAAGCAAATACTATGTTCATTCTATTGAAAACGACACTATTAAATTAATTAGTGAAACCTCAACAGAAACTCTTATGGATTTTATTAAAATGAGACATTAAAATAATGCTCCTATAAATGAAGAAGAAATTATAGATTTGGCATATGCTATTCTTAATGGATTATAATATATTAATATTCTTTATTTAAGTCCCTCTTATATTATCAAAAAATGCAAGATCATCAATTATATCGAATAAATGATAAATCAAAATCAACGAACATTTTTGGAATAAGAAGATAAATTATATTTAGCACCAGAACTACAAAAATAGATAAACTTTGAATTAAATGATTGTGATGATTTTAATAAACATCATAGTTAAAAAATTAATGCACCTAAAGCTTGTGTTTATTCATTAGGAATCATTCTATTATAATGTATTAATTTTTAATGTATAAATGAAAATGTTGATTATGATTAAATTTTATGCAATTCTAAATATAGTTGGTCTTTGAGAGATCTGATTAAACAAATGATAAATTAAGATGAAGATCAAAGAAGTTCAATACAAGACTTACTACAAAATCCTTTATTTTATAACAAAAAACAATAAATTGATATACAGCCTAAATAGTAAAATCAAATTTCTTTAGCTGTTTTCTTTTAATTCGTAAAAAACAAATTTATCAACTTAGATTGGGCTGATCAATTTTTTTCATTAGAAGAAATAATTTAAATCAGTGATCTTAAGGAAGGTACTTTTTCTATTGGTGAATTGAAATCTGTCATTAATAGTTAAATAACATAAATCATTCAAAATTGTCCAAATAATTGCTCTTTAGAAGAATTGATAGCTACTTTTATTAAAATTGGCAATCCTATCCAATAAGAAGAGAATCAAGTCGTCTAATAAAAAAAACAACAATTTTTATTCAAAAAATGGTTTAAAAAATAAGAGTAGAAAAATGAAGATACATAAGAATAAGTATTTTTACCTTAAGAACCAATAGAGATGGCATAAATACTTTTATTAAAATTAATTTCATAAGCATCTGAAAAAGCTTTTTAAACATTTATTTATAAAGTGATTCATAATATGGGAGGTGTAGACTTAATTTGGTAAAATATCAGAAAGAGAATATGGCCAAGAGCATTAGGATTTGAATCATTAGAAGCACATAGATAAATAGTATAATTGACACTTGAATTATGTTAATATTTGAATGAATAAAAAGAAAAAGATTTAATTTAATTAGACAAAGATTTGAATCGATAAAGATTCAATAAGAGAACTTAAGATGCTATAAGAATTACAATACGAGGATTTATTAATCAATCTATTTCTAATTGTTATATATAGGGGATGGAATCTATTTCATATGTTCTCTTATAAGCATTTAATTATGATACTGAACTTAGTTCAATATGTTTGAATGAATTATACAAAAAAAGAATTGTTAATTTACCATAAGAAGAGAACTCAGAAGGAATAAATGAATATTTTGGATAGAAAATTTAAGAAAAGATTTTACTTTATAATTGGACTCTTAGATATTTTGATCCAGGATTAAGCAATTATTTAAAGGAAGCTGATTTTAGATGTGAAACTCATATTGTTCCATGGTTTAGTACTTTCTATGCTAGAGAATTCGAAATGGAGAATGTGATGAAAATATATGATTATATCTTAATTTCTGATGAATCATTCGAAATTATATTAGCATCTCAAATTATGTTAGAACTTAAATCAACATTCGAAATTAAAGATAGTGAAGGAATGCTTAATTGCTTAAAAAATTTATAAAATAATATTCAATTAGATGTTTGTTTACAAAATTCTCTTAAATTATCAACTTAATTACATAAAACATTTTTTATTCTCACTCATTAAGATGAACATATTTGTAATTAAATGAAAGAAGAAAATGAATATTTATAAGAAAGACCATGGGAACATCCATAAACATTTAAATAATTGCAAGAATAATAAACATTTTCTATTTCAATTCATGATTTTTAATAATTATTAAGAGAATAAAAATAATCCCTCAATGTTGTGTCGTTAGATATGAGAACTGCTAAAGAATATGAATAGGCATGTATTTCAGGTTCTTTATATGCCTTTTATGATAAAAAGAAAATCAATAATATTCAGCTTTTAAATTACTTAGAATTAAGGGGATTAATTGAAGAATAAAGCATTTATTATATAGTAGTAATTTGTGATTCAGAGAAACAAAATGTTAAAGAAATTATGGATTATTTACTCAAATAATAAATTAAAAGACTTGTTTTATTAAAGGGAGGAATATAGGCTGTTTTATTAGATGGATAAGATATACTTAAGTTTAATTAGAAAGCAGTATTGCCTCCATGGATAAAATTATAAATTGATGAATTAAAGAAGAAAAAAAATATTTAATGAAAGATTGACAATATTAATTTTATGTTATAAATTAAGATCACTATGTTAACCATTTATATCATATCTTGTTTTGAAGACAAGAATCTTATACCTCTTTGTATAAACATTGGATTGATCTGTACTTAATTTGCCAGCCTTAAATTTCAAAGGCATACAATATTTCAAATTTATGAAACCATAATTTTATCTATTCAAATTGCTCTGACAACTATATATAATTAATAAATGATTATATACAATGTGATTTATGTAATATTGTTAGATGATACTGCAAGATTCAAATTAAATATATTAAGAAAAGTCACATTGCTAGGTATCCTATTATTATAACTAAGGAACTAGTACTTTTATAATACTTTTTATCTCAACAAATGTGATCGAATATATTAGAAATAGTGCATTTGCATTAGGTATTCTACTTGTTATGATTAATAAACAAATTCATAAAAAAGAAGAAATTAATCATTTATTTTCTAGTACAAGAACTCCAAGTCCAAGAATGCCTGATACTTTGGGTTTAATGATTGTTGATTCAGTAAATTTAAATTGTATTTATATGAACGATTATGTTAAAAGGAAATTAGGTAATTAATAATTAAAAATAAATAAAATTGATTCATTAAGTAAATAAAAATTAGATTATAAAGTTAAGAATATTGAATTGTTTGAATTATTAAATGATTTTAATTTAAAATAATTATCATCCATGTAAATATTGGATTCAAACATAATGTCTGACCATATTATCCAAATCACAAAGGATGAAAATGATAATAAAATTAATATAACATTTTAGAATAGCAAAGAGAGAGATGATTATCTCAAGAAAACTTATTTATATAAAATTATGAAATAAATATTTCATACTATATCACATGAGTTTGGAACTTTACTTAATTTTATATTAGCAATAGCGTAAGTAGGAATTGATAAATATCCAACATAATAATATTATTAATCAATTTAAAATACTTGTGAAATAATGCATAATTTTATACTAGATATGGTTGATTATAATGATATATTAGGGGGTTAATTTTAATTATAATTAGAAGAATTAGATATTTAAACAATTTTGGAATAAGTGACAACTCTTTTTTAGGAGCAATGTAGATAAAAGGATTTGAGATTGGATTTTGAAAATCATATTCCTGAGAGTTGGTAAATAATATCAGATTAAAGAAGAATAAAGTAAATATTGATACATTTAATATCAAATGCTTAAAAGTTTACGTTGGATGGTTCAATTTAAATAAAAGTATTGGGTGTTAAGAATGGTTTGATTCAATTTTAAGTAACGGATACAGGGATTGGAATGGAAAAAATTGAAGAAGAAAATTTGAGAAATATGTTAGATTAAGATTATAAAGATGAACATTAATTATCATAAAATACAGCAGGGTTTGGATTAGGATGTTATTTAGCAAATAAAATATGTTTACATTTGTCTAATAAAGAATTCAAGCTAGAATTTAAGAGAAATGAAGTTGGAACAACTTTTTGGTTTTTAGTATAAAATAATGTATTACCAACATAGAGTATAGGTAAGACATTAGGAATTCGATAAATTAACAAGCATTCTTATATTGATTAAAAATAAGCTTAGATAGAAAGAACAGTTGGTAAGAAGTTAAGTAGAGTTGCAAGTAAAATCTCTCTAAATTCAAAATCAAGAATTTTATCATTTAGATGTTTAATTGATCCTGTGAAATAAAACACAGAGAGTGTTATAAATGAAGAAGTTAATTCAACAGAAAGGAAACTTCAAACTTGCATTATGAATAGAAATATAAAAAAATAAATGAAGTTTTTGATAGTAGATGATGAAATTATAAATATTATTAGTTTATAGTTGATTTTAAAAAGGATGAATATAGAAGTTGATTATGTATTTAATGGATTAGAATGTTTAAGGAAGATTGAATAAAAGAGAGATATGTACTAAGGAATATTTATGGATATTAATATGCCGTTGATGAATGGATATGAGACTACATAGCATTTGATTTCTCGTTATGGAAATTAAATTAAGATAATTGCTTGTACTGCCTATACTGATAGTGAAACAAAATAACATTGTTATGACATTGGAATGAGTTATTTCCTTAACAAGCCAGTGAACATCTTAGAATTATAAAAAATACTTATATAATTTTAATAATGATATTGCTAATTTTCGCCAACATTTCATCAATCATCTTACAATTTTGGAATTGTGAATAAATAATTGAATATATCCTTTTGAGTATAACCATAATTATAGATGCACTTCTTATTACTTTGATTCTAAAGAGAACTTAATAACATCACTTGATTCGATTATTACTTTTAGTAGAAGCTTCAATAATATTTTCAATATTCAAAACTCCTAAACTTTTAGCAATCACTGCAATATATTAATGTATTATGAGATAAATGATCAACTCTTCTAATAAAATATTTAATTACCTTGAATTTTCATGTAATACTTCTATTAAAAATTTAGCTTTTTTTATTTTGATAGCAGTTTTGAGTACTCACATAGAAATATTCGATATAATTCGCACTACACTATCTACCTGTTTTTTCATTGGATATCAAATTTAAGTTTATTTTAAAGAAAATCCAAAGTAAAAAAGTGAAGACAAGTAGATTGAACAATATGTAATAAAAATTGAAACAGATTAAATTATAGCTTCACCATAATAAAATTAAAAACAAGCTATTAATCCAGAAATTATTTTAGATGATTTTTTTACTGTTATTGAATCTAATTAAATAATGAATGACATATTATCTGAATTAAATTATGATGATTTAAACAAATTCTTATAAGAAATTCGTATAATTAATATTGATTCAATTTCAGAAAAGAAGTTAGGAAAATGGAAAGAAGAATCTTTATTAAATTTATTAAAAAAAATACTAAACAAACGATCAGAAATTTAAGTTTAAGTTTTGGATTATAATCATCCATTATTATAAAAATATTTAATTTTAATTCATTATAAGAATTAGTTTAAAATGTAATTCTTTTAAGTAAATGAAAGAGATACATATATAAAAAAGAAATATCTAAGTTAAATATTGTATTAGTTATTCAAAACATTTTCTCATGAATTTGGAACTTTATTAAATTATCTCCTAGCTCTTTCATAAGTAGCAATAGATCAATTTCCAAATTAAGTTGGATTTTTTTAACCTATTAAATCAACAGGATAGATTATGCATCATTTTGTTTAAGACATGGTTGATTATAGTGATATGTTGAATAAAAAATTTTAATTATAATTTGCACTTGTTGATGTTGAAAATTTACTTTAAGAAGTAATAGGATTCTATTAGTCATAAATAGAAGAGAAGGGACTAACAATAACTTATTAAATTTTACTTGAAGAAAAGTCTAAAATTTTTGATGGTAGAAGATGTAAATAAGTATTAATTAATTTAATTGCTAATGCTTAAAAATTTACTGTTTCAGGAGGAATTAAAATTATTGTAACTGAATAATCAGGATTCACAATATTTTCAGTTGAAGATTCTGGATTTGGAATGACTGAAGAAACATTTGATAATTTAAATAAGACTTTAGAAAATGAATTTAAGTCTGAATAAAAGATTTCATAAAATACTGCTGGATTTGGATTAGGTTGCTATTTATCTCATTAAATTGCATTAAAATTATCAAATTAAACAATTTAAGCTGGAGGAGGTTTAAAATATATAAGACTAGAAAAAGGAATTCGGGTTTCTTTTAAAGTAAAAAATCAACCATTCGATATATATTATACAAGTTGCGACATCTCATCTGCTAAATCGGGAATTTTATTTAATGAAAATGGATATTTCGATTCTCGTTAATCTGTTATAGATTTGCATCTTACAAATCGTCTTAAATCTGGAGATAATCATGCTTTAATAGCTATGACTAAAAAATCTAGTTTATTATCAGCTTCATTTTCTCCAAATTAAATTTTAGATTATGTAGAACAAGAATTGAAATAGGAAAACGAAATCACTGATAGAATGAAATAAATTAATAAGACTAAAAAAAGAGAAAATCAAAAAAAATCACCTACTTTCGGTATCTCTTTTGCTGATCTAGCTGGTGTTGAAACAATTAGAGAATAACCTAATATCTTAATAGTAGATGATGAAATGATTAACATTATCAGTCTTAAGATTTTGCTTAAGTAATTTAATATTAAATGCAGTTCTGCTTTCAACGGATTAGAAGCTGTTAATAAAGTGAAAGAATGTAATAATATTTTTAATACTTTATAGTAAATGAAACATTCGATATTATTTTTATGGATGTTAACATGCCAATAATGGATGGATTTTAAGCTACAGAATAAATAATAAAATTTAATGATAAAAATATTATTGTGGCATGCACTGCTTTTACTGATGTAGAAACAAAAACAAAATGTTATTCTGTGGGAATGAAATACTATATCAATAAACCAGTTACAAAATTCGAGCTATTAAAATTATTGAACCACTTGAATTTAATTATATAATGATAAAACATAAAAAATAAGCCATTATTGGAATGTACATTCTACAAATTATTTATGCTACTTTAGAATGTAGTAGAGCCTCAATTTTACATATTATTCTACTTCTTATCGGCTTGATTATTGGTCTATTTTAGTTAGTGCTTCTAATAAAATATGGTAACTTAAATATTTATGCTCAATTTTCAATCAATATTGTTAGTGTTTTTGCCGGTTAAAATAAACAATTCATGGTACTGTAATCACTAGTTGGATTTATACTTTTTATGGAAAATGACTAAATAAGATGGCATTTTAATATTCTTGCTAGCTCAAGTAGTATTGGAAATTATCATAGTCCATGTAACCCTAATTTGTATATATTCATAAAATAATGAGGTCCAGTCTTATTTAATGAGTGTATTCACTATCTTGGTTGTTACTTATTATTCTTGGGCGATTAAATAATAAAAACTTTAAAAAAAACAATCAAGTAAAGGTTCTTTGCTTACTTCTCGAGTACCAAATACAATGAAATCACTTGATTTTCTGGAAGACATACATTTTATTACATAAAAAGCTATTGTGCTTGAAAATTCAACAACGTTAGATGTGAGATCCTTTACTAATGAACTTAAAGATATTTTAATAAAAGATGAAGTTACAGAAGAAAATTTTTTGGATCAAATGAAAATACTTAAAGTAGATAAATAATCTTAAAAAAATTTAAATTAAAAAATTAAGGGAATTACCTTGCGTTAACTTATTAATAAATGCTAGATTGTTTAAAAAACAACAGATATATTAATAATAAAAACTAATTTTATATTGTTAGAATATTATTAGATAAAATTACATTTTGAAAGAGATGTGATTATTTTAAAATTTGAAGAAATTAAAGAATTTGCTAAATATATTAAAAAAAATTCATGTTTTGCATTAATGAATAAATTATTTTAATCTTTTAGTCATGAATTTGGAACATTATTAAATTAAATAGCTCTAAATGCTTAAAATGGTTTGGCCTAATATTAAAATATGAAAGATTAATTTGATTCAATTTACAACTGTGTAGTAATTATGAATAATATGGTAAAAGATTTAAAAGATTTTCATTAATTACGAAGTAAAACATTTTAATTAGAAATTGTTGATGTAAATATAGATGACATATTCTCTGAACTCTAAAATTTATTCAAATAGTAAGCATCTTAAAAAAAGATTTCCTTATATTTAGTAAATAAAGTAACAATAGCCTTTAAATAAGATGAATAAAGAATTAAATAAATTCTATAAAATCTAATATAGAATGCTATCAAATACACAAATTAAGATGGACATATATATGTAACTGCTGAGAAAGAAGACGATAGAAAAATAAAATTTTCGGTTTTAGATTCAGGAATAGGGATTTCTGAAAGTGTAGCTACAAATATATAGAAAATGTTGGGAAATGATTTGATATTGACATCAAAGCTTTCAGAAGGTGCTGCTGGATTAGGATTAGGATTATTAAATTCAAATTATTTAATTAAACATTTATCTTCTTTTAAATAAGGACATAAGGAATATTTATAATTTAAATCAAAATTAGGAGATGGAACTAAATTTTGGTTTAGTATATGGAAATATTAAGTGTAAGAATCACCTTCAAGTTAATTTGAATAAAAATCAATAAAAAAGATTCACAAGAAAGTATTTCTTCATTAGAAATCGAATATTGCTCCACCTCCTATATCTAGTATTGCATCAAATTCTAAAAGTTGTCCATCATAAATTAGAAAATTAAGTCCAAATAAATCTTGTTAGATTAAACAATAACCTTAAATATTTTTTCCATCAAATATTAAAGATGAAAATATAATAATAATGGAAGAGGATGATAGAACAATTTCAGATGATCCAAAACCAAATCATTTACCTGGTTATAGAGCAAGATATCCATCAATGAGTTCGCCAGAATGTTTATATATTAAATTATTACTTGTTGATGATGAATTAGCAAATTTATTCCCTTTAAAAATTATGATAAAAATGCTTGGTTTTGAAAGTGATATAACATAGAATGGATATTAAGCAATATAAATGGTTGAATCAAGATTAAATTAGAAATACTAATATCATTTAATTTTGATGGATATAAATATGCCATAAATTGATGGATTTGAAACTACAAAGTAAATAAAATGCTTATAACCAAATATAAAAATAGTAGCATGTTCTGCTTTTAGTGATATGTAAACTAAATATTAAGCATAATTATGTGGGATGGTAGATTATCTTGAAAAACCAATAAATAAAGATAATTTATAAGAAATATTGTAAATGTATTTGTGATCATTTTTATTTATTCAATTCCTTCCCTTTCTTAATAGCTTCATCGAATAATGCTTTCATTCCTGGTTCTTATTATATCTTCAATGCTTCAAAATATGATGCTGCTGCTTCTCCATATTCTTTTAATCCTTCATATGCTTAACCTTCATAATAATATATCTTAATCCAATCTTTCTTAACATTTCTAGCTTATTTACATGTTATTAAAATATCCTTATATTTTTATAATTTTAATTAAGCATTTCCTAAATTAGTGTAAATCTTCACAATATCATCTCTATAATGTTCTGTAATCTATTTAGATTTCTCAATTATTTGATTATATTTAATAATAGCCTCTTCATATTATTCAGATTATAATAATTTATTTGCATCTCCTTTTTCAACATTAATTTCCTCATAAATATTTTTTATTTAAGCATCTGTTAGTTATACTTAAACAGCTGGAATTTAAGCATCTTTTCTTAATGCAAACTCTCTATAATATTAAACACAATCCCATTTCTCATTTTATACTGCTAAATCTAAAGCTGTTTATTTTTAATTCTCATAATTAACATCTGCACCATTTTTAATGAGTGTTTATGAAAATTTTAATAAACCTTTCTCAGCACATAAATGTAATGCTGACCATCCATCATGATCTTTTATATTAACATCTATTTTATCTGAAAACTCTTCAAATATTGTATTAAATAATTCTTCATTATTTTAATCAATTACTATATGCAATAATGAAGGCATTTAATTTTAAACAATATTTAAATCTGCTCCTTTTTTTATTAAATGAAGAGCACTCCAATTTTATTAATAGGCAACTGCAAATGATACAGGAGTACCATAATTTGATAATGCATTTATATTTGCTCCTGATGAAAGTAATAATTCAATCATAGGAATAGCACCTTATTATGCAGCTAAATGAAGTGCAGTAATTGTATTTCTTGAGTAATTCACATCTACATGATGATCATCAATCAAATATTTCACTATCTCTAAATGATTATGTTAAACTGCTATCATAAATGGATTATTTTTCTCATCATCTAATAATGTAACATCTGCTCCTTTCTTCACTAAAAATTTGAAAACTTCTAAGTCTCCTCTTGAAGCTCCAAAATGAATAGCTTTCTTTCCTTTACCTTCAGATATCACATTAATAAATTTTCTTATTGGAACCTTCTCATTCTCATTTCCTCTCTTGCGTTATTTTACATATAAAAGATACTTTTTTATAGTATCAATATCAGAAGTGCTTATTTATTTAAAATACTCTTCTATGAACTTTTTTTCATGCTCTATTTCTTTAATATCACTCATTAATAATTTATTTTTATGAATTAATCGTAATTTTTGCAAAGCTTAAACTTTGATCCACTCCGAAGTCCACCATTAAGAGAAGTTGCTTTAAGACATCAAGTTTATCTCAATTAATAGCTAGAGAGCAACTATGTGCGGTTTATTGATCGAATCCAATGATTATTGTCAATGCTGTGGTTTAGGAATTCACACTCAACCTATTTCATTGAAGGCAAACATTATCAATTTAGCGTTTTTGGGTTAAGGTATACCTTTGTTTTATAATGTAACTTTTCTCATAATTTTACTAACATTTATATTATTACTTATTTTTGGACTGCCTACAATCATTTTTAATTTTTTAGCTAAAAATTGTATAGAACAAACAAATACGGCCTATAGTTTATTTAATACATAAGGTTGCTCTAAGAGTTGTCCATTAGAAAATGATGATTTTAAATTAATTCAATAATTACTTTCCACAAATGATTGTAAGTTCATTTGTGGACACTATTAGGAGTTATGTTTAGGTTCTTTATTAGCAGAAATGTCATTCTCAAACAAATAATTGGATGATGATTTAAAAACAATATAATCTTTTTTTGTATTAGGATCTGTGATTTTTATAAAGATTTATTTAGTATTAATTAGGGAAAAGTAAAGAATTATTGAAGCAGAATGTGATTAAGAATTAATATCTCCTTCAGATTTTACAGTTATGTTAGATCATTTACCAGAAGAAGATTATAATGAAAAAGAGTTAGCAACAGCAATAGAGTAATATTGTTAGAAAATTGATAATTAAAATAAATATGAAGTCATTAAAATCAATATTGCATATGATATTAAATCTTTTGTGCTTAAAAGTAGAGAGAAAATTAAATTAGAGAAAATATTGAATAAAGAACAGAAATACTATTAAAAAAATTAAAAATACAAAAGAAGTAAATTAGAAATGGATAGAATAAAACTTTATATAGAATAATTAAAAAAAGAATTAACTGATATAGAATAAGAAATAGAAAATGGATCTTATCGAAAAACCACTTCAGTTGCATTCATAACCTTCTAAACTAAATAACGTATTTTTATGAATTTATTTAGAATTATAAAAATTAATATAATAAACAAAATTATCATATTGGGAATAATTACTTTTACAAGTAAGAAGATTAATTAAAAATAAAGATAAAAGAGGATTCTATTTTAAGAATAATTTAATATCCATATAAAGAGCACCTGAACCAGATGATATATTTTGGGAGAATTGTGGAATAGAAAATTCAATAAAAATAAAAAGAAAATTTATTAGTTGGTTTGTAGTTCTAGTTTTATTAGGAATTTCATTTGCTACACTTTATGGACTTGAATATTTGCAAGTATTTATTATAATATTGATTTAAGAATGAATATCTGTCAAATGATTTAGATTTTATTACAAAAACATCAATATCTTTGTTAAAATCATTAATAATAACGATAGTAGATGCATTAATATATTATTTTATAACATTATTAGCAAATCATGAAAGACATGTAACAAAAACGTATTAAGACACTTCAGTTGCATAAAAATTATGTTGTGTCTAATTTGTTAACTCTTGTGTATTATTACTTTTAATTCATTTAATTAGTGGTAAAGACTTTATGGAACAATCAAAATTTGCAATTTAAAAATAGGGAGGAATAGCTGATGATTTACTTTTTGTTTGCTGTATGAATGGAATATTCACTCCTTTTACTGCATTTTTCAATCCAATTTATTTTATCAAGTAATTATAACAAATTTTTATTGAATCTAATAAAAAGTTGACATAATTAGAAGCTAATAAATTATTTGAAGGTCCTTAAGTCTTATTATATGATTAATATGCATTTATTTGTAAGACAACTTGGATCACTTTATTCTTAGCTCCATTAGCTCCAATTTGTATATTTATTAATTGGATTGGATTATCTTTATATTATTGGATTTAAAAATATTTATTATTGAGAAGAAATAGCAAACCTCCATTTTAAAGTAGTCATTTAGATCGAGAAATGCTTACTCTTTTAGATTTAAGTCCTCTATTATTAGCAGGTATTTAATATTGGATTAATGAAATCTATGTTTCAAATAATTTAAGTCATACTATAAATATTGGAACTTTAGTATTAGCAGGATTAGAATTAGTTTTACCATCTTATAGAATTCATTAAATTTTATATAAAAAATAACTTGAAGATATAGAAAATTAAAGATATGTTGATGTTCATCTTCGATTCCCGACAGATTATGATAGAACTAATCCTTTAACTAGTGAATAAGCAACTCAAGAATTTTTAAAAAAGAAATTTGAATAAGCTAATAAATCTATGACTTTAACTAGACATTCTAGAAAACATTCGACAAAACGATCTTTAAGAGAATATGTTCTAAAAGGAATTAAAGATACAAATTTATCAAGAATTAAAGTACTTAAGAAAAAACTTTAAACTGCTTATAAATTAAAATTGTTTCATAATGTTTAATTTTAATAAGAAACTAATTGTAAAGATTCTGATCATGAAGATTCAATTAATACATTTCAATTTCCAGTCTATTAAAGAGCCCCGAATTATAACTTTTCGAGAGTAATAAATCAATTTCCAAATTATTCCTAATACAATACTGATCTTACCAATAGAAGTAATTCTATTTCTTCAACTATATAAATAAATACATCGAAATATTAATTAAAAACAAAAAGAACTTCTTAAATCTAATCTTTTAGAGTTCAATTATAATGACAATAAAATTATTATAGTATAAAATATATTACATAAAATTAATTATCAAAACTATTTTTAGTTATATTCAATTTTCAAATTTATTTGGACCAAGAAATCTAGAAAAATTATAATTTTTAGTATCCTAGTATTTATTATTATAATCATTATCAGTGGATATGTTCAATGAATTCTATCTAAAAATGATATTCTTATTAACAATTATATATTCAGGAGTTTATGTATAGATAGGATCTTATTAATCATATGAAATTTCATCTTCTTATTATCTTTAAGCAAAAGCTTAACGAGCCTTTCTTATTAATTTGATTTTTCTCATCATAGAAATTTTAAGTTTTAATGAAATAGTATTTTTCATAAATTGCATTCCTCCTATCTAAATGTACTTATATAATGCAGTTTTTGTATCCATAATTTCAGGTTATTTGTAATTTACATCAATTAACTTTTTTGCTTTTATAAATTCCAAAATAGCATGCTATTAAGTTAATGGATTAGTTCGATCATAGTCTGTAGGCAATTTCAAATAAACATCTTAGTATCTATCTTTTTCAGTTGATATGTTTTACTTTTTATCAAATAATTTACTTATTCTTGTGGCAGGTGTTATTAATTCTAAACAAGAAAATCCTAAAGTTATAAAATTAATTGTTAATATGGCTGAATTAGAATTAAATACATAATCTGTCCACATTTAACCTAATGCCAACATTATAGGACTTAATTCAAACAAATTCATCATTTCTCGATTTAAATGAAAACTTTAAAATGGAGGTTTACAATTTCTTTTTAATAATAAATATTTTTATATCCAATAATATAAAAATAATCCTAAACTACAAAATAATAACGAAATAGGTAATAAAGGAGCAAATAGTAAGGAAATCCACAGAGATAAACAAATATATGCATATTATTCATATAATAGTACAGATGGTCCTTCAAATATTTTATTAGCTTCTATTTAATTAAAATTATTGTTAATTTTGAAGCATTTTTATTAATATAATTTATAGAAGTACATAGGATCTAAATAAGTAAAAATTGGAACAAAGAATGAATTTACAATTAATAAAAAGAATGCATCTGAAATAACTCCTCCTTATCTTGAGTAAGCATAAGTCTCTCCATAATTATCAAGTTTTTCTTTTTCAAAATTATAAACTAAAATATTTATAAGTTTAGTGAAAATTCCAGAATTAAAAAATTAAAAAATTGCCAATTTAGTTGCTACTGAAACATCATGATGAGTTTTTGTAAAATGTTTTTCTGATTATCCTAATAATTTGATAAAATAATATATAATCTAATTAATTATTGTAATTATCAAAGAAATAATTAAAGTTACTATTATCATTGTAGTATCATCAAAAGATGATGTTAGGTTTTAACTTTGTAAGATATTTAATCCTAAAAGAATAGTAAAAGATCCTCCTAAAATTAATATTGTAATGAAAAAATTCAGTATTCTTTTTTGAAATTAATACTAGAAATTAAATCCACAATTTTCCCAAAATATATCATTTGGTTCTGGAGCTCTGCAAAATATAATAATACGATTTTTAAAATAGAATCCTCTCTTATCTTATCTATTTATGAAATAATATTTAAATCTAATCCATAACTCCTCCCAATAAGATAATTTAGTCTAATCCAAAACTGATTACAATTCTATTTTTAAAATATTTATTTACATTCTTTAGTTTAGAAAGTTACAAATGCAACTTAAGTTTAATGAGAATATTTTTAATTTTCGACTTCGCTTTCAATTATTGTTAGTTTTTCATCAAGAAATTTGATTCTTTATTTAAATTCATTAAATTAGTTGTTTTTCAAGGATCTTGGATATCGACCATGTTATTTATAATAATTTTCTATTTTTTCTACTTTCTTCTCCAAATTCATCTTTTCTCTGTTGTATTCAACAAAAGAAGTAATATCGTATGCTATAATTATTTTAACTATTTCATATTAGCATTTTTAATCAAACTAATAACAAAAGTCTAACAATGAATCCTTTAATTCTATTTCATTATATTCATTTATAGGTAAATTTGTTAACATAGCTGTGAAATCTGAAGGAGATACAAATTCTTAATCACAGATCCTTGCAGTATTTCTTTAAGATATTCTAACTCTTATCATAACAAATTTAAAAACTAAAACACTGCATAAAACTAGAATAGATTAAACTAATTTTGAAGTCTCATCAAACTACTTGTTTGCAAATGACATTTCTAAAACAGATGTTTCTAAACAAATATCCATAATTCTAGCACATATAATTTAACATTCATTTGAGTGAATTAATCTTGTGATAGATTAAAAATCAGTCGAGTTTTACGGACAATTTTAATTACAAAGTCCATTTAGAGAAATTTTATAAAACATATTATCTTAAGCAATGCAATCATGATTTTCTATATTTGCTATTAATGATTGTATTCCAAAAATAATAAATAAAATAAGAACTATTAAAGTTAATTACTGGGTCATTTCAAAAAATAAAGGCATACCTTAACCTAAAAAGGCCAAATTCAATCTATTTCGACATAATGAAATTTCCTTTTACTATATATGTTGTCCACAGCAAGGACAATGATCTGATATTTGCTCATTTTCACCACACATAGAAGCTTTCTAATTACTAATTTTTCTTACCTAATGAATTTTAGCCAAATCAATTCTAGCTGGTATGCAAAAAGGATCAAATTTTAAAGAATTCTATGCTTCAATCTTAATTTAATTCATATTTAAACAATAGTTTATTCAATATTACTAATTATATTATTAATCAAAAATTGTAGATAAACTTTAAATATTCTGATCTATCTTTAATTTCAATTAAGATCAACATTTCTGTCAAATATATAAGTAAATTAATATCATGGTTAAAAAAAAAACTACTAAATTTGGAACAAACTTATAGAGATATCTGAGTTATTTAATTGTTTTAAATAATTTTGCTTATATTTACATTTTAATATTGAGAATTTTTAGGATTACTATTTATAAGACTTCTAATTTAATTAAAACTAATTAAAATAAAAAGAGTTCCAGAACCAGAAGTAGTGTTTTAGGTTTATATAATAAAAAAAAACTGATTTATTAAATAAGTGTTTTAATTATTCTGAAAAATAATTATCTTAAAGAAAAAGATATTAATTATGCTATTAAAAGTACTTTAAAATTATATTATTGATAATTTTTAATAAGGGATGCAATAATATAATTTAGAGATTGTTTAATTGTCTAATAGTAATTGAATTGACTAATTTGAAATGCAATCCTAATAAAATCAATCTTAACAATAAGATAATTAATTGAGAATGTATCTTAAATTAAAAAAATGTAATTAAAAATTAAGCAAACCATTGATATTGTTTAAAATTGATATAATTATAATAAGAGAAAGTCTCCTTATTAAAAATATTACAAATATGATTAAAATAACCAGTAGCATACTAACTATCACTAAAATACAGAAAAACAATATTACTAACTTTATTAACCACAATAATAATATAATTAGTTTTTCTGATTCTTGATATAAAAATACAATAGTTAAGTTTAATAAATACATAATGTTAACTCTGGACCTGGACAATAGATTCACCAATGATATGGAAATAGTTAATATCCTTATTGAAAAATATATATATTTTGATTTCATTATTTTTTCAATAACTAGTTATGATTGATCAATTTGTGAAAGGGTTCTAAAAAATAGATAGATTTGGAGCCATATTTAGACCACCTATAATAGATATTCATCCTGAATATAGATCAGTTCTAGGTGGAATAGCAACATTTATTTTATATGGGTCAAGTCTTGCATACTTTTTGTATCAAATTATCTAATGGCAATCAAACTAATTATTACCAAAAATTACATACATTTAAACTTCTTATGATAAGAAATACTATAATATTGAATAGATGTTATCTTCTTTTTAAATTAGAAAAAACTATAGACCTGATTAAATTGACCCATTTGATCCTAAAAACATTATTTTACAACCTATCCTTTCTAAATTTGCTAATTAATAACTTGTATAATCATTTTCTTTTTTCTATAACTAAAAATCAGATAAAGAAGATATTCATGAAGTTATTTTAGACAACATAGAACTGAATTTAAACTTGAACTAATCCAAAGATGATCCATAAATTGAGTATTTATTATCTTTTGGTACTTGTATTGATAAATATTTATTGGAAGGGTAAAAATGTGCAAATTAATCATTGGTTGATACTTACATGAATTAAAAAAGTCATGCCATAATATTAAATCATTATGTTAAAGAATATAACTCAAAATAAAAATAAATGTAAGATGTAAAAAAACAATATTTAGCAATTCTCACTAATAATACAACCTTATATTTTTAAAATTAAATTAGATTATCACAAACATAAATTGATGATGGATTTTTATTTCCATCTAATTCTTATAAAGAATTTCCTATGGATACAATAATCATATCTTAAACTACAGTTCCAGATAGCTTTTATAATGTTTTTGAAAGAGCAACTTACTTAGTAATGGCATATGGTTTAAGTGAAGTTATTCAAGAATAATATATAGAATATCCTAAAATATCTGAAGTCTTAGCTGATATAGGATCAATTGTTTCAATTATCTTGATTTTATCTTATTTATTTGTGTTTTTCAATGAACATAAATTAGAGAAAGAATCAATCTAAAAAGTTATTTAAATGTATTATCCAGAATTTTCTAATATCAAATTTCTTCAAAATTGGTATGGTAAAATTGTAGAAGTAAAATAAAATGATTTATCAATTGACAAAAAAGAATTTATGTTATTTTACAATAAAATTTAAAGAATTGCTGCTAAAAAACTTAGTATTACGAATATTTTATATTCTTTGGCAAAATTGCAATTCTTACTTTAATCTACTTATAATTCTGATAAAATTAAATTAGCTCATAAAATTGGTATTAAACTTAAATAGTTTTCTAAAGTTAATAATATCCAATCACCATAATTGATTTAAGAGTAATTAAATATGCAAGAGATATCAAAGAATGAATCAAAAGAGCACATACAAATACATGATATAGCAAATATTAATTTTAATGATTAAAGTAATTATTAAAATTCTATGATACGTGAAGAAACTATCAAGAAGGATAATTCTAAAAGCATATTTTTAAAATTAAAAGATGAAAGTTATCTCTTAAGTGATTAGGATTTCTAACTTTTTACTATAGATGAACCTATAGTTATAGAAAATGATATCTAAAAATTAGATTCATATTTTGAGAATAATTATATTGATCTTTGACATTTTATTTAATTATTTTTATAAAATTATTTATGAATACTTTAACAAAAATTGCAAAACAATTTTGTAAATAGATTAAAGAAAAAAAAGAAGATTTTTTGAGCAGTGATAGATATATTTATGCTCGACAAAAGCTTCAAATAATAAATGATCCAAAGTTTATTTAGAAAACTATAAAAATAGAAGAATCTGCAAAAGCTAAAAATTATTATTTAACAAGTAAGTAATTTCCTATTTTACTTTGTGCTGGAACATTATTCTTCTATCATTTATGGTAAGTAATGCCATATTCCAAAATATTTAAACATACATCAATAAGTGAATATACTAAAGATCTTCTTTATCCAATTTTGTTGGCTCCATCATCACATCAGACTACTTAGTCATTTTTAACATACACTCCAGCTTTAGTATTTGGATTGTATTTAAATGGATTCTATATGAATTATAGAGGAATGATTGGGTTGTACTTAATAAATAGTTTAGTATAATTATATATTATTTAGCTAAGTAGTGCTGTTACTTTTTGTTATGAAAAATATCGAAACGAATAGTTAGGAATTCCAATGATGTCACCAAAGACAACAGGAGCTTGTACACCATTAGCTTATATATTTTCATTTTTTGTTCTCTCACCAGAATATATGATAAAGGTATAATCAATTTGAATATTTAGAAAAAACTGCCTTTTGCCATATTCCCACTTTTATATTTAATTTATGAAATTGAGGAATTTTTAATGGATGATCAATAAAATTGCCGACCAGCACATATTGCATCTATCATTTTAGGAGCTACATATGGACTTATCTTTAAAAAATATTACAAATTTTTATGAATTTTTTTAGAAAATGTATAATAATAAAAATAATAAATTAATACAATCCTATTTTAAAAAGAAAGATATTTTAATTGATTAAATATTATATTTTTTTTTAGAGGATATTTCTGTCATATAGATAGAATGATATCATTATCTTATTTCTTTGATTGAATAAAATAGGAAAATTAAACCCAAATATAAAAAATAAATAAAATTGATGATTAGCTTAAACCATTTGTTGTAAAAAAAATGATATCATAAAATCACAATTAATTCTAATCATTAAGTTTAAATGATTAATTTTATAATTTTTAGTATTAATAATGATTTACTTATGCAAGACTAACTTCTTAGAATGAGTTTTAAAAACTTTTAGTAATTATTTATTTAATGTAAGTTGCAAGTTTATTATTAAAAAGCAGTTATGAATAATTTTATAAATTATATTGATTAATTTATAAAATTAAGAAAAAAGAATTTCCTCAATAATTTTTCAAAATATATTAAGTTTGTAGTAATATCGAAAGTTTGTTTGTATTAATATATTAAGTGTTAAGCAATATCTAAATTTTTATAATAATAAGATTCTAACAAAAAAAGGATTAACTTTATAAAATTATTTAAATGTGAATAATATGTATAATAATCATATATTAAGTTTGACTTTAAGTTCTTCTAAGTTAGATTAGTTAGTTATAAAGGGATGTTTATTAACTTATTGAATGGTAAATCTTTTAGATGGATCGGGTTCTAACATGTTTTAGATTAGATCTTTGAAATCTGAATGAGGAGGAGTCTCTATCAATTTATCAAAATAATTCCAAAATTGTTCCCACCTTTATGAAACAATAGTGTTCCAAAATCTGCATTTAGTTTTAATAGCAATTGTAAAAGGAGGGCATCCATATGCTAAAATGAAAATTATAACTCCCAAAGCAAAAACATCTGTTTTTTTTAGAGAATTAGAATTGATAATTTTTTCATCTAAGTTGAGTTCTGGTGCCATATAGTTAGGAGTGCCACAATGCCTAGGATATTATTTGGATGTATGAAGACAAACAGATAGACCGAAATCTATAATAAATAATTTAGCATCAGAATTAAGCATAATATTCTCTAATTTGATATCTCTATGAACATACTCTATAGAATGCATATAGAGTAAAGCATTCGATATTTGTAATAGAATTTATTGTATTGTATTACTTTTTAATGATCCATGTGTAACAATGAGTTAATGAAGGTCTATCTTCATCAAAGGAGTTGCGTACCAATTATAATCTTAATCATATTCTAAAATTGAAATAATGTTTGGGTGTTAAAGAGAATTAAGTATTTTTATTTCTCTTTCACGTAATTTATGTGAACATTCTTTAAATTATTTTAAAGCACATTATTTATGATTAATAATACATTTATTAATTACACTAGAGAATCCATCACCAATTTTCTCAAGTATTTACATTTCTTTTTTTAGTAAATAATAAATATATTAAATTAATAATGAAATTTAAAAAATTTAATTCTGACCAATTACAAATGATAATTGTTATAGAATTTCCTCAAAATATGTACTTATAAATAAAAATTAGAATCATTCTACTAAAATTCCATCTTTCCAAACTCCTCTAATATCATGCCTATCAGAAGTGGAATATATTCCTTAACCATCAATCATACCATCATTAAATTCTCCTTCAAATTATTCTCCATTAGTTAAAACGAGGACTCCTTTTCCATGCATTTTACCTTCATAAAAATCACCTAAATTAAATATAAAATAAAACCTTCGTAACTCATCCATCCATTCTCAATATTACCTAAATCTCTGTAATCATATGGTCCTTCTATTTGATCTACTTAAAAGTTGATAAGTTTTCCTTGGCCATGATATTGATTATCTTTCCAATATCCACTAAATACTTCATTATCATATTGATCTGTAAGAACACCAAAACCTTCTCTCACAGCAGGCTCGTAACCTTATCCTCTATAAATAAATCCATCTTCATATTATAATGCTAGTTATGTTAATTATTATTATTATTATTATTAATATTATTATTATTATTGTTATTGTTGTTATTTGTTTTAATCTGCAGGATTATATTTTTGAACCAAATCTCTTGTTCTATCAATAGCATCTTAGAATCTCTTTTCTAATTCATCTTCTTATTAAGCAATTACTGGAGAAGTGGTTTTAATTTATGGTGTTTACTATTGAAGTTATTATTTTTATGGATGTTGATAGTTTTATTGAGGGAAAATTTATTATGGAGGTGGATTTGGAAGTGTAAAGGTTTAAGGTTTTTAAACTGAGTATCTGGGAGCAGTTTAGGGTTGAGTTTATTATTGTTATGAATTACTTGGAAATATCTATCTGTAATTGTTAGAATATTAAGGATTGATTGAATTGACAATTTAGATGGGTTATTAATGGATTGAATTTCTCTGTTATCTAACAGGACTAGGTTAGTAAATTTGTTAGGAGTGAACAGTACATACAGGTTAGGATTATCTGACTTGAAATGATGATTGATATTAATATTAGTATTATTGAGTTTAGGGTTATTTATAAAGAACGAAAGCAGGTTAAGTTCTTCTATAAGTTGTAGGTTAATATGGCGGTTAATAGTAAGTGGGTCTTTATTATGGAATGATATATTATTTAGGTGGTTGAGGAGGTGTTAATATTTACTGTCTCATTAATATTATTGATAATATTTAATGTATAGTGAATAAAATAAGAGAGTAATTAAATTAGATGAAGATGAGGAAAATACACCAGATAATCTCATAACAATATATGAGAAGATGAATTTGGAGACAGCAGGTAAAATTTGGGAATGCGTATAATCATATTCTTATATTAATAGTCTTTGATTTTGGGTAGATATTTAATCAAACAAGCTTACTTTAATAAAATCGAATTAGTAAATAAGAGTGTGCTTGAATTAGGTTGTGGAACTGGGATTCTGAGTATCATTTTAGGAAAACAAGGTTGTAATGTATTAGCCACAGATTTACCTTAAGTGGAAACCTTATGTGAATAGAATATATCGAAGAATAACATTAATAATAAGGTGAAATTCAAAATACTAGATTGGAATCAAAGTAAACATAAAACAGATTGTTTAATTGATAACAAACATATTGATATTCTACTTGCTAGTGATCCAATTTATAACTAGAAGACATTTGAATCCTTTTTTGCTTAATTAAAGATATTATATGAATTGTTAACCAATAAACCAATACTCTATATGGCATATAAATGTAGACATGATGAGTTCGATAAGAATCTAGAAGAACAAATAGAACAAGCAGGATTATGGTATAAAAAAGTTGATTCGGAACAATTAGATGATTTATGGAAATCATAATAATGTATAGTTTATAAGATTGGCAAATTTTGATTGTTGGTCATTATTGGTTTATAAGCATACATTATATTTTCATAGTTTACTTTAAGTTAACCAAGCATGTTCTTATGGTTTCTTTTATCCATATGGATTTATTCTCACATTTATAATATAACTTTATTGAGGATTATTCAACACCTCTTTCATTGCAGTCTACAATTAATCATGTGTTTCTACTAAAAATCCTTTTCCTCCAAATGATTCACACTAAATTGTAATTATTATTATAATTTTACCAGTTTTTCATATCTAGAATTAGGATTTAATGCAGTTACTGGTTTTTCATTATTCTTTTATGATAATTCATCTACTCCCACAAATATTCCATTATTATTAATAATAATAATTACTAATGGAAGATTGTATCTAGTTGATGTTTCAAATTCAAATCCTGAAAATCCAAATGCACTGTCTCCTAATATGGCAAATACTTATTTATCTCTGAATACTAATTTAGAGGCAATAGCAAAAGGTAATCCTATTCCCATTGTCCCAAATGTTCCACTATCTAATTTCCTTCTTGGTATGTCATGTTCTATTATTGTTCTTCCCACATCCATTGTATTAGCTCCCTCACCAACGTAAACACAATCTTTAGGTAAATACTATTTTATTATACCAAAAGCTTGTAATTATTAATATCATAATAATACCACTATAATATTCTAATGGAAGTTCTTTATCATTCATCAATTATTAATTAATAAGAGTATTCTTTGTTCTCTTTTCATACAATTTATCAATCCACTACTTATTATTAAATTACCAATTTCCAAATGATTTCTATAATTATTCAACAACTAAAGAGATATCTCCAAATAATGTTGTAGTTCTTCTATTATTATTAAATTCTTCTGGATAATTATCTATTTAAATGAATTAACAATCATCATTAAACCTAGGAGGTAAACCAAAATGTAAAATCCAATTTAATCTTGCACCTATTAATAAAATAACATCTGCTTCTCCAAGAGCTGTTGATCTTGCTGCAGATACATTTAGATTATTAGAATCAGGTACAACTCCTTTACCCATCGGAGTTGGTAAAAATGGCAATTTTGTTTATTCAATAAATTTGATCACTTAATTTTCTGATAAACTTATCCCAGCTCCTTTACCTATTATTACAAGTGGTCTCTTTGCATTCTTCAGCTATTAAATAGCTTAATCTATATTTTTAGAATCAGCCATGCTTTTTGGTATTTATTCTAAAGTGAATGTCGGCACCTTAATTAATTCATTCTCAGGTATATTACTCCTTAATAAATCACCTGATACTTCAATATATGTTACTCCAGGTCTTCCAACACAACTTTATCTGATTGCTTTCTCAATCAATATTGGTGCTTATCTTAAATTAGTTATCTATATAATCTATAATCAAATAAATTACTTTCGCTCCAAATTTAATATATGGTTTAACAATGTTCCATTAATCACATTCTTAAAATGCACCATAAGATTATTAACCATTCTCAGAACTTCCTGCTACTATGACCATTGGCCATCCATTTATTTAAGCATTTGCTGCTCCTGCTAAAGCATGAACTAAACCAGGTCCACTTACTACTAAGCAGATTGCTGGTAAACGTGTTAAATAACCTATTGCTCCACATGCATAAGATGCTCCTTATTCATTTCTAAATCCATAATACTCCATTCCCTATGCTTAAAAAGCATAACCTAATTCAATTACTGGAACTCCTACAATTCCAAAAACATATTTCAATTGATTTTAAGCAAATGATTAAGCAATCACTTAATTTCCTGAAATCATTTTTATGAAATATTTATAAATCTTATATAAATAGGATTTATTATAAATACATATTAATTTAATTGAATAATATATAACTATTTTTTATTTTATTTATTTATTTAAAAAAATTAATATAATTCTATTGTCTTAAACTTTATAGAAAAACAAAATATGAATATATTTTCTTAAATTGCTAGAAAAAAAACAAACAAACCCACCTCTCCACAAGTAGCTCTTATTTTAATTGACATAAAAATTTTTGGTGTTTTATTTCGGCCCTTTTTTTGTAGTTTTTTTTATAATATTTTTGGGCCTTTTTTTTGTATTTTTTTGAGCTTTTTTATGTATTTTTTTATTATTCTTCGGTCCTTATAAATACGAATCACTTTTAGTGATCCAATTAAAAAAATTCTAAATGTGTTATAAAGTTTAAGATTTTATATAATAATTTTATGGGTTAATTATAATGAATTAACGTTTTGAAGGTTATTATATTTTGGAATGTCGTTAGAAATTATTGTTTATTAAAGTCTAATTTCTTTACAAAGGTTTTAAAGAATTAAAATTTATTGCTATTAAAATATAGGGCATTCTTGGTATTATTAATAAGTGCAAATAGACATAACAACTTTAAATATTAATAAAAAAATAATGAGTACAATTTTGAATTAATTGTTATGGTTAGTTTGGATGAGAATTTGCTTGGTAAATGGATTGATTGATATGTATGGAAGTTGTTTATTGATAGAGAATCTCATTTGAAAGGATGTATAGATGGGAGTTGTACAAAGCTATGTTTATTAGGTGTGGCTGATTGTAGTAAATCTGTTCCAGTATGTGAATATGGTTATTTCTTATTCAAAGAGAAATATTGTGTTTAATGGTACATTATATATATTGATTAGTATAAAGTCCTGGGTTTTCATCAAATATGCGATATGATTGTATGGATTGTTCAGAAAATCCAAATTAATGGGCAGGAAGTAGATAATGTAGTTATGGATATGAAATAGTAAATGGTGATTCAACAACAGGTGTGTTTTAGAAATAAAATGACTCAAGTTCAACATTATACTCGATTGTTGCTTCAAATTAATAACCTACAATTATAATGGGTCGTGATGTTAATTTACCATATATAGTTTAATTATGTGAAGGATGTGAAGAATTTTGTGATGACGAGAGTGATGAATCATGTAACTTTTTTGAAGATTATAATAACAATGACATAGATCCATAAGTAGGAGTATAATGTTTAAATGGATATTATTTTGAGAATGATAGTTGTATAAAATGTTAGAATAATTGTTTAAAATGTAATGAAAATGGATGTTAAACATGCTTAAAGGGATATTTATTAAAGAATGGTAAGAATTGTGAGAAATGTCCATAAGGATGTTTAGATTGTGGTTATGGATTTGATGAGATTACAATAGAATGTTATGAATGTGAATAGGATGGATAAGGAGAATTTTATTTGCCAAGTTTATTTTTAACAAGTTGTGAGACTTGTGATTTTGGATGTTCTAATTGTGAATATATGACATATGATGAAACTTTATATCCAATATATTTAACTAGAGATTTAGAAGTACCTTTTGAAGAAGATATTTCATAATATAAAAAAAGATGTAGATAATGTAGAGGAGCAAACTCATTCATTAGTTCAAATGGAAGAGAATGTAAAAATTGTAACATAGTAAATTGCTAATAATGTTATTAAGATTTAGGAGGTGGAATTACTACTCTTGATCCAGACTTTAAACCTAATGAAGAAGGAAGTTTTGATATTTTATGTAAGTTATGTTCTCCTGGTTTTAAATTAAATTCAGATAAAAAAAGTTGTGTTTCTGAAACAGATCCTAATTGCTCTATACTTAATGCTGATGGTACTTGTTAATTATGTGCAAATGGATTTATGTTTGATTTAACTACAGATCCAGGAACATGCACACCAACTTTATGTAGTTTAAAGATTTTAAATTGTATTGATTGCTTTGCCTATTAAGAACCTGATGCTGATGTTATTTATGATGAAAATGGTATTCCTATTAGTTCATAAAAAAAATAATTATAATGTATCAAATGTAATAAAGGATATTATCCTGATTTCTTTAGTGGAAAATGTATAAGATGTAATTCTAATTGTTAATAATGTTGGCAATATACAGATTCATATAATCTTACACAAATTAATTCAGCTTACTAAATTTATTCATAGACATCTAAATCATTCTTCTTAAATGAGGATTTAAAGGATCCATTATGTACATAATGTTATAATGGCTATGATTTATATGATAATTAATGTAAAGGTTGTGGAGATGGTTGTCATATTGATTCAGTTTCAATGTGTGTATTTGAATATGATACTGCCTATTGTTCTTAATGTCCTCCAGGATAAAGATCTCTTGTTAATGATAATAGTGATTGTGCTGATTGTCCACTCTTTTGTGAAGCTTGTAGAGAAAGAACTTAAGATGAAATCAATCAAATTAATCCATTATTTAATCCTAGTAATACAGATTTCCAAAGATATTCCAATCTATGTTACAAAATCATGAAAAATTTTGATTCGACTAAAAACTTGTATCTTGATACTACTACACATATGCCCACTGTTTGTACATATCCTGGAACATCCAAAAAATGTTATCATACTTCTACTATTACTTTTGAATTAAATTGTGATGATGAAGATAGTATTCCTGATGCATAATATTTATCATCTATTTTTAAGGGTAAATCATCTACCTCCACTCTCATCTTAAAAGATATTGAAAAATATGAAAACTATTTATTATTGAATAAAAATGCTGTACAAGAAGTTACCATTTAAATTAATGTTCATGGAACAGAATGCAGATTCTTAAAACCTACTCAATTCAAAACTTTGTTCTAATAAAATGTATTCTCTTTATTAAAACTTAATATCCATTTTAAATCTTCATCATCTGCTAAATTCTATTTAATAGGACATTTATCATTCTCCAATATTAATAATTTACGATTTGAAAATATTTAATTCTTATACAACACAGATATTAGATCCAAAATTAAAGATTTTGGTATCACTCTCAGAGGTAAATCAAGTTCATTTACATTAATTAATTCTGAAATCTCGAAGTAGAACTCTTTAAATTATGCTATGTTCTCATTTAATTTTTCGGGAGTACAAACACTTAATCTAGAATAAGTTCAATTTATTAATTTACAACCTATTGATAACTTCCTTGATTAGAACTTTACTTAAGAAAGCTCTTATAAATTAACATTAACTAAAGTTAAATTTATAGAATGTTAATTTCTAAACTAAACCTAACTATTTGATTAAAATCCACTTAATAACACCTAAATTACAATTAATGATTTAACTATTTTACAGTCAGAATTCATAAATACATTTTTCTTTGGATCTCAAAATGGATAAACTTATACAAAAATTACATTATCTATTAATGATCTTAAAATTCAATTAAGCTCTTTTATTAATTCTAATTTTTTAATGAGCAATCAAATTATAACAAGTTCAATCTCTAATGTAGATATTTACACATGTTAATTCATTAACTCTTTAGTATTTAGGTTAAATCATATCAATCTCTAAAACTTTTATATTGGATCTAATAAGATATTTAATAATTCAATAATATTCTCAACTGCTGCATTAGTTGATTCTTTTATTGTTCCAAAAAGTGCATTACAAGAATTTAAGATTATCAATATTCATTTTGATCAGAATGATTGCAATAGTATAAACTGTTTATTTTTATTATCAACTCCCTAGAATATTTATTCTATTGAAGCCGATTTGAAAATAGTTTCATTACAAATTCTAAGAACATCATCAATGATATACTCAGAAATTATTAGATATATTGATTCTTCTTTATGTGTGTTTAAGTAATTCTAGAATATTCAAATATCGAAATTAAAATCAGCAGATAATTTAGGAGCTATTGTATTTTATTTTGATGAAATTAAATCTATTGATATTGATACTCTACAATGTGATTCAATTCAATCAAATTAATTCATTTTATATGATGAAGCCGGGGATGAAATAATTGTTGATAATCCATATAATAACTTAATTCCATCTTCAGAATATTGTGCTGAATAATTATGGTCTTCAAACAATTATAATTTTTATTGTCTTTATGTAAATGAATTCTCACATGGAGTGAAATTGAATAATATTATCATGAGTAATTAATTGTTAGTAGATTTTAATGCTATAGTTATATAATCATATGATATACTAAAATTGAAAACTAGTAGAGTAAAAGACAATTTGACTTAATTTTATTCAAATTATGATAAAGAAGTAATCATTATTTAAAATATCTATGCATTTAATAATACTTTACTAGCTTATGATTTGGGATCACAATTATCTTTATTCTTGATAAAATCGTAATAACAATAATAAATTATTATAAAAAATGCTGATTTCTAGAGTAATCATTTACACAGGACATCTTTATATTAAATGATGATAAGTGCAACTATCTTAGTAATTTAATCATAATAAGCTGTATTGAATATTTCATATGCAACTTTTGATTATAATAGAGCCACTCAATTTGAATATGGATTAAATTATATACTTGTAAGATAATTAAATATTATTAATTGTTGGTTCAGATCAACAAATTAATTTGATGGAGTTTGGGTAAATAAGTTAAATGAAAATTAAATGAATGATACAATTTAAGTATGGGAGTTTTATGAAGTTAAATCAAAAGGAGCTAATTTATATCTAGTTACATAGGAATTATAAATGAAGGATTGCTAATTCTTAGATGGTTATGGATTAGATGGAGTTGGAATGTTCATTGTAACATAAGGAAAAGGCAATATATTTATCAATAATACTATTTTTAGAAATATGATAACAAATTTAGATTCAAAATATTTAACTTAGGGAGGTTGTTTATCTATTGATGCAAAAGCTTCAACTCTTTAACTTACTTTATCATTTATTAATATGAATAATTGTTTGAGTAGATCAAAAGGAGGTTGTATTTGGATAGGATCATCTAAAAATTAATAATTAATTTCTATTACTGATAGTAAATTTGCCAAATGTTAATCATTAACATCTTAATTTATGGAAGTGTAATTTTTTGATGTTATTAATTAAATAGTATAAATGAATAATTTGAGAATTGAAAATAATAATCTTGAAGAATTTTTATCAAAAGTGCCAGCTTTAACGGATACTGAAATTGATTAATTTAAAGTTACAGCTTCTCTTTATACATAATCAAATGGATAATTGAGGATGAATAAAATTTACATTTATAACATTGAAAATTAAAACATTATTTATGCAACAAATTTGTATAGAGGATATTTTAATTAAATTTAATTTGTAAATAATACAATTTTTAGTGCTCCTCTGTTTCGTTTAACTTTAAAAGATGAATTGGGTACTGCTTATTTAGGTTCAATTACATTTTCTGGAAATAAATAATTTATACCATTGAAAGAATATGATGAATGTGCTTATTTATTTTATGAAACTCCAGTTTAAGGGTATGATGAATAAACTTGTGATATATGGTAAGAAAATATTGCTTTGGTAGAGCAAATATTTTCTGATTCCCTTTATAATATTAAAGATTTAGAATTAGATGAAGACTATATAAAAATGTCTAATAAAGATAAATATGAATGGGAGGAAACGATTTATTAATTATAACCAACATTTGATGATATTCCACTTAATTTTTAATACAATGAAAAGGTTAGTGATTGTATTTTTTATAAATTATTCAATGAAATTTCAAATTAAACTGCCGCTTATATTTAAATATTAAATTTAAGATAAGGAAATCATATAAAAATAGAAGGATTAGAATTCAGCAATAATAATTGTACACTCTGTACTTATGGATTATTATAGATAATTCAAGTAGAAGAAGTAGTTAATATAATCGGAATCAATTATTTATTTTGTGTCTATAACTATTTATCATATTTTGGATGTATATCTATTACGAAAGATAATTAAATGGAAGATATCTAGTTTAATAAACCCTTAGAGGGAAGGAGATTATTAACTGAAATAAATGATTAATATTCAATTCAAGTAAATAATTCAAAAATTCTTAATAATATGGCATCAATAGGAGCAGGTATAAGTGTTATCGGTTTAAACATAATTTTTGATAATTGTGAATTTTCAAATAATATAGCATCTCTTGTAGGAGGTGGAATCTATTATTATTCAAAAAATTCTTATATTTAAATATTCAACTCTAAATTTAATTATAATAAGGCATAAGTAGGATCAGCCATTTATTTAGAAGGTACACAATTAAGCAATTAAACAAAATGTAACAATGTTTATGAATAAAATATTGGTACTTAAACGTATGAGGATCCAGTTGCATTAACAATAACAATAAATTATAAAGAGATGCCAATTATACCATTTTCTAAATATACAAATGAAGATGGAGATGTGATATCGAATACTGTTATAATGATAGATAAATTGGCATTAGAAAAGATTTAGCTATAAAATTATCCTGAAGTGACTGATTTATTGATTCTGCCTTCTGGATAAAGAATTGGAAATTACAAGTTCTATTACATTGAAACAATGGAATAAATACCCTATGATTGGAAGATGAAATTAATTTATTTGAATAGATTTGACGAAATCTTAGCTCAAGAATAAACATCAGATTAATGTTACATTGATGGAAGAATATAGAATATCAGTTTCTATGATGATTCTAAAGATTATACAACCAACTTTACTAGCTTTAATATTTTGGAATATGATGTCAGTTAATCATCTTTTAATTTGAATGAATTGATAATTTAATTTGATCCATATATTGATGAAGAACTATATTTAGAATTGAGATGTAAAATATTTTATAATATTATATAGTTTATTGTTACAATGTAAAAAAACCAGTATTGTAAACAGAATATCCTTATAATGTATTATCATAAAATGGGAACTATTATTTAATAGCAAATGTTAGAACATACCCATGTTAAATGGGAGAAGCTTATTTTGATGAAAAATGTGAAGCTTGTGACATAAATTAAAAGAAATTTAGTGTAGTTCCAAATTCTGCCTAATGTCAAACTATGAATTAAGAAAGTATGCTAGATGTAACTCCAGTTGGAATAAAATTAAAGAAAGGATGGTATAGACCTTATATAGATAATGATCAATATGAATATTGTTTAAATCTACCAGCAAATTGTAATGGCGGATGGATTCCAGGAAATCCTTCATGTTATACTGGCCATATTGGTGCACTTTGTGAAAGTTGTGATCTCTATTCTTTAAACAATGATATTAGATATTCTAATACAGAAAAGTATGTTTGTTCTCCTTGCTAAAATACTAAGGAATCAAGTATAGGAATATTGGCAGGAAATACAATTGCAACAGTTGCATCAATTACTTTATCTGTAAAAGGAACATATGAATTAGTTAATCAATTTTTAATGGTTAAAAGTTTAGTCTTAATGGGAGTAAGACTTAATTAAAATGCTAATCAATTAGCAACTCTTATAAAGATGTTAACAAATTATTTCTAGATTATATAAATCATTAATTAATTCTAATTAGTTTTACCTAAAGGATTAACTAAAACTACAGATGCAGCTGGAAATCCAACTAAATCAAGTTCATTTAGTTTAGATTGTCTACTTGAACCTATGACTGATATTAATATGCTTTATTTTAGAATGATATGGGCTTTAGTAATGCCATGCATTTATTTGATCATATATTTTGTATAGTATTTTTTTGGAGTTATGATTGGTAAGATTCCCTATAAAGCTCCTATGATAAGTACAGCATTTATTTATATGTTTATTTTTGCATAACCTACATTAGTAGGAGGATTTATATAATTAGGAAGTTCGAGAATAATTTCAGGAGTTAATTGGGTTTAGGCAGATGTTGCATATCGTAGTGATACTGATTAACATTAATTATGGGTTGCTGCATTTGTAGCACCAATGATTGTAATTTGGGTAGCTATTCTCCCACTAATATTTCTATATAAAGTATATACTTATAGATTCCATTTAAATAATAGACATATTCGTTCAAGATGGGGATTCTTTTATAATGAATATGATAATACTGCTTATTATTGGGAATTTGTTAAAATCTTTTAAAAAGAATTAATGGTTATTTTCTTGACATTTTATGAAGATTATGTTCTCATCAAAGGTGCTCTTGTAATCCTTGTTTTATTATACTATTCTTGGATATAAATTAATACTAAACCTTATGCAAATAATGATCTAAATTATCTTGATCGTTATTCAACTGTTGTTTGTATCATTACTTTATTAATTGGTTTATTAATCTATACCTCATAAGAATATGATACTTAATACTTGATAATTATCATGTTTGTTTTATTAGGTATCTTTAACTTAATATTTTTAATAAATATTGTTTATAAAATATTTGAAGGATATCTAATTAAATTATCTGATAAAATAGATCCAATTAGAGATTAGATTTTAGCACACAAACCTAATATTCTCTATTAATATCCAAGTCTAAGATAGTTTTTGAGAAATAAAAAAAGAACTTCTTAAAAAGTAAATGAACTTTGGTGTGTTTTAAGATCTTATACAAAAGAATAAATTTCAAATAGAAGAAATAATTTACCTAAATATGAAGTAATTAATAATGCTCCTTATGATTTTGCTGCTGCCAAATTACCTAGAGATGCTGCAGCCTAAATTGTTCCTATTATAGACAATTAGGTTCCTGAATATCTAATTAGTGGAGTAGGAAAAGAATTCTTAGTAAAAGCTCATGGTTTAGTAGATACCTTCAAAGAAGATTAAAATTAAAATAATTAAGAAAAAGAAAAAGATAATAATAATAATAATAAAGAAAAAGGATTTTTAGATGGATTCAAATCATACATTCCATCAGGATTAAAAGATAAAATTGAAAAAGCAGAAAAAAAATTAGATGATGTTAAGAAAATAAAGGAATAAGCTGAAAATGTCGTCGCAAAAGGAAAATAATTGGGTGGAATTCAAGAAACACCTAAAAATGAAGATGAGGTTAAATTAAATTAAAATAAAGAGGAACAACTTAAATAAGGTGAAAAATAAGAAGAACAAACAGGAGGAATTTTTGGATAATTTAAATCAATATTACCTGATAGTATGAAAGAATAAATAAAAAAGGTTGAACAATAATCAAAATAATTATAAAATAACTTAGAAGAAGCCAAATAAATGAAAGATAAGATTGAATAAGCTGCATAAAATAAAAATAACTTAATTTAAAATGGTCTTGAATTTATGCCAATAGAAATGAAAGATTAACTTAAAAAGATTGAAGATGAAAAAAAAAAATTAGAATCATAATATTAGTAAGTAAGAGATAATGCAGAAAAAGCATAAAATATTGCATAACAAGGTCTTTTAAAGGGTACTTTGTAAGATGAATACTAAAATAAATTAAAAGAGTTAGAAGATCAGAAAAAAAAACTTGAAGACAGTGTTTAAAATTAAGTGAATTTCGATAAATCTCCCTTATTTGCCGATAATAGATAATAAAAGCCCTTATTAGAAAATGAAAATCAATTTTAAATCTTTTAAAATGACCCGATGAGAGTAACATAAAGCTAATTTACAAATTTTGAAAGAGAAAAAAAATGAATAATATTTGATTAATTTAAATTATTAAAATAATTGTATATAAATAAAGTCTATAAAAATTGACAAGATTTAATAACATTATTATTATTAAGTAAATCAAATGTTTTAAGTTGATGTTGATTAATATTATCTTCAATCAATTTTACTCTACAAATAATAATCTAAATTCTAAAATTAATCAATTAATATACAAGGGAATATTATTTATTTTTAAAGAATATCAGTTAATTGAATAACTCTTTTCCTTAAAATGATTTGATTAATATTATTCTAAGTATATTAAAAATCAAAATAAGACTTACTTAAATTACTTACACATAATAATCATATTCGAAATGATTGGAATGTTAATAGATTATTAATTTCTTCTTAGAAACATCAAAATAAGATTTGATATGGAGCACTAAAAAAAAGTAGATTTTATTTTAAAATATTTTTTTTTTAATATATATTATAAATTGATATCCATAACTCTCTATAATATTTAATATATATAAATTCAAAAATTAAAATGTCTGTCAGAGCATTGTATTAATCATAATAAGATGTTGGTAGAAATATTAAAAGGTAATGAATATCGCATATAGATTAGCTCAAAAAAAAAGTACACTTGGAAGTTTAGTATTGATGATAAGGATCACACTATTGAACTATTTGTATCAGGATTGTCAGGTAAAAAAAAAGTAGTCCATAATGGGAAAACTTTGAGAGAAGAATCATCGTATTATGATTTTTATTATCTATATTTTAGGGTTTTAGGAAGTTTTAATTATTCCATGACCATTTAAAGTAGTTTATTAACAATCTCTAATAATGGAGATTTATATGACTTAAGGATAAATAACATGTAATTTAGTCATCTTTATCACAATGGTAATTTATAATTTTGAGACTAGAAAAAACAAAAAAAGAATTTTAATTCGAGGGTGGATATAATGATGGAAATAATTAAGAAGATTATTACTCTAAATTGCCAAAGCCTTCTAAATAAAACAAACCATTATACAAAGAAGAAGATTAAGGATATGATTTTGGATTAGTAGATGATATTGAAAGGATGGCTCCAAAGAAAGGATTGTAAGAAGAAAATGAGTTCAATACTCATTCTAATTATTAAAAAAATTTGAACATTCAATATAAACCAAAAGATGATCTTTATTCTAAAATTAATGAACCAAAACCTTAATAAAGACAAACATAATCATATTCTTCAAAACCATAGTAACCATAAGCATCATTTAATTAATAATAAATTAAAAATGATTTTGCAGATTTTGGGAATTTTCCAAAACCTTAAGCTCCAACTACTAATGATAATGTTTTTGGCAATTTTGGTTTTGGATTTAATGAACCCAAATAATAACAACCTAACCCATAATAATAATAATCTTAAAATTAATTTTAACAAGACTTCAAGCCAAACCCTTTTGCAGATTTTTCACAACCAAATCAATAATTTTTCTAAGCACCCTTCCAATAACAACCATAATAATAATAATAATAATAATAATAATAATAATAATAATAATTTTAATAATAATAATAATAATAATAATTTTAATAATAATAATAATAATAGGTGATTGAATAACCAAAACCTAGACCTCCTCCTTAGACTAATTTATTAGATTTTGGAGATGATCCTGTACCTCCATAGTAGTAATAATAATAATCAGTACTTGTTTAATAATTAAATCAATAATAATAACCTAAATATCAATAACAATAATAATAATAATAAATTTAATAATAACCTTTATATTCAATAAACTAAGCACCTTAATAAAACTTCTAATATGCTTAAGCACCTTTACAATAATAATAACAGTAAAAAGTTCTACCCTAAGATTTATTGGATGCTTTTGATGATCCTGAGCCAGTTGTATCATAATAAAATGCACAATAATAAACATAATTCAACATAACTTCTTTGTATTAATAATAATAAGTAAATTTTAAATATATTTTAGTCAAATATTCCAATTTAATCATCTATCACAACATCATCCCCACCACAATAATAATAATTTGTAATTATATCTTATCAATAATTAGAAATAAAATATACCCAATTAATATCAGCCCTAACCTTTCAATTAAATGCCATAACAATAATACCAGACTCCTTAAGTTTCAATTACCTAGTTATATAATCAACCGTAAACATAAGTAAACATGAATGTACCAGTTTAAATAAATGTAAAAACTTAATCAACTCCGTTTGATGATGTATTTTGAAATAATTATACAGAAAAATGGCAATTTTTAATTATTATAATAATTATTTTTAATATAATTGTCATTAAGGAACATATGATCTCAATATTTTGGAATTTGTACCTTGAACTACTGAACGTCCTTATTAATTCACTTTATCTTTTAATTCGTAATTTTCAACTTCAATTTGATTAGCTTTTTTTCTAATTTATTCATTTTACTATTTTAATTCATTAATCAATTAATTAATATTTTTATTCTAATTTACTAAAAATATATACTTGCAGTTCAAGTTATTCTTTATCCATTTTCAAACCTTATATTTTATCTTCATAGTATTATTCTCTTCTTAAAATTTAATCTTCTAATTCTTAATTCTTTTATTTATAATTGCTGTTTTCATGTTCTAACTTATATTTATCAACTTTTATGCTTTATTCAAAATCTTCCTTTTCTTACTTTACCCGATTATTTTCTTTTTATAATTTTTCATTCATAAGATCTTTTTAATTGATAAGCTGCTCTAATTCCTCTATTTTCTAATATTTGTTTATAATTTACATTATCTCTATTTTCAATTGATTATTTATACTTAACCTTTAACTATTCTATTAGATTATCTTTCTCCTTCTTTAAAGATTCTATTTAATTTTAATGTGATTAGGTCATGGAATCAATTTACTATTATTATTATCTTGTTGTTAAGTTTAAATTATCAATCTCTTAAACTAATTTTCTTTCCTTTTCAGCTCTTAATTGAGACTACTTTTTGCTATTAATTTAAATTATATTTTACTGTTCCTCTTCGGTTTTTTAAATAACTTCAATTTGTCTATTGAGTTTTTCTATTTCTTACTATTTTTAATTATTTTATAGTTCTTATTCTTTGAGTTTCGATTTAAAATTGGTTGAATCTTAAAAAATTTAATCTTTTTCCTTGTTAATTATAAGATTTTAAGCTTACAATTCCTTAAGTTATTTTGATTTTTCTGAAATCTCTGTACTCAAATTATCTATTTATGATTCAAATTCTATTTTTTCATTTTCAGAATCATTTTTTAAAGTTTAATATCTTTTATCTAATTCTTCATATTGTATTATTAATTTCATATTTTCCTATTCAAATTTTACATTTTAATTTTTAACTTCTCTTATTTTACTATCAACATCTTTATTCGAGTTTAGTAGATCTTCATATTTTCGTTAAAAATCTAATTTTTAATCCCTAATTTCGCTAATTTCAGATGATAATTTTTCATTTCTTTATTAATGCTCCTTAACTTATTTTTTATATAAATCAGAATCTCTTTATAATTCTTTTAATTTTCCTAAAAGTTCTTTGTAATTCTTTAATAATGTATGATTTTCTTATGTAAGTTCTTTGACTTTCTCTGCCCAATCATCCTTCTATAATCGTTCTTTTTATAGATATATATATTACTGTATAGATTAGCCATGTAATCTTAAATTGTTCCATTTTAATAAATATTTAAAATTATTTCACATTTTTTTTCTAATTATTCCCTCAACATCTAATTTTCTTCCACAAATTGTTTTGATAACTATTCTAATTAACTAATATCTTATTTGTATATCTCAATCTTTATTATAAAAATTATTTAAATTCAAATACTATATGTTTTTGTTCTGCTATTTATTCATCAAAACAGTCTAACAATGGTTACAACTTTTTCCATGTGAACTCTGTTCTTAAATGAGGCGCCTCTTATCTTGATTCATTTTCATCATCATCTGTACTAGTGTATGATCCAAATCTGTTAATATATTGTTAAATTTCTTTTAAAGCTTTTTCAACTAAATTTATTAAATAATTTATAGTACGTAATCTTTGATACATAGTACTGTTTTCTTTCTCTCTTTCCAGTTCAGTCTTCATCTCTTAAAGATTTTTATTCTTATTAACTATTTCATGTTGATTCTTCTATTAGAATGATTATTGAATTCCTAAAGCTCCTTGATTAACTCCAAATTGAGATTGAGCTAATAATATAAAAACGAGAGCATACTATTAAATCTCGACATTAACTTTCAAATTTTATTTTAAATAACTATATAAATTTTATCATTAAATGCATATTGAACATAAATCAAATAAGATTATCAACGATTTCATAAAATAATTTCCTGAAGAAAGAAGGAATAGCGTAATGAATTTTCTCTTAATTCTTGGATTTGATATTGCTAGAAAACTAGGATAAAATAATTAAGCAGAATTATATTAAACGATGAAATAGTTATCAAGTATAAATTTGATTCAAAAATATTTGTAGAATTTATCATAAATGATTGCACTTAAAACGGCCAAACTGAATTAAGAGAAGAGATAAGAAAAATTTAGCAATAATTAGTTCAACTTAATTCATTGTTCAGTAATAGCGAGAACGAGTAAATCTAATCCAAAAGCTAGGATATCCATAGAAATCAATCCTAAACTAAGCCATTATATAGCCATAACAGATTTTATACTTAAAACGATATGGAAGATTAATTAAATGCAAGAATGAGAGAAGAACAATAACATAGTACAAATTCAAAAAATTAATTCAAACCTGCAAAAAGAAATAATAACAATAAATCACCATTTTAACAAAATAATAATAATTTAACTGCAAAAATTACTGAATCTCCACCTCCTCCTATGGTTTATTAAAAAACTACAAGCAACAAGTTTAACATCAAACCTCATTTAGATGATCATTAGATGTAATAATTGATTTATTTTTTTAAGTAAGTAGTTATTATATTCTGAAAATGAAAGACTTTACTAAGATGATTTCGATTCCATTTCTAATAGAGGTCATTAATACAATCAATCTCCAAAATCTATTAAATATACATTAAATATTTAAAACTTTGGTATAATTTAGAGTAATTATAGAAAATTAAGGATAAAGATTTTAAACCCATGAAACAAATAAAAAAAGTAAACCTTAATAAACTTCCAATAGTAGTAGATAAAAAAAAAAAGTTCCAGCATATTTATCAAATATTGAATCTAAAATAAAGCCTAAATTAGATTAAGATAAACAGGCGTTCAGAAATTAAAAAAGTATTTATTTTCAATAGTTTAAGATTTTGATGATGAGGAAAATTAATATTATAATTACTAAATGTTTTAATCTTAGTAAATGACTGCAAATTTTTAAAATAATAATAATAACTTTATCCGCCCAAGTTAAGAAACAGATACTTATTATGAGATTTAATAATACTTAATTAATTAACAACACTAAAATTTTCATCTTTCACCAGTTTAAGAAATGAAAACTGATAATGAAATTATTTCAAGCAAAAAAAAAACTTAAAATTGTAAAGATAAAACAAAAAGTTCACTTAAAAGCTCATAAGATACAAGTAGTCAAAGATAACATCAGCAATAAAATTTTTTCGAAAAACATGAAAACTTACCTTATTAAAATTCTATAACTCCTATTCAAGTATCTGATTTTTAAATGAGTAAACAATAATCAGATTTAAGTTTTGATGCTTTTAGAAAAAAAGCCTAATTCACTTCTCCATATGTATAAAGTTGAATTAATATTAGGCGATATCTTTATAATAAAGCTCTTAACAAATACAAACAGCTTAAAAACCTTAAAGAAATGATGAAGAAAGTAGTGAAAGTTTTTCCAATTTTACACCTCCAAACAAAGAAATTAGAGATTTTTTATCAAAATAATGCATTTATTAAGACTAAGATTGAGATTTTATATTTATCTTTTGTTTTATTAATGTTCAAAATATTTAGATTGATTGAAACCCTGGGTAGATTCTTTAAAAACCCCCAACAAATTCTGGTAGACGAATTGCTCTATCTCCATTCTTTAAAAATATTTTAACAGAAGATGAAGAAGAAAACTTGAAAAGGCAAGAAATTTTTTATGATCCACACATGTATTTTATGAATAAAATATAGTTATTATTTGAGGCAATAGAAAATTTAGTCTTACTAAAATGAACTAATGTAGAAAAATCATAATCGATAGAATGAAAATGGTCTGCAAGAATAAGGTAAATTTTATTTCAATCTCTAGTGATTTCATTTAAGATGTCTGAAAGAAGTTTATTGAGTCACACTGGTGACTATTAAATTGGCGAAGAACAAAGCTTTCTTCATTCGATTCAATTAAGTAGAAAAGGAGCTGAAAATCATTTTTTCAGCCTAGATGATATTGAATCTGTTTATAGCTCCAATGAATAGGATATCAATTTTGATATGTAATTTTAAAAAATATTTTTAGAGAGGACAGCTTAATTTACCAAAATTGAAATATTCTCAATTATTTAATATATTTATACTACTTAATTCTTTCTTTAATAAAAAAAAAGTTGAAACTTGGTAATCAAAAAAACATATAGATGAAGGATTTGAGCAACAAAGAGAATAGGCAATCTTTTAGATAACAAAATTTTTCTTTAAATCAAAATAAAGCAGATTCTTTATCAGGATATAGTTGATTGATTATTTTAAGTATTAGTAATGATCTTCAATAATCTCTGGGTAAATTACCTAAAAAAACCATTAAAAATAATTATAGAATATTGAAATCCCTAAAATTAAAACAAATAATTTTGTATCACTTTACAAATTTAATAATAAGAGTAATTTATGTAAAATATTAAATTAAAAAAATTATTAAATCTAAATCTTAAATAAACTATTAAAACATGATTTTTTTTCTAATTAACAGGTTATTAATTTGAATTATTCAGAAAATACATAACAAATACCATAAGACTTTCAATTTGAAAATCAATATCATTAGCTGTAATAGGCCTCTTTTTTTGGTGATTAGAAAAAGCTAATTTTTTCTATAATGAAGTCAATCAATCTTTAATAATTGTAATTAATATATGTATTAATTAGATTAATTAATAAGATAATAATTAAATAAATCAAATAAATTTAAATTAATAAATAAATAATAATTGTCTTGAATAAAAAAACAAGAAACAAGTAAATTTTTATTGTTGATAAAATATTCATAAATAAAAAGGTTTTTTAAATTTTATAATTATTTTTCCCTATATAAATGTAAAAATCATTCTCATCAGAACATGAGATATCCTAAAAGAACTGTTGATAATCCAAGAATATATCCTGAATCAGTTGTTGTTGTTCCATTTGTAGTAGTTGTATTGTTGTTTGTATTATTAGGTTAAACTACAACTGCAGTGCAAACTCCACATTTGCTTGTTGATGCATTCCATGTATATGTATATCCAGAAACCAAGAAACAATCATTAGATGACAAAGTTGATGGATCTGAGGCTGAGCATGTTCCATTAAGGAGAGTGCAAATTTATTAAGTCTTTTTATCCCAATTTAAGAATCTTGTACAAGCTCCATTAGTTGCTTAATTAGTAGCACAAGTGTGAGTGGTACATTTACTGGGGACAGCAGTTGTTCCAGTACCTGAAGCTGGAGCCCATGAACACCTATCTCTAGCAGCTTAACAAGCAACTTAATCATTATTAGCAGTGGTACATGCTGTCATTAATGCGCAAGTTCCAGTACCAGCTGTAGCTCCTGTAGCAGTTGATTAAGTGAAAACACAAATACCATCTAATCCACCTGAGTTGCATGCTGTTTTAGTTGTATAGGTTGAACAATTAGCTTTTGGAATGCAAGCAATACCATTTGAAACACATGATGACAAAGCTACTGAACAAACATTGGTTGCTGTACCATTTTGAATATCAGTACAAGTTAATAATCTACATTTAGCAGTATTATTATTTGTAGCAGATGCAAGTTCCCAATAACAGCTTCCATCAGATCCAACAGCAGTTGTACAGGCAGTCTAAGATGTGTATGATGAGCATGTTCCTTTGAGTAAACAAGTTGTTCCATCCGATGTACATGTTGATAAATATGAGGAACATGTTGCATGTGTTGTACCAGTCAAATCAGCACATGATTAATCTCTGCAAGTACTAGCTGTAGCATCCCATGTACAAATACCAGTTGAAGTAATGCCTCCAGATGTATAAGTAACTCCTTTATCATTAATATAACATCCTGCTTATGAAGTATATTATGAACAAGCACCTAAGGCAACACATCCAGTAGTTCCATTTGTTGTACACTTATTACTAGCGATTTAACAATCTGAATGAGTTGTGTAGAATGCATCAGCACATGATGTATATGGTTTACAAACCTTTGGATCTGAGGAATTCAAGGCTGGTACTGATTGAATACAAGCTCCATCATATCCTGTTACACATCCACCATCAGTGTTGGTTTCAGAACATAAAGTAATTCCAACACAATTAGATCCATTTGTTGTACATTAATTACTAATCAATTTACACTATGTATCAGAATTCCAAGATAAGCTTTTACATGATGTATATCTGAAACAAGCTCCTCGAGATCCATCTGTATTAACGAAATCATTAATCCACAAACATGGTCCATTTGTTCCTTCAATGCAAGCACTTCTAATTGTAGTTTATTCACAATTTTAAACTCTGGCACATTTACCATTAGCTCCAGCAGTACATCCTGCTCTTTAGCCTTAACAAGCAGCATGAGTAGTTCCACTGAAATCTTAGCAATCTTTATCTCTGCATTTATTTAATGTACTATCCCAAGCACAAAGGGTTCCATTAAGAGCAGTTGTACAAGCAGTATCAATATTAACAGCTGAACAAGTAGATTTAGTAACACATCCACCACCATTCTTGGTAGTACAATTAATGTAATAACCTGCACAAGCTGCTTCAGAAGTTAAAGTAACTGGGGCAGTATTACATGTCTTTATTGTACAATATGCTTAATTAGTTCCCACAGCTGGCATCCATTCACATTATTGATTTGTGGATGAAGTAACACAACCAGCCTAGCTCTAAGCTTAGAAGCAAGTTCCTCTAGTTACACAATTTGTTCCATTTGTAGTACATGAGCTTAATGCTTATTTGCATAGTGCATCTGTGGCGAAAGCAAAATCTTCACAAATCTTAGTCTTACATTTTACTGTATCTAGAGTGCATCCAGCCAAATGATCATGACATTGTTCTGGACTAGATGTTGCTTCTGGAGCATTTTCACAAGATCTTGTTACACAACCTGTTCCATTCCAATAACATAATCTACCAGACTTATCAGAAACACATTACTTTTCTACCATAGTTTCACATGTGTCTGGGATATCAACACATCCTTATCCTGACTCTGCAACTGTACATTTATTATTGAAATATAATCTGCATTTATCATTATCATCATACAAAGCACTTGCAGGTGCAGTAGCACATGACTTATCTGCACATTAAGTACCATTCCATCCACAAGCATCTCCAGTAGCATTCAACCTACATTAGTCTTCATGAATATAAGTATTACAAGCTGCTCTCTATTGGCAACCTTCTCGGATTGCTTCACCACCATTTGGATTTGTTTTTGCTGCTACTGTGCATTTTATGGTACTAGTAGGAAAATAGGTATCGCAATCAGCGTCTGTTGCTGTTGAAGTTGGGGCAGTAGTGCATGATTTATCTTAACATACATCTTAGTTAGAAACATTGATCCAAACACAAAGACCACCACTTGCATTTGTTCGGCATTAATCTGAGATTGAATAAGAACTGCAGGATCCTCTAGTCATACAACCTTAAGCAGCTCCATTTTAAACTCTTACTGTGCATGTTGAATCAACTGCTACACATTTATCATGAGTATCGTATAATGATGTAGCTTCAATATTACCACAAGTAAAATCAACACATGTCTTATTAGTTAAATTCCAGAAACATCTTCCACCACTTGTATTGAATTTACATTAATGACTTGATTTATAAGTGGAGCAAGCAGCTCTTGCTTAGCAACCTCCTTCTCTGGCAACTGTACATGTTGATAGATATTCATCACAATCACTATTATCGGTCAAAGTGGAAGGAGCTGTATCACAAGTCTTTTTGACACAAGATGTTCCTTAAATTACACATTAACCTTCAACTGCCCAAATGCATGTTGTTTGATTTAAGCTGGCGCATGTGGCAGGCAAAGTTATGCATGCAGTAGGTGAACTAACCAAATTAGAAGTACAAGTACTCAACCAAGCATTACAAGAATCATGGTCAAAAGGTGTTGTTTTATCAGTGCATGTCTTAGTTCTACATCCTGTTGTACTTTAAGCTTTGCAACCAGTTTTAAATTCATTGCATTTTGTTTCATCAAAACTAAATGATGAACCTAATTTTATTGCTTCACATGTAGTTGAATCTGTTATAGCTTGACATTAGCTATCATTACTATTAGCAGTACAATATCCAGCAGTTGATCTATAACAACTTGCCATAATTGTATATCCTGAACATTGAGCTTATTTTGTTACACAACCAGTGCCATCTCTTTTTACACTACATGAATAATTATAACCTTAACAAGTACTCCAAGTGAGATTTGAACCTGTAATTGCTTCACATGTGGTGAAATCTACACAAGCACTGCCATTCCAATAACATGCTGAAGCACTAGTTGTAAGAGTACAAGTAGCTTAAACATATCCACTACAAGCCGCTTTTTATTCTTAGCATGCATTTCTAGCAACATTAACAGTACAACCAATATGATATTCTTAACAATCTAAATGAGTTGCATTTGTTAATCCTGTAACAGAAGCACAATTGGCTACTGCAAAATCAACACAAACAGCAGGATCAGGGGTAGTATCCCAAAAGCATCTTGCACCACCTTATTTATAAGTACAAGCACTTGAAGCAGCATAGCCACTACAAGCTGCTTTTAATTCTTAGCATGCGTTTCTAGCAGTATTAGTAGTGCAAGTCGAATCAATTTCTTAACACTCTGCATGAGTTGCAAGAGTTAATCCTGTAATACTACTACAACCAGCTACTGCGAAATCAGCACAGCCACCGGCTCCACTATTCAAAGTAAGATCAAAATAGCATCTTGAGCCATCACTTTTAAAAGTATTACAACTATTAGCATTACCAGTACAAGTTGCTACAATTGCTAGACAAGTATCATTTCCAGTATTAACAGTACAACCTGTATGATGTGCTTAACATGCTGAATGAGTTGTCTCACGGTAAAAAGTACAATCAGTTGCTGGAGCGAAATCTCTACAAGTACCACTGCCATTAAAACATTTTGTACCTCCAGTTGTATATGTTTCAGGGTCGCAATCAGCTGGAGCAGTATAACCACTGCAAGCTGCTTTTTTTTCAACACATGCAGTTTTAGCAACATTAACAATGCAACCACTATGATATACTTGGCACTATTAAATAGTTGCATTACTCAATCCTGTAATAGTAGGACAATCTGCTGCAGTGAAATCTACACAAGTGCTACTATTCCAACGGCATCTGGCACCATCAGTTCTTCTTATACAATCACCTGAGGCTGTATAACTACCACAAGCGGCTTATAATGTAATACATGCAGTTCCACCAGCATTAGCAGTACAAGTAGCATGATGTCCTTAACAACCACCATGATTTAGACTTGATCCAGTTATAACAGCACAAGAAAACGCACAAGTACTTGATTCAACAGCATCAACAGTATTAGTGCAACCTTATTTTATATCTTCACATTAAGCCTTCGTACCTTTAAAAGTTGTGCATGCACCTTGAAGATCTGTATTAGAGAAACACTTGCTGTAAGTTAATTTCCAAGTACAATCATTTGAGGAAGCTGTCAAGGTTCTGTAACATTAGGCTTATGATTTATAGTCACTGCAACTAGCTGATCTTGTCACACATCCTTATCTTCCAGTTTTTTATATAACTGTACAAGTTTCACTTGGTGTTGGATAAGCTGAACACAATGCATCTGTATTAAAAGAGGAACTATCCGGTGCATCTGAACAAATTGCATTTCTACAAGCGGTCCCATTCCATATGCAATTTTTTCCATTAGAAGTTTTTTGACAATTTTCAGCTGATCCATAAGAATTACAAGCTGTGGCTAAACTTTAACAAACTGTTCTTGCATTATTTGTTGTGCATGTATTCAATTCACCTTAACAATCTAAATGAGAAGTTAATGCAATATTTGTGCATATTCTATCAACACAGCCAGTTCCATTCCAATAACAATCTCCATTTGCTTTTGATTCTCTTTTACAATTTTGTGAAACTAAATTTGAACAACTTGAAGGTTTAGCAATGCATCCGTCATTATTATTGTTTGAAATGCAACTGGGAAGATAATTTTAACAACCATTAAATGTAAATTATCCAGTAGTTAATACACCTGATGTTCCTGCTTAACTAGCGGTTGTACAAGACTTTTCAACACATGTAGATGAAATTGTATTCCATAAACATGTTGGAAAATTACTTCTTGAAATTTCACAATTTTCAACTGATTTTCTAGCTGCACAAGTTTATGGTAAATCTTAACATCCTTAGATAGATCCATTATTAGGATTATTGGCAACACAACCTGATTTATAAATATTGCAATCATTTGTTGTCTATATTGTTTTAGGAGCAGTGGAGCATGCTTTATCAATACATGTGCCATTCCAACCACAAGCTGGGTATGATTTTAATCCATTTGTAACTTATAATCTTATATTACAAGCAGATTCAATTGTAATGGCTTCACATTTAAGGGGAACAGGAACACATCCAGAGCCAGTATTACTCAAAGTACAACTTGAATCATATGTTTAACAATCAGCATGACTTGCTGTAGTTGATGAAGCTAACACACATTCTTTTTTATAACATTTGGCTTTCCAAATACAAATTTTATTATTCAAATCTTTATCACAAGTGTTTTATGCCAATGAATTTTCGCATGTTTTTTCTACACAACCTGAATTACTGGAATTTACTGTACAAGTAGGTAAAAATGCAACACATAAATCATGTGTGTTACTAGTTGAAGGGGCATTAGTACAAATTTTATCTTTGCAGCTTGAACTTGCAGCATCATAGAAACAAGTAGCTCCAGATGAATTGGTTACACAAGCAGCTTCTAAGGTTATTGCAGCACATGTGGTGTTTTGTACACACCCACCTTAAGTCTTTGTTATACATTTGTTTCCTGGTAAATATGCTTCGCATGCATCATTAGTTGTTATTGTTGTAGGAGCATTTGAGCAAGTTCTGGGTTAGCATCCACCTCCTGCTTTAACTGTGCAAATTGATAAGTATGATGTACACAATTCATGAGTATTATTAGTAGTTGGTGCATTTGCACAGGTCTTTTCTTTGCATATTGTATCCCAAATACAATCAGTTCCATAAGAATTTTTCACACAAGCTGCTTAGACATTTGCAGCTGAACATGTTCCGTTAGCAACACAACCTCCACCTTATTTAGTGATACATCCTGTAACAAATCCAGCACAAGCTGAATTAGTTGTCATAGTAGTTGGTGCATTTGTACATATCTTATCAACACATGCAGTTCCAGTCCAATAACAATCACCACCTGTATTATTCTTAATACAAGCAGCTTAGATAGTTGCAGCTGCACAAGTTGTTCTTGTAATACATCCTCCGTTAGGTTTTGTTGTACATGATCCATCAGTTCTAAAGGATTTGCAAGTTTCATCAGTTGTTAATGTTGTTGGTGCACTATCACAAATTCTGTCTTTACATACAGCTCCATCCCAGTAACATGCCATTAATCTTAATTTATTCCAAACACATTGAATTTCTAATGCTTAATCACTACAATTATTTCCACTATCTACACAACCACCTCCAGTCTTTGTTGTGCAGGTTGATATCACATCTCTGCATTCTTTATCTGTTGCGAATGTTATTGGTAATTTATCACAGGTATTAGCATCTATACAAGTATTATTAGTTGTATCCCAATAGCACAAACTTCCAGCAGGATTTTTCACACAAGGAAGTTGTTTCTTGTATGAGTTACAAGCATCAATTTCAACGCAATGAGTTCCATCTGTAATACATCTATTACTAATTGCCTAACATTCAGGATCTGTTGTTTTTGCAAAGGCTGTGCATCCTGTAAAGTATGTGCATTTGCCTTAAACCCAGGCACAAGCAGCGTAACTACCACAATCTGTACAAGGTTTAGCTTTTGGGCAATCTGCTTCAGCAAAAGTATCACAATATGCTGCATATGTCACTGTTGGTGTGACTGGAGCTGTTGAAACTGCACATGCTTTCTTTGTGCTATCCCAAGAGCATCCAAGTGAAGTATTTTTTAAACAATCCCCCTCTGATAACAATTATGTACAGGTACAAGATGTTATACTATAGGTTTGACTCATTGCTAAAACCAGCAACAATGAAAATATGATGAATTTATTCATTAAAAGTATTATTATTTTAATAAGATTTGATTCCAGTTAAGTTAGAAATATTACTAACTTTAAAATGATAAGATATGAATTCAGTTTTCTTAATATAAATTAATTAGCATCATTTAATTTTAATATTAATATTATATAAATCTAGAAGGTTGAGAATTTTATAATTATACAAAGAGAAGCTAGGAGCTATACCAAATTTAAAGAGTGATTTAGTTTTGATTAAATAGGCTGTTTTTGAATTCTTTGTCTTTGTATAATGTTTCGATTTCAAAAAAAAACTTAATTATATAACAAAAAATAAGTATGAGAAATCTGATATTTTTATTCATTGCTTTTATTTGTTATTCTTGTCCAGCTTATTATAATATATGATCAAAGATGTAAAATTGAAATAAGAAAGAAAAAAATATTTTCAATACTAAATTCCTTATATTAGAGAAGAAGATAAAAATAATAAAATTACTTCTTTCTAAGTAAAGTACTATGGTATTTTAATCAACTTAAACATTATTCTTGTTATTTCAAATTTCAAAAATTTAAAAAGTCCCAAAATTCTTCTTCTTTAAGAATTACTTTAAAAATGGATGATTAGCAAACATAAAAAGAATCAATTTCACTTTAGACTCATTTTTATCTACAGAGAAGATGAAAATAACAATGAAAATGACAATATTTAAAATTTATTTATTATATTTACCTTGTATTCTTCTAGACTATTTTTTACCCTCTATGTAGGTTACCATTTAGATGCAGATTTTGGAATCAGTATTTAAAAATTTGGACTAAAAAATGAAAATCGGAAAAAATAAAAAACATTCGTATTCATTTTATTTTTTAATTAAAACTAATTTTACTAATATTACTTTTTATATAACTTATTGTGAAAAAATTAAGAGGCTTTAAAAATAGTAACTATGTTGCTGTCTCAATTTTTAATTCTTACTTTTTTCATTATTATCCTTCATTTATAACTATTTTACATACTATATTGAAATTGGCAGTCTTATTTACAAAGTTTAATTTTTTCTAAACTTATATTATAAATAATTTCTTTCTAAAACTATTGATAGAATTCTATACTCCATCCAAATTAATTAATCTAATCAAAAGGGTAGAACCTAAAAAAAAGCACCAAAAACAATTCTTTAAATAATTAATAATAAGTATTAATTTAATGGTTAATAACTCTCTAGCAATTTGAAAAAATTTATTTCCAAAGCTAATTCCTTTTAATAAATATATTTATGAATAGCATGATGTTATGTATGATTTTAATAAATACAACAAAATTAAATAATTGCCATCCCATCTTTTAATCTATTCTTTTTTTTAATGGTTATTCTGAAGAGTGGGGTGAAAATTAGATAATGACTTCTTTGTTCTCTTTTATATGAGATTTAGCTTTGATTTCTTAGTCTTCATTTTATTCTTTCTCATCCAATTAATTTACTGATCTTATTAACTTTTTATGTTTTCTTGCTTCTATCATTTTCAAATGCAATCTCATAGCCATAACAATTAGACATGATATGAATTTTTGCATAATTTATGTCTTAACCCAATCTTTTATTTAACCAAAATTTTAGTGTATTTTTTGATCTTAGGGCACTTTAAAAATTGTTTTTACATGTTCTTATGGGGATTCCCTCTTATGGATTTGATTAAATTAGATTTTGCTTTTTGGAAATCCTTTTGGAAAAAGTTTTATATTTTCAAAAGTTATTTTTTTACTTTTTTTAGTTGGATGGAGCGTTCTAAATAGAAATGAAATATTTAACAATAATAATTTTCGGAAATGGACAGTAAGCATAAGAGTTGTACTTATAACAATCATTATATTGTTTAGTTAGGGGTGGATGCTAATATATGTATAAGAATTAAAAAATAATGTCAATTAAAAGAAAATTATGCTAGGAAAAAAGACTAGATCAATTAAAACTTATTGATATTGTGAGCATATAATTATTAATATAGTCTAGAAAAGAACTATTCTGTTCTACGGCTGAGTTCATTATAGAATTTGTAAAAGAATAATTTAATATTGATCTTTGAAGCAGAGATAGTTATTAGAATTGAACAAATGAGATGATTTGTATTCAATAATATGTTGACAATGAAAATTTTGTAATTAGACTGGTTGATAATAAATGTGATAACATATATTTACAACGTTGAATTAAGAGGAAGAGAAATTAGAATTTATGGCTGTTTCGAAACATTCTATAGAATTAAGTTCGTCAGAGCAGTACATTAAATTTAGTATTCTCAAATTTCAATCGTTACCAGGAAATTTTTTGAATTTTTATCAAATTTACTGAAGTTATTTTTTAGCATCTGGAAAAATAAATAAAATGTTCCAAGAAGAATGATGGAGTTAAATGCTTAAAAAGAAAGTTGCTGCTCATGTAATTAAGTAAAAAATAAATTGAAATTCATGTTTTTCTCCATTTTATCATCCATCTTGATATCGACTTTGTTGCTGGTACTGATTCATCCGGATTTATTTACAAAATAAAAAGAAACCCAGAATGGAAGCTAACCAAAATAATATTTAAAATGGCTGCAATTTTCTTTTTTGAATAATTTATTTTTAAGAATATACTTTTTTAATTGTATAATCTTTTGATAATACCTCAATTCATCAACTTTTCTTATTTCCAATCTTTCTATTTATCTATTTTATATATTTTAGTACTCTTCTCTATTTATATGTAGCAGTTCATCTATTAGCATTAAAATATCCTTCAATCTGATTATTTATCCCTTTAAATACTACTATAAACCCTAATCTCATATACTTAAGCAATTAACTTTCTAGAAAAATTAGAGTCTCAACTTTCAAAGGAATCTGTTGAGGAAATTAATATCAAATAACTCATCAATCACACTTGAAAACATACAATTATATGACTTTAAATTGTAACAAATACACACTTCCCTTTCCTATAGAATATATAAAATTTATTTAATTCAAATTTACACTATACAACTTTAATATAAAATGCTTTAAATCTACATGATCTTTTAATTTAATCAGGACGAAAGACTTTCCAAAAATTCTAATTCTGATCGATTCCTTATATTTCTCAACTGTACTCAATACTCAATTATAAGAACAACAATAAATACTTATTATAATTTAATCAAAATCCTATTTTTTTATATACCTTTACAAATATAAAAACATGCTTCCTTTCAAATATTTATCCTTCCTTCGTATAAATTAGTTTGCTAATAGTTTTTATATGCAAATTGATTTGGCTGATAAATATGTTTAATTAAAAGAGACCATGGAAACTTTCTGTGATTACTTATTTTGGATTAAACTTTACAGAAACTTCAATTTGTACTATTAACTAAAAATCAATCTCATTGCTTTTTCATTTCGATATGTAATTGTTACCTCTATTCATCTATTCTATGCTCAAAATTTTCTCTTGCTTGTCAAATCATACAGAGATTGATCCTCTATAAAATTATAAAATGATCTGGGGATTGATTTAAAACTTCTTTTACTAACCTCAATGAATTATATATCTAATTTTCAATGTCTTACTTCCAAAATTCACTCTTATATTTGCTTCCTACAAAATAATTACGGATCAAACAAAATTTTTTAATACCTAATTTCTTAATCAAATATTATTATTATTTATAAATATTTTCTATATATATGTGATCTATTTTTGAGAGTGAAAGATTTTAGTGAATAGAGGGCTACAGATTGTTATTTATATAAGAGAATAAGACAGTGATATTGTAGATTCTACTGTTCATCCTCTATTTATTCAATATTGATGCGAATTTGGCAATAGCAGAAGAAAAAATAGAAACCTTATTTAATTATAAGTTATAAAAACTTGTTATTTTGATTTCTTATAATACTGTTTTGCAAATTTTTTTTGTGATTCAAATAGCAGATTTAACTAAAATTAATAAAAGAAAATTTCAAAAGGTATAAAAGATCTTTAAGTATACAAATTCTCTTTTAGGGAATACTGTAGTATTATCTTCAAAAACGACTGCTTTGCATTTTTATCCATTTCATTCAATTTGCTAGTTTCTTTTAAATTAAAAAATGTTATCAAGATTAATAATTTTTATTTCAAATTTTCTTCTAAGAAAATAAAAAATTAATTATATAAGGTCTTGTTAAAGTTAAAAGATTTATGGAAAATAATTTTCATCCTTAATCTTAAAAAATCTAAAATTGCTCTTTATATTAATTTAATTTTTATTATAAAAAAATTATTTTTTTTAAATAAAATAAATGTATTTATTTAAAGTTTTTTCCTAATTTTTCCATAAATCACCTTACCATTAAAGATATTGGATTGATTCTAAATATTAACACTAATTTCTGGTTGTTTAATAATTCATTAAATATAAGTCTTTATTTAGTTAGTAACCTAAAAAATTCTTAAATATTCTACATAAACATTAAAATATTAAAAATTTTGTTTGATCATTATAGATAATTTATCATTTCTTTATAAATAAAAAAATAAATACTTTCATTTAATCATGTAGAATGTGGTGTAATTAGTAATCCTTATTATTAATTTAATAATTTTATATTTCAACTTATTCGTTTATCCATTTATATGCTTACTTTTTATTCGACTATCAATTAATTCATGAAAGATAATTTTTAAATCAATCTTAAACTTTAATTCAAAACTACTTAAATTGGTCTGATTTCAACAAGTTATTTTATTATGGTAATAGTTATTTAGGAAATGAGACCTATTATAAATATAGAGGAGAATATTCTTAAGTTGATAACGACTTTAAAGAGAAAATATGCTAATTCAATTAATGTAGAAATTTTTTTAAGGTAAAATTTCTAATTAAAAATCATTTTTTCAGGAAGTATTAAAAAAGCTTAAGCATATTTGGGTTGCAAAAATTTGAAACAAATTTTATTTATGCTAAATTTTTTTTTTCTTAAAAAAATAGGTGGATTGTAGAAGTGAAAAACAACAAAAACTTGATTGTTCGCCCTTTTAATAAGAAATATTTCAGGATGTTTATAAGAAATATTAAATAAAAACTTTTTTTATAAATCAAGAAATATATATAAGATCAAAGAATATTTTTTGTTATTTTATTGTTTATTAAAAAATGTATCAAAATAACATACTTGATATATTCTAAAGCAATTGGTTATTTCATTAGATAACAAAATCTTGTACACCTGACCTTTTTTGAAAAAAAGTATTCATGAAATAATAACAATTTTCTATTCAGATTA